CATCTTCTACGTCTTTTTTCCACTTAAAGTGGAAAGTATGTTTAGAAAACCTCGGGAGGTTTTCATGACTACCTTTAACCCTTGTCGATATAAAGGCTACTTTACTGGGAAGTGAGTCAAGAATTTTTGGATCAATCTGTCATTGTTTGTGTTGATGACGAATAATAAGAAATGTATGGATGTTAAAATCTACAATTTAACATGATTTAATGTCTCTATCTGAGGGGATGTTGTCTATGAACTGCTGACATCCGTAAAAGAAGGATTTCACAGTCCTTCAAGAAGATATTCACTGTAAAATCCTGGAGGAATAGGATTTTCTAGTCTACCGCTACTATTAAATACTTTGAAGCACAAGATTCTGCAGTTGATCATCTATCTTTGTGGGCGTTGATTAATTCATCACCTGATTATCTGAAGTTAGGTATACCGGTCGTTATGCGTGGATTTTGTTCAAGAGGATGCAAGAACCTTCTCCTACCAGGTTACTATTACAAAGAGGTGGAAGTGAGGCTATAAGTGGTGTGACAGTTGAACATCTGGTCGATACTGAGATCACCTTATTTCTTTGGGCTTATTCTTTAAAGTTATCTATCTGCCTGCCCAAATTATTATGTAACTTACTCATCTGTATTCATGAAGCTTTTACCATGGAAATAGAGAAGTCAGAAAAAGTTTGTTCAATCACTCACTCCTTCACATGGATGATATTAATCAGTCTATCATTAGGTCCTGTTCATTTACCATTTTGCTTATTAAATTTATAATTTAATAATTCCCATTGTAGCACTAAGAACACAAAATATTCAGCGAAGAGACTCTTTTCAACGAATTTATTATCAAGCCGTACAATCGTATATAAATGGTTTTATAAAGAAATTATATCCAGTGAGGGAATTAGGTCAAGGGTGTGAATACATGGAATAATAATGATAGTAGTATGAAATGCAATTAAAATATTTGTGATGATAATCATAGTTTAATGTCAAATGGAAAAATAATTAATGTCATATGTAGAATTAGTACATAAGGTATATAGATGTGGGAAAGGGGTGCATAATTATACGATTAATAGACGAATATAAAATGTTACGTAACGTGGTGTGAAATTTGATAAGATAGAATTCACTATTGTAAAAGTAAAAAATAGAGAAAGTAATAATTTTGGATTTAGAATGACAAGTGGGTCAAGTGGAAAAGATTCAGAGTGAGAATAGTAATAATAATATAAATAATCGTAGTAATAAGGGAAAGATACATAAAATAACTAAATAAACAAAAGAAAAATAAATGTCTATCCTTCTACGGATAAGGCAGATGTAGGGATTGTACATACTTCTTTTGTACACAAAGCTGTGGCTTGAAGTCATGAATAGCCAAGGCCTCAGCTGTCTTTAGAAGCCTGTGACGAAGAAAACGAGGCTGGCAAGTTAGCACGAATTCTATATATGATCTTGAAATCATGGTCAGGGTTGACAGAGTGACAGAAGTCGATCAGGTCTTTTAGAATTGGGCTTCCCACACACTTCCTTTCTCCCTTGTAAAACCATGCCAGAATATGTTCTCGTATCCGTGCAGTGGAAGGCGTCCTCTGACCACAGCCAATGTACCTTGCTCCACAAGAGCAGGTGAACCAGTAGATGCACATGAAGTCATCCAGACGGGGGAGCTTATCCTTTACAGAGGTAGACAACAACTTGCGACTGGTGAACGTCATTTCTAATTTTGCTGCAAAGAACGCCTTATTGACTGATTTAAAGAGACGAGTTTTGAGCACATCTGAAGCTTTATCACCTTTGAATTCCAAATTCATGAATAAGGTTTTCTTTGGAATTGAGTCGGTGACCAGTTTAGACCGCTTATCTTTCATGTTGCTGTCGATAAATCGGTTAGGGTAACCATTTTCTGCAAGTGCAGCTTTTAAGAAGTCAAGTTCTGAGTCAATTTCTTTAAAACCATATATATATATATACGAATGTACAGCTTGATAATAAATTCGTTGTTGAAAAGAGTCTCTTCGCTGAATATTATATTCAATCTATGTCGACTGTTATTATTATTATTTTAATTTTGAACAATTCCCCAGTATTAACTCACTTATCACCTTTGTTTATTGTTACCTTGAATTCCTAGTGAAACACATACGACTTCAACAGCACATCTCCACTACTTTTTTTCTTATTCTCTCCAGTCCTTTTAAGCTGGTCTCACGGTTGCCCATAGTCCTTCATCTTCTTCTCACCCTTGAAGTAACGTCCAACTCGTCGTTTCCCATTCAGGTTCAACTAGAACGATAGACTGACGCGCGGTGATATTCGTCGACGATTTCCTCAGTGTGTGTGTGTGTCTCCCCGATCTACCTTCACTTTCTTCGGGTTATTTGTTGAGCACGAGGTTTGTTCCAAGAGTTTCTCTTTGCTTATTTCGTTCAGGTTGACCATTTAATCTTCATTGTGAAGCCAGCGAAGGGTGTAGATGTTGATAAATGTTTCCACTAGCCTAGTGGAAATCTGATTTCTGAGTGACAAAGAATATTTTGTTGCTTTTTTGATTCTGGCTTTAACATTATCCACAATTGTTCCGACTGCTTGTGGTTGAAACGATGCAGGCTACCTAGATAAGTGAAGGACTAGGCCTCCTTCAGATTTCTTTCGTCGTCACCTCCATCTTCTCTATGCTCATTTGAAGTCTTCCCTCTTCTGGCTGTGTTTTCCGTCAGTTTGTTACTTTTCTCCAGTAGATCTTGGCGATTGTGTGACATTGGACATAAATCAGCTGATCTGAGATCAGGTACAGCGTGCAAAAGGAAACTGTCGAGAAATTCAACCACGAACTGTATAAATTATTATTATTATTGTATCCTTTAGTTCCTAGAGGAACATAGGGCTTCAGCTGAGCACCTCCATTGCCTTCGGTTTTCTGACAACTTTTTCACCCTGCTCCAGGTCTGTCCACATGCTTTCATCTCCTCCTCGCATGACCTCCTCCAAGTCACCCTTGGACGACCAACTCGCCGCCTCCCTTTCGGGTTCCACTCGAGGGCTTGTCTAGTGATGTCACTTGATGGTTTCCACGAACTGTATAAATTGCAAATTAAAATTCCTATTGAATTTATTATCAATAGGTTCAAATAGCTAGTCACTCTTCGACTAGTTTCAACCGATTCCAGTATCTGTCTGTAATGAGTCAAGCTGGGAACACCGCTAATGAGCCCTGACCAGACGAGAGAAACAGCCGTTCAGTTTTGAAATCCCTTCGACAGTCCGTACAGCAAGCATTACTTCCATTATGGATAAGATTTTATTTTGATAAAGTGTCACACAGTGTTGTTATACAGTAATATTAACTGATGACCACGTTTCGAGCACAAACTATTGCCACTCATAATCATATCAAGGCAATACTCACACAACATTTTCCTTCACCTATATACATATGTGGAGTTGATGATTAGATATTTGAATAAAAATCAATATAGGATAATGTACATTCAGAACTATTATTATGAGTGTTATTGATCAAATACAATCAGGTGGGAATTAAGACGAGTGTTTTTATAGTCATAATAAGTAATCTTTTTTTAAATTTTTTTATTTTTGATTACAGCTTGATTCCACACCGTATTTTTGGTACAAGTGTGGAATTTTCAGCGTGGATATCGGTAGCCCAAAATTCGCAGGCCAACCATAGATATCAGGTGTTGTTGGACCCTACGTAGGATTGTTAATAAAGCAGGAATTAGGGTGGCATTCAAACCTACAAACTCACTCAGCGAGGACAAGTTCTGTAGGTAGGCTAAAAGACCCGGTGGACCCAATTAAAACAAAGTAATATAATTGACAAAATACCCTATAATGACTGTGAGTTAAGTCAACTACATGGGTCAAACCAGTAGATTGGGCGGGGTAGTCAGATTGTCAGAACATAAGAGTTTAGCTAAGGGAAGAATGATTGACCCCGAGAAGATATGTAATTTAGAAAAAAGCTGAACACCACTTTGCACTGCATGCATTAACACACAACCACACAATACGCTGGGTGGGAGAGGGTTAAGATTCTAAGAAGTAATCTATGTAGGTGGGGAGACAGAGAGGTTGATTACTGAATCCTTATTCACTGGGTTTACACCCAACAAATGCGCAATAGAAGTGACTCAATGCAAATACCAGAAATATGGAAGATATTATTACCGCCAGTCAGTCATATCAGAGGAGGATAATAAACAATCTTAAAATTATATTTCTCGTCACGTACATCATAACATTCTAACAAGTTACTTATTATGACTATAAAAACACTCGTCTTATTTCCTATCTGATTGTAATTCATAAATAACACTCATATTATAATTTCTGAATGTACATTATCCTATATTGATTTTGATTCGAATATCTAGTCAATTCCACACATTTATATAAATGAAGCGAGAAAGTTGTGTGAGTAGTATCTTGATATGATTATGAGCAATAATAAGTTACAATCGAAGCGTGGTCGCACCAGTTAATATTACTGTATAACAACACCGTGTGACTTATCACAATAAAATCTTATCCATAATGGAGTTACACTCTACGACCACAGTGCCCAAGTTTTATACATATATCAAGCATTACTTGTTGATATAAGTAGTATGCAACTACTCATATACATGAATTAGTAGTATATAACGTCACTTATCTATCCAAATAACGAATACTAAATGTCTTTTTTGCTTTAAAGGTCCATTATCCAATAAAATATGTCACCAAAAGTCACACCAATCAACCACCACCTAGTCAGCACATGTATGAGTCATCGGCTTTTAATCAAAAAACAACGAAAATGTCTGATATATATTCACAGTCAGATTTCTAAAATCAAATTTTCATCTAAACACTTATATTTTTGCTACTGAAAATCGATAAAGTATGGTTTTTTTCTTTTGAAGATAACAAATGCACAGAGAGGCGATTTCTAGGATATTTCGACATAGAAAATTGGGGATCTTGTTTCCCGATTGGTTAAAATACTCCATAGTCTAAATCTGCAGCTGAATCACATCCAGGAGTACGCTGAAGGGTAAAAAACACAGATTAAAAACAAAAATTTATTCCAGAAGTTATCAAGTGACAAAATAATCATGAATATTAGGCGTCAGATTTCATGAAATCAGTTGGACGGGACTGAACAGCCCGATGATTCTGCTACCTTTTACAGGTATCTCGATTCGCCTTTCCTAGTGTTTCATTCTGATGTTTTACTACCCAAATAATAGTTCCTACACGACTGTATGATCCTTCCCTCTAGTTAATGCAACTGCACATTCTAAATTCACTTTGATTGACGTCAAGAAAAATCAATTTTGGTTATTTTCAGCTATCGATTTCTAAGGATGTTATTGGTTGGTTACAGGATTGCATTATGAATTGACATCGACTACGGAACCATTGGAAAACCAGGAGTACTGGACAGCCGTTTCGTCAGCCTGGTTTGGGACTATGGGGTTCAAATCCAGGACCTTCCAGGATAAGGCGAGCTAGTTCGTAGACCATTAAGCCACTGCCACCGGATCCAAAGGCCAGTCCGTGAATTCCAATTTCTGCCAGTTCACTACATAGCGCTACTAATTTGCAATGTCCTTGGCGTGGGTTGGTATGAGGACAAATACTCGCCGAAGACATTGACTAGCCATCGAACTATGTCGTGAATTGGAAGGAGTTGGAATTCATGGATTGGCCATTTGATAGGGTCTCAGTGGCTTAATGGTCTACGAGCTAGCTCGCCTTGTTAACGGAAAGTCTTGGGTTTGAACCCCATAGTCCCAAACTAGGCTGACAAAACAGCTGTCCAGTACTCCCAGCTGGTCTTCCAATAGTTCCCTAATTGATGTCAGCGCATCATGATGAAATCCGGCAACCAATTATGTTTACACTCACTGCCTACTTAAAATATAGTAAGTAGATATTAAGTACAGATAAAATTAAAGCATCATTAATGAATGTTTTGATCCCAGTTCACAGTTATAGTGCTATAACAGAAGAACCCTTTATTCCAATGTGAACTGTAATATTGACTCATCTTACTGAAGAACTTTGACGTTATTCTAATTACTCTTATCACTGCCAACCAGAGTTCATGAGAAAGTAATTTTAGTATGTTTTGGGGAGTGTTTATAGACTAATTCGAACAACTCTTGCTTCAAATTCTGAGAATAATATTCAAACGGATCAACAGACCACTCTTCCACTGAAAGTCAAATTAACAAACATCAGAATATCAAAACTTGACTGATAGAATTTATTCTCCACCAAAAAGACACTAGACGAATAACACTAGTTACTAAATAGTTCCCAAATAATTTATCCAGTACAGTCCTACATGAAGTTGAACGCAAGCCCGAATACATCAATCTAACCTATATGAGGCATCATAGCAGCTTGATAACTAGACAAAGATTGAATGCTGCTGTTGAAGAGAATGTTTTTGCAGCTAATATCATAATAATAGAGAATGTGAAGCCAATATATCCACCAAAGCCCTCAGAATATGCGAAAAATGATGTCCAATCCAACTGTATTTAGCAATTTGAATGTACGTGTGGACAAATATACACACATAAGAAGAACTCATCGATCTCTGCAAGTAAAGGCTGGCTGGTTTTAGAGCATATTCCTAAATGGCTCCTGAAGCAAATAAAATTCCAAGAACCCATTAATCGAGAGAACATGTGACCTAGCTTCTCGATTTCGAAACATATTATGGAGACAGGACATAAATTTGACGCTAACAGATCTTTTAAACCTATCTATAGCACATGTTTGGGGGAGGGCGTATCCTAAAGATTGTGCAAGCCCTAACTAACAATTAGAAAATTTAGACCACCTTTATGCAATCAAAGCAACGATTCGTCATCACACTAAACCTACCTTGCTTGGTAAACCTTGTTTGATACTATACCAGCCAGGGTAGATGTATTATTACCTCTGTTATTTGGTTTCGTGATGTTCATTGGTATTTTCACCTTCAATATGGCGGCTTTTTAACTTGACCTGTGACCTCTTATCTCCTTATAAATTTTGTATGTATTCCTATGGCAAGTCCGTGTGTGATGGATCAGATTGTTCGAAATGTGTTGCACAAATTCATTACACGACCCTGACAGACGAATTATGTCTTCTTATTGCTTTGTCTATATATATATATATATATATATATATATATGTATATATATATATATATATATGTATATATATATTTATTTATTTAAAAGCAATATTTCAGTGAAAATAACACTCACCCCGGGGTAAGCTCCTTCGTCAACACTGAATTCTTTAGTTCTAATTTCCAGTTTCTCAATAATAGCAGCCATTCGTGTAGTTTGTAGTTTCGTTTCCTTATCAATCGATATAATCCTACATTATTGTATAACAATGATACATATATAGAGTTATTAATAGCAATACAGTGAGAGATAGTAAACAAGACATACAGTTGAGAGGTGAGTGTATTTGTAAGCATTTCTATCGCCCTGGTATCTGTTTGTTAAGTCAACTCATTAGTCGGGCTATGATATGTGCCATGGGACAGACAGAAAACACCAGCATCTTGAGACAACTGATTCAACTTTAAGTCAGTGGTTTTCACCCAGAACCTTGATGTTACAAGGTGAGTTCATCGGCCATTCAGCCGTCTGGATGGAATATAATGCCTCATCAATTAAAACTTCTATCATCTCACAACCAATAGCTATAAGATGATCCTACATGATGGATCATACTAGTCCCAACTTCTTAGTAGGACCTCAAGCAACTTCACCCTATAGTCAGTCGCTGATGGATACAACATTCGAAATCGTAGAGAAAATTTGTAGCTCAGGTGGATGATTTGCAATTTGTAGTGTTTTCTGAGCTGTTTGGTTTAGTTGCGGCGGAGCTTTCGTCATCCTTCTGGGCAACATCTTCTTTCAGCGCACTATTTAGCATAAAGTGAAATGATTTAAATTGCTTCATGAGTGATAGAATTGCGTCTCCTGGTAAGCATCTTTACACATGTATTGATCATTTTCAATTGACTTGGATTTTGAACTTTCTGGTCACATGATCTACTTTTTATTAGTTGGCAGATTTGGTCTATATCGACATGTTTTTCAATTGTATATTCATTTGAGTGCCAGGCTTCTAGGAATTTCCAGACTGCATTTTGCTGTTTCCTTTGTCTAAGATTTCGACATTATCCCAATCAAACTGATATCCATAACTGTCTATGTGCATTGATATGAAAGAATTTATATCGTGTCTTTTCACGGCTGATTTGTGTTCCTGGATTCTAAATCTAAGGTGACGCCCACTTTGGCCGATGTAATGCTTGTTACAGTTCATACGTGCAATTTATTTTGTAAATGGTATTAATTTTATCTCCTTTTTCTGTTGGATCTTTCGGTTGGCATTTTATTGAATTAAGTGATTTGACTGGCTTGTATGCTATGTCTATATCAAACGGTTTCAGTATTCTAGCTGTTATTTCAGAGATATTTTTCATGAATGGTAGGAAGAATTTTCTTGTGGTCTTTGATGATGGTTTCTTTTTGTGGGTGTTTTGATTCGACTTTAAACACTTTTTGATGAGATTGTGACAGGGATATCCATTCTTTCCGAAGATCCTTCTAAAGGTATTTTTCTTCCATTCTTTTCAACTCTGGAGTGCTACAGTATGTTTGGATTCTTTTAAACAATGTCTGCATACAGTTTCGCTTGTGGGTGATTGGATTATTGCTAGTATAGTTGAGTATTTGATCTGTGTGCGTTGATTTCCGACATACTTGTGTTTCTAAAATTCCTGTGTTGGTTCTCCGGAATAAGACATCTTAAAATGGGATTTTGTTATCTAATTCTTCTTCTCTTGTGGTGAATTTGATGCCTTCATATATGTTGTTTATTAATTTATGGGTGTATTCTAAATCATTTGTCTTAATTACTACAAATGTATCATCAACGTAACGTACCCAGATTTAAGTTTTCATTATAGGTAGAGCTATTAATTCTAATCTTTGCATGACGGCTTCAGCTATTAATCCTGATATGGGCGATACCACTGGTGTTCCTTTTAAACTGTTCGTATATTTGAGTATTGAATTGGAAGTATGTTGTATGGCATAATTCTATGAGTTCTATCCAAGTTGAACATTGCGTTTTTATGTTTTCATCACTACAGAGTAATTTTTGCATAGTTTCTGTTGCTAGTTCTGGACTAATCGAAGTACGTAATGCTGTGACATCAAAGGACACCATTATTTCATTGTCTTCTACTTGGATGTTTTTGATTTTCTCTAAAAATCGGATTAACGAACTGACAGATTGGTTGCATGATTCTATTAGGTAATTTTTTTCGAACGTTGGTCGGTTTTGAAATCACTCCAATGATCACTTGACCTACAACAAACCCGCAAATTTTTCTCTGAAGTGTCCGTTACGAATGCTATTGTTCCCTTGAGTTCCTGGTGGAACATAAGGGTTGGACAGCAGATCTTAATTTTCTTCTGTCCTCATCAGCTGTCTTTTGCTAGCCCTGTAATTGCCAATAGGCCTTTATCTCCGCTTCAGACAATCTCCTGCATGTCGTACTCGACATCTTGCTCAACTAACCGTTACCCACTGAGGTTCTACTTGAGCTTCTCCTGGAGTGCGATGTTATTCGATGGTCTCCCAGCGTGTTTTCAATCCATCTCAATTATCTTCGGCAGATTTGTTGGTTCGTTGACCGGCAGAGTTCCTTGCTGTGAATCCTTTCTGGTTGACCATCTAATCTTCAGTGTGGAGCCATAGAAGACAGGCGCCTGCTGGGAATGCCTTTCATGATACTCTAAGTCTCTGAACCACGCAGAAGAACTGATTTAACGTTAGTATTGAAAATCCGAATCTTTTTTATTTAGACTTAGTGTAGTAGACTTCCGCTCTGATTTTAGATTAATGAAGGTCAGCCTTGCTTCTCCGATGCTGGCCGGTTTAGTCACCCTCTTCCGTGACACTTTCAGTTGAAGCGTTACTACGGTGGTCAGTGAGTGTCTTAATCACCGTTGTCTTTCCTATGTCCACTTGAAATTCTGTCTCCACTGTTTCTTCCACCAGTTTGTTTATTTTCGCTTAACGACCTTCGACTCTGTATGACATGAGATAGAAAGCACCCACTAAGTTCAGATCTTCCAGTGTCTTATTGTCAGTGCAATGCTTGCCTTTCACTTCACTCCCCACAGCCTGTCGCATGATCTAGTCCACCGTAGACAAAAGCATCATCTGTGATACTTGGATCTGTAGCGGTAAATAATTCCTCAAAATTATTTATCACAGCACTCATCACTGCATATTAGATGCTGATATTCACTGTTTAAGTCGACTTGTTTATCTGGAGACTTCCGGTCAAGCATCCACGCCATTTGGTACTCCGTCGTGTCACGTTCGTGCACGATCACTAGCCAGCCAGGCAATCATTTCGCACCCCGACTTGGTCCCGAAATATATCTCGTGATTTGGACAATCATTTGTGGTCTTTTGCTTTGCCTTTGGTCTACACGGAACGAATAGCATAGAAGTTGTGGGTATTAGATCTAGTGTTAGTATACTCCGTACAATCCGTGAACGTCAATACCGTCAGCCTCTAATGATCCTTTGCAATAAAGGGTGGTTTTCCTAATGGGATGGATTGTCTGCGCCTTCCCTCTTTTCTGGACGGCCCAAGAGCCGGTTAGGGAACTAGGCGAAGATGAAGGTATTCAACACAGCCGCAATCGGAAAAGCAATAGAGGCGTTCATCAATCTAAAGTCTGTGTAGAGATTTAGAGCATTTAACACTAGGAATTTTTAGCACCCTTGTAAAGGAATTGCTTCCATTTGGTTCAGACACTTATAATATTATATATATGGTTTTTTAAGAAGTTATATCCGGTGAGGGAATTGAAGCATAGGGGTGAATGCATAAAATAATAATAATAGTAGTAGTATGAAATGCAATTAAAACTAAAATGTTTGTGATTATAATCATAGTTGAATGTCAGGTGGCAAAGCAAATTAATGTCATATATAGAATAATTCATAGGATGGAGAGAACTTGAAAAGGGTGAGCAATTATAGGATTAGTAGACACATCGAATAAAATAAAATCTTTACGTAATATTGTGTGAAAATTGATAACATAGAATTGAACGTTGCAAAACAGAATCGGTTTAGAGTGACAAGTGGATTAAGTGAAATTATACCGGGGACAGTTCAAAGTGAGAATAGTAATAGTGGTAACAATTGACATTGTAATAAAGAAGAGTATACAAACTGAATAAACAAAATGAAAAAATGAAAAATTGGTAGAGCCTAAATATAACTGGGGATTACCATACTTTAGCATAGAGGGATTAAGACCATGAAAGTTACAGGGGTTGAACAAACTTTTTCTGTACACAGAGATCTGGCTTTTCTGTTTCGATAGCCAAAGATGGCTTCAGCAATACAGATGAGTCGGGTACGTAGGGATTTTGGTAAATTACTATTTGTCTTGTAGATGACTTGAAAGTCTGAGGCTATGGAGATAGGGTGATCATTATCGACCAGATGTTCAATGATCGCGCTTCTTATAGCTCCACTTCGACCTCTTCGTAACCATTCAGGATAGTGTTCTTGCATCCTCTTAGAGGAAACTCGAGTCGAACGACCGATATACCTAGTTCCACACGAGCGAGCAGGTGAACTGATAAACCTACATAGAGTTGGTAAACAGCGGGATCTTGTCCTTCAGGTTATTGAACAGTAATGGTCAACTGGTAAAGGCTATTCTGAGAAATGCAGCAGGGAATGTTCTTTTCAGGGACTGTGATATCCTTCGTTTGATGATATCGGAAGCTAAGTCGTCTTATAATAATAGCCATATAAAAGCTACGAAAATAGTGTTGTACTCAAATTTATGGATCACTGAACTCCTAATTATCGTCTGAATGGTAGGTGAGCTCGCAGATGGACACTGCTAAGCATCCCTCAAATGAAATAAATCAAAAGTTCAGTATTCCCTGACTTTCAATGTTTCACCTAATCGTACCGGTTTACAACGAGATCTATCTTGAAACAATAATTCCATAAAATATCAACCAATAAGGTTACTAATAATTAATTCTGACAAACATTGACACAAGAAAATAGCCAATCAGAATCATTCAGTGTAAATAAGTACTCCTGATAATAACGCCTACACTGATTAAAATGTTCATCAAGACGATCAAGAAGCCTTTATCTAGTCGTGTGATGATCAAGTTTTCATTATCCTTCAGTTATTTCAGCTGCTTTCAACGTTCTTTGGAAATGACGTTACGAAAGCCGGACTTTTTGTTGATGTAATCGAGGCAGAAATTTAAAACGGTTGATTTGAAAAGGTCTGCATTCTCATATGAGATTGGGACCAGATCTTTCGTCTGGTCGATTAAATTCTCGAATTGGACTTTCGTGTTCAGTTCATTCACTTTTGACGTTGCATCACAAAACTTAGGTCCAAGTGCTAAGATTTCCATTTGAATTGGAGATAGTGGAACATTAGAATAATTGAACACGTATTTTTCTGGACAAGTAGGCGAGACGGTTTCTTTTGTAACGAACTTTAGGCCTTGGTCTTCATTATAACATTAACTGGAAATTATTCTGGAACCTTCTCATCCATTTGTTATAAATACACGAATGTACAGCTTCGTCGAGAAGAAAATTTTCTTCGTTGCAACTGTCTTCTTAATAATTCCTATGACCCAATGTGCATATTCCGTGATTTCAAGAGAAGCAAGGACTGTTCGACGGTAAAGGGACTGAACAAAGTTCTACGTTTGTCCGTCAAGCTTGCTGAGGCGAACGCAAAGATTTTCTTCTTGAAGAATTGTCTCGAGAAACATGAATATCCCAAGGTGCTTTGGAAGCATCTCAGACGAAATCACATATCTCTTAACTCACGTACACTGAGACGACACACTATGAATCACATCAATGCAGTGCGATGAAGACTACCTGGGCTAGAGCAGAATATCTCAAAAAACACTCCCACATTCTCTATGAGTTATCTGAAGATGAAAGAAAATCATTCGAAAACTACTGCAATACGGTTACAATGAAAGTAAACCAAGGCCTAAAGTCTGTTACAAAAGAAACCGTCTTGCCTACCTGTCCAGAAAAATACGTGTTCAATTATTCTAATGTTCCACTATCTCCAATTCAAATGGAAATCTTAGCACTTGGACCTAAGTTTTGTGATGCAACGTCAAAAGTGAATGAACTGAACACGAAAGTCCAATTCGAGAATTTAATCGACCAGACGAAAGATCTGGTCCCAATCTCATATGAGAATGCAGACCTTTTCAAATCAACCGTTTTAAATTTCTGTCTCGATTACATCAACAAAAAGTCCGGCTTTCGTAACGTCATTTCCAAAGAACGTTGAAAGCAGCTGAAATAACTGAAGGATAATGAAAACTTGATCATCACACGACTAGATAAAGGCTTCTTGATCGTCTTGATGAACAAATCAGACTACCTAAGCAAACTATCCGTGATACTATATGACTAAAATATCTAATATGACGTCGAAACGTTTCAAACGTTAGAGAAAGCAAAATTAGTTACTTACTTTTGAATGGTTTGTTCAAGATATTTTTGCATTGAATTCTCATCATTTGTCTCAGTTGTATGATTGACTTTATCTAAGAATGCCTGAAAAGCGATGCATGAAAATGACCGGATACTTCACATTAATGTGAGGTAGAGTTGTCAAGGTGTAAAAAATATGTATCGTCTATCTGATCGCCTTTATCGTGTCATGAAGGGAAATTGTAGACTACTTGTGTTTAATCCTCGAGACGCTAAGAATCAATGACTGAAAGCCTTTCTTAGTAACACAGAGGCATCCATTCATGGAAATCTCCTTTATGGATTAAACCCGAATGTTCTTACATATTAGCATGATTTCTCTTACATATTTCTGCTCAGTAAAGTTCCACTTTCTCTCTACCTTTGCGTTGTACGTTTATTAAGTGCACATCTATGAAAAGTTCTTCACTGAAAGTCAGTCAGCAGACTCTGAAATAATCAACTAAAGAGTAATTAATCTTCGTCAGAGGAATCACCCACTACAATAATTTAAATAAATTGAATTTTGAAGATATAAATACGATTATTTAAGTTATAGACTAGACTGGCAATATGCAAGCAAAATAGCTGACCAATGTTCATTCAGGTTAACAACTGTGTACATATTATTCGATATGGATCAGAAACTTGCCCTGTGTATCACAAAAAAACAGGTTACTGCGGGCTCGTATCAACAGCTCTTCACTTTACTCCATATTGAAGATCAAAAATCCGGCCGGCGGGCTAGAAAGAATCAGCAACAAGAAATTCTGGGAACCAAATAATCAGGATTCTGTTGCTCAAGAAATACACTGAAAAAAATTGGAGATGGATTGGACACAAGTTGAGGAGACCACTGGGTGACACACACACACACACAGGAGGTACAACGCTGGCACCTATGATCAAAGATAACCAGCCGGTTTTTTCTTGTCTTCCAATTTAAATGGCCATGTCTCATTCACAATCATAAAGGAGGATGGGGCGGACTGCTGAGCAGTACAAACGTCCTTTGGTGGATAGCCATTCGGATATCATGTCTACACCAGAGACGGTGTAAACTAGCATATGCGAAAATAGCCTTCTATATTTTTGCAGGGATTTCGTCAGTGGTCAACCCTTTTTGGAGCTGATACAACTTCCCAAATAAGTAAAGTGGTCAACGCGCTCCACCACTTCTTTTCCTATCTTTAAGCAAGGAGTCAATTATCCCAGTCATGCAGTATCATCTTACAGTTGACAGCAGGAGCGAATCACATGTCAAACATTCGAATATTGTAACTCAAGGCGTTCAGAAGACTCTGTTGGGTTTTGTCAGCGTCTTCACAGAGAAGATCTATATCATCCGCATGCATATTCTAAGTCAATGAGACTATTATTCCCTGGTAACAAGTCAATCCCTGAGTCGCTGAAGTCACTTAGGGGCTAATTCCACTAGTACATCTACGATGGAATTGAATGGAAATTGAGAAAGTGGGCATCTCTGTAGGACACCATTAGTTGAAACCATTTCAGATAACAACTCGTCGTAAGCGCTCACCTGGCTGAGTACCTCGGTCAGTGCAATGTATTTTCTCGACATTCCTTTCACAGCCAAACATCACTAGAGTACCTTTCGGTCGACAGAATTGAATGTCGCCTTTAGGTCAGGAAATATAACGATTGTTGCACGCTAGTAAGTATGTCCATTTTCAAGAATCTGTCAAAGTGTGAAGATATGACCAATACACCCTCTTCCTGGTCTAAAGCCTCCCTGGCTCTCTCGTGTTTGTACCTGCCAGGCACCACTTAGTCTACGCAATATTATTAAGCCTAGAACTTTGGATACAATATCAGTCAAGCTAATCCCTCTGTGATTATCACAGGAAGACTTGTCTCCTTTCTTGTATATGGGGATAACCAGTGACTTATATCAATCTGACGGGAGTTCCGCTGCCTCCCAGACGCTTCCTAGTACCTCAGTTAACGCAGATATTAAACTTTCTCCACCGTACTTAAATACTTCTGAAGTCATTCCATCAGGAGATGAAAGCCTCCGGACAGTGGCAGGGCCAGATGAAGAGAACTCCATTGAACAGGATTTAGTGAAGATGGGCTGTTGAAGCCCGAATGTTCTACTCGTGAAACAAGGGACAATAACAGATAATTTCTTATCGGTAACCAGTATCAGTAAAACGACCAACAGAAAGCAACTGTCAGTTAACAAAAGCAGGAGACCTTCATTACTTACTGTGTTTTTATTCCCCTTTGATATTTTCTTCCAGTGTGGTTGATACAGTCTGGAACGAAATATTCCTGTCAATTTTGGCTCTAAATCAGCTAACCAATAAACCTGTTGTGAGATCAACCGTTGAACAGCACTTCGTCTAACATTTTCGATATCACCAACAGCTAAACCAATCTATATGAGAATTAGAGAGAAATTAGATGATTCCTATTATGCCTACTGATATAAGAAATGCTACTAGTATGGATTTGTTGATTCGATAGCCAAAGTGAAAATAAAGTTTAACGAAAACCAGTCACTGTTGACCCACACAGGTCATACGATTAAAGACAAAAGACAGGCTGGTATGAACCAATGTGACAATTCCTTTCTGGCTTCACTTTGTAAATAATTTTAAAAGACGATTCTAGTGGATCTGCATGGTTTAAGTCTACAAATTGTTGGCGAATTGAGCTAGATATTGTCCAACACTGCCCTATTGATGTATTTGTAAAGTTTGTCTGTCTCTGTCTGTCTGGATTCAACATAGAACTTGGCACCGAAGTGCAGCAGTTCCAGTTGCCACGTTCCAAATAGCACACAGAGGTAGACAAGAAGATGAGTGAAGAGAATCAATAGAGTTTGACAAGTATAAGAGTGAAACAGAATGGGTAACGGTAGAAAGGAATATGAAAGATTACAGAGACTGAATACATCTGCGCTGGCCATTGACAACGATTTTGAGCCATGTCACCTATTGTCTCCAGCCATTGATTCCTAGAGTCCCGAGGGCCCCAACCCGGGAGTCTGCATCTCCCTACCTTACTCAGTTTAACTGTCAAGGATTTCATGGATTGATGAGGCCATGTTTTTGTTTGGCCACCACCTACTCTTTTCCAACCTGTACCTATATCAGCTAGTAATGCCCATTGGGGGAGGCGATGGTTAGGCATGCGTAGCGCGTGACCTAGCCATCTCAGTCTATGTAACTTTATAGCCTCGTCGATTGATTTTCCCTCTTTGCCTGCCCAACACTCTACGCCTAACGTCAACATTACTTACCTTGTGAAACCACCTAACGTGAGAGAGAGATCGCAGACATCTATGATCAAAAACAACAGTCAACCTTTTCATGTCTTCAACGCGTATTGGCCATGTTTCAGAGCCATAGAGAAGGACGGAGCGAACTGATGAGCAGTACACACGTCCCTTGGTTGATAACCGGATGTCACGCCTACGCCAGAGATGGTGTAAGTCAGCGAAAGCAGCTCGAGCTTTTCGGATCCGTGCTGAGATTTCGTCGCCAATCAGTCTGTTGGTGCTAATACAACTTCCCAAATAGGTGAAGTGGTCAACATGTTCTATCACTTCACTCCCTATCACTGAGTTAGGAGTTGACGTGGTTCAGTCCTGTAGCAGCATCTTACATTTTCAAGGGGCGAATCGCATGCCAAACATACGAAGATTGCTGCTCAAGGTGTTCAGAAGACTCTGCATTTTGTCAGAATCCTCCCCTAACAGGACTATGTCATCTGCATATTCTAAGTCCATAAGACTATTCCCTGGTAACAAGTCGATCCCTAAGTCATTACGTTCAGTTAAGGATACTTCCATCAGTGTGTGTGCTTTGTCCAAGCAATATGACTAGTTCTGTAGGAGTTAGTGGAATTATAAACACACAATGAAGTCGTCTCAAGCATCATCTTATCCTTGACGTATTTACTAATCATCAACAAACTGTAGAAACTGATCCGTAACTCAACCCTAAAAGGATGCCACTTCTCAACGATCTAGATAAGTGGCTTTTCTCAGAATCGCAGCCAAACTCTTACCCTTAAATTCAAGATTCATAAACATCAATTTCTTCAGCACCGTTTGTATGAATCTTGCCTTTGGCTATACTTTCATGTTTTGCTGCATAAATCTTTTAATGAGGACCTCATTAAATCTCTCCAGTTCACCACTAATTTTATCACTGTTCCTATTCTTGAAGATGAGCAGTCCACTGGATTTCTGTATGGCGCAAAAAATTCATTCAGATGTCTAGGAAAAAGCAAAATAACTGAGCAGAGAAGAACATCCACGTTTCGATTATTTTACTCTTCTGGCTCTACAATTAGATATATCTGTATGTTTATATACATAGAATATTCTAGAATAGTAGTCAATAACAATATTAGTGTTTTTTTTAAATAATATCGATTTGTAAAGTAAGATCACAATGGAATTACAGTTCATTAAAGATATATTGTAGCAAATAGAATATCAACTAAAATTACGAAAATTCCACAAAAATTGGGGATCTTTCACACCTAGATGGCCACTGGGGTAAGAATAATGTCTGAACTGGCTTCTTTAGGACGCACAAATTAGGCTTCCTAATGTGGATCCCAACAGTCAACCTCAGCAATATTTAGTAGTCGAACTCTTAAGGTAAAATTGAGATTTGCTTGTATGCGGTAAATGACTCTGAAAGTCGCCTCGTTGACATCAATCTTGTATTCTGTCTCCACAAGATGAGGTAGAATAGCGCTGTGCGAATAGATTTGGTCTGTCCTTTACTTAACCAACCACTATGAAGGGTGATGTTCGGAAATTCGACGAGAAACGCGTCTAATTGTACGGCCTATGTAAAAGACAAACTACCTAATTTCGCGTCTTCTATGTGTGTGTATCTACCAGTTTAACTGCTCCTGTGGAGTCGGTTAGTTGCGTAGGCCAGACAGTTAGGCGTGTTTCTCGTCGAATTTCCGAACATCATCCTGCATGGTGGTTGGTTAAGTAAGGGACAAACGAAATCTATTCGCAGCGCTATTTTATCTCATCTTGTGGATACAGAACACAAGACTAGTGTTGTTAACGAGGCGAATTTCAAAGTCATCTACCGCATACCAACAAATCTCAATTTCGCCTTAAGAGTTTGACAACTACATATTGCTGAGGCTGGCGGTTGGGATCCATATTAACAAGCCTAATTTGTGTATCCAAAAGAAGCTGGTTCAGACATTGTACTTACCCTGGCCATCTAGGTTCGAATAATAATTATTATTTATTATTAATATTTAAAAAACACTGATATTGTTATTGACTACAAATGTAGAATATTCTATGTTTATAAACATACAGATATGTAATTGTAAAGCCAGAAGAGGAATTTATCGAAAGGTGGATATTCTTCTTTGCTCAATTATTTTGTGTTTTATAGATGTCTGAATGAATAGTTTCGCTATATAAAAGAATTTATAAACGAAAAATACACATCATGTAATAGTAATCAACTTACTAATAAATTCATCAGAATAATTGGCACGAGAAATACAAATGTTGTATAAAAAACAAATGTGATTATGGGATAGTGTAATTTTAGTGAAGTTTTACTACTGGTTAACGGTTGTATCACAGTTGCTGTATGCTCATATTCACCTAACATCATCATGAGTGTTTTAAACAAGGATAAACCCAAATATTGAAATGGTTGTAATTCTAAGGAGATTGATGTCTCCGTTTGATTGCTGCTTGAGACATCATTGGCTATTGAAAAGCATTCATTGATAATTGAGTCTTTGAATTCATGGAAGTTTTATCTTCCTAAATTGAAAAAAGGTAAATATATATATATATATTTATAAAAACAAAATATTTATGGTGTTTAAAAACACCAAGGAAACAAACTTTGTTTAATAGAGAAGATTTCTAGCTCAGGTGAATGATTTGCAATTCGTAGTGTCCTCTCAGCTGGTTAGTTTAGTTGAAGAGATTTCGTCGTTACCCTACTACAAAATATCCCCTTTCAGCGCAATTTTTAACATAAAGTGAACTGATTTCAATTTTCCATGAATGAATGATAGAATTGTGTCTCCCGGTAACTAAGTCGACTTTAGCGTGGGCGGTCTCTTCGAATCAGAACCAAGGAACACAAATTGGCTGGAAAAGGCATGATATGTATTTTCCATATCAATGCATGTAAATAGTTATGCATACCAATATAATTGGGATAATGTAGAAATTTTAGATAGAGGAAACATCAAAAGTGCAGTCACGGAATCCATAGAAGCCTGGTACTCAAACAAATATGCGGTTAACAAACATGTTAATGTAGACCAAATCTACCAGCTATTATTACTTTATTATTATTACTGCTTCCTTAAATTCCTAGAGGAACTTAGGGCTTCAGCCGCACGTTTCCATTGCGTTTGGTTTTCTGCTAAAGTTTTCACCTGGTTCCAAGTGTGCACATATGCTTTCATCTCCTCTTCACATGACCTCCTCCAAGTCACCCTCACCCTTACACTGACTACCAACTCGACGCTTCCCTTTCGGGTTCCACTCGAGCAATAGATTGTCTTGTGATGTCACTTGATGGTTTTCCCAGAGTATGGCCAATCCAATACACCTCCATTTCTGCCTGCTTATTAGTTGCACAATCGGTTCGTGGTTGGTTTGCTCCCAGAGATCTGTGTTGCTGAACTTTTCTGACCAGCCATCTGATCTTGAGTGGTGAGTGAAGACGGCTGTTGATGAGGATCTGTAGTTTGTTGGAAGTGCCCTTTGTGAGACACGGCAAGTCTCTTACCCGTATAGTGGCAATGACTTCACAGTGCAGTTGAAAATCTGGATCTTATTTTTCATGCTGAATGCTGTTGACCTCCACAGAGACTTAAGAGTAATCAAAGCTTACCATGCTTTCCCGATCCTCGCTTTGATATCCTCATCAGTCCCATTCGCTTGCAGTCGAAACGATGCTTTCCAGGTAGGTAGGTAGGTGAAGGAGGTTGCCTCTTTCAGATTCCTACCATTTGTGCTGATTGATGTCTGTTGTTGTTGTTGCTGTTTCTGTTGCCGTTGACCAAGAGTCTTCATCACCCACCTCTGAGTTGTCTATGTTCACCTCAAAGAAGTCCTATCTTTGATGCTTCTTCTGCCAACTTGTTGTTTTTCACTTGCATATCTTTCTCTAGTTTGTGGGAAATCAGACATATATGTCGTCAGCGAAGTCCAGATCATCCAAGTTTTTGTGTGAGTCCATTTTATGCCTGTTTCCTCATTGGCCGTTGTCTGTCGCATTATCCAATCTACTGCAATCAGGAAAATCTTTGTCGACAGCAGACAACCTTGCCTTACTTCTGTCTTTACTTTGAAGGATTCAGTGAGTTTCCTGTTTTGGATTATTTTTCATGCAGTGTTGTCGTACAACTGTTGTATGAAATGTATAATTGTCGCGGCACCAAATAGTAAAAAGTAAATCATGTGACGAGAAATTTTAAAATCAAGTGGATAGAAAATAAACAATACAGATGTCACGAAGGTGGTTACTGGGAGACGCAATTCTATCACTCATGGAAAATTTGAATCAGTTCACTTTATGCTAAAATTGCGCTGAAAAGGGATGTTGTCCAGAAGGACGACGAAATTCCCCGACCCTCAAGTGTATTATTCTGGGTAATATACAAGTGAAAGGAGATGATGTATTCATGCAGTTAGAGGTCCAAAGTCCAGGTTCAACTTTTAGATGATGCATTCCTAAGCCTTGTCTAATATACTATTCAGTGGTTAACCTGGAAAAAAGAGGAAAGTCCAGTTAGCATGAGACCAGAAACTTTACACCGTAGAACAAAATAACATCACGGCTACCGTAACTTAAAGGTCTGTAGGTTGAAGCTGCATTCAGAATGCGATGAATGGAGAAAAAAAATGGTCCTAAGCGTCAAAATATCACCTTGAAGAGTTGAAAGAAGCACATAATCCTATCGACTACACGAACTACTGCCTCAAACGTAGTGAATAGGATTCTACTGTTATTTCGGAGACAGTTGTTACGATTCGACGTACATCCATTGGCAGATATTTCAACAGAGAATCGTTTGAAATAGACGCTATATGAAATCATCCATGCTCCCTAAAAATGATGTACTATCTTATCCTTCGTTAGTTTGTGTCCCAAATGGAACATAAGGCTTTAAGCTTTGTATGCTTAGTAATCATGGTGTTTTGTTTTTACAAGATAGGTTTATCACCAAGGGTAGTAAGATTGTCAGAGCGTAAGAATTTAGTGGCTAAGGTAAGAATGGTTGACCCCGAGAAGATAAATAATTTAGAAAAAAGCTCAGCAATTGCAATGCATGCGCTAACACACAACCACACAATAGGATGGGAGAGGGTTAAAATTCTAAAAAGTAATCTCGGTAGGTGGAGAGAGAGGTTGATTACTGAATCCTTGTTCATCGAGTCTACACCCAACACATGCAATAAGAATGACTCATCTCTCATACCTGAAATATGGAAAATACTATTACCAATCAAATCAAGTAAAAATCAAGAGAAGAACAATGGAACTATATAAATGAATTTAGGAAGTCGTGTGATTACCTTGATATGATTATGAGCAATAAATTGTGCTCGAAACATCATCTACTGTGAAAAGAAGGATGGATATGAGCAAATGATTAAACATAAATTTGTATGATTTCCAACTATAAATCGATTAAACTCACCGAATAGTTTGGAGCACGAAAAAGGACATGAAATGACAGGGCAAAGGCTACAAAGACTACGGAGAATACGACTAAACACTTGCCGACAGTTGCAAACACATGTAAAAACATGACGACAAATATACCAATATGCTTAAATCTGTGAAGGATAGATAAAATAAGGGTTAAAATACAATAACATCAATATATATATATATGTATATGTATATATAATTCACTAGGTAGCAGCCAGCATCATACACCTAACCAAGAACCAGACTCATGACAATGATTGCTACCGACTGCTACCTATCAAAATATGCATTACTATCCAAAAGGAGGTGAATTATGAACCCGAATGGCTCAGTGATAACGTCTCTAACTGAATCATTGGATGATCCAAGTTCGAATTGCAGGCGGGGGCGGTTGGACAGGAATCGTTTTAGATTGTAGATACGAGTATTATTAAGCTTGAAATCTGAGTCTTTCAGGGATTCCTACAGATTGCCTCTATCTGGATACATTATGCTCACGATACATTTGTAATAATTAAAAAAATTTTGTTTTAAATATACCCACAAAGAAATTAAATTCACCACGAGAGAAGAAGAATTAGACAATAAAATCGCATTCTTAGATGTCTTTATCAAGGGAACTAATAGAAGAAATTTAGGAACACACGTATATAGAAAATCAAAGCACACAGAGGAAATACTCAACTATAGTAGTAATGTCTCAATTATTTAAAAAAGAAACCGTGTGCAGACATTGTTTCAAAGAGTTCAAACACACACTGTAGCACTCCTGTGTTGAAGAGAATGAAGGAGAAATACCTACTATCTGTTAGTGAATTGGATTTTTTGATTTTCCCGTCGATTGATTGGACCGAAGTGCTCGCTCTAAGGTTGACATGTCGGCTTCTTGTGCAGATGCTTCGATGATGTCTGGGCATTTAGTTAGGATACAATTGGTGGATGGTGACTAGCAGTGGAATCCAAGATGTGCATTTAGTCCTATTTGGGACTCGTCAGCTGGATGTACCTGCATTTCTCAGTGAGTGCTGATGTCCCCACCGAGGCTCGAACCCAGTACCCATAGTTTCGAACGCCAAAGCGTTATCCACTAGACCACTTGGGCCACGAGAGCCACCTCTTGTGCAACGGGTCATATTAATTATTGAATTGGATTATTTGATTTTCCCGTCGATTGATTGGACCGAAATGCTCGGTACTGGTTCGAGCCTCGGTGGGAACATCATCACTCACTGAGAAATGCAGGTACATCCAGATGACGAGTCCCAAATAGGACGAAATGCGCATCCTGGATTCCACTGCTAGTCACCATCCACCAACCTACTATCTGTCTTCAAAAAGAATGGATCTCCACGCCACAATTTCATCCAAAAGTGTTTAAACTAAAGTCATAACACCAACAAGGAACCATCATCAAAGACTACAAAAAAATTCATTCTACCATATTTAAAAAATATCTCAGAAATAACAGCTAGAATATTGAGACCGTTTGAAATAGATATAGCTCACAAGCCAGCATAACCACTTCACACGATATTGTGCAGACCAAAAGATCCACAGGAAAGGAAGATAAAATTAATACCATTTACAAAATAAATTGTGTCGACTGCAATAAAACATTATATCAGTCAAAGTGGGTGTCCCCTTCTAATCCGAATCCAAGAACACAAATTAACAGTAAAAAGATATGCTTTACATTTCTGCATATCAATGCATGTGCATAATTATGGACACCAATTCAATGGGTACAACGTAAAAACTTTAGATCAAGGAAGCACAAAATCTGCAGTCAGGGAATTCGTAGAAGACTGCCTGGTACTCAAGCAAATCAGCCAGCAATTAACAAACACATTATTATAGACAAATTCACAGCTAATAAAAATCAAATCACATAACAGGAAAGTTCAAATTCCAATTTAATAAAAAAATATGATTATTAGAGATGTAAATTAACAACCAGGCACGACAGTGGCTGCTAGAGACACAAATAAATATCATTCATAGAGAATTCAAATGAGTTCATTCCATACTTAGACCTGCACTGAAGTGATGTTGTCTAGCAGGGGGACGATGAAAGCTTCGCAATTAAATCATCAGCCAGCTCCACAGAGAATACAATTAATTCCCAGTCAACCAAAATGAGCTACAAATCTTCTCTATTGTTTCATTATATATAAATATATATATGGCTCAGAAAGGCAGACCGTAGAGGCATTAATCCCAATTTATTGCAACATACAATAGGTAATATCCACGCAGTTTCTGATTCATTCTTTAACATAGTCTAAAGGACCATTTAAATTTTGTCAAAAGAAGACACAACTGCATTTGCTGTGTATGTATTACAGAAGCTTCGGCGATGCATAAAATTATTTTTGAGAACTTTGTATACAAAAACAAATTAATATGATCCTTCATACACAAAAGCGTTTCATTTCTCATTATTCCATTTTGTCCTTTTTTTCTTATTTCACTTTACGTCATCACATTCTAACACATTGGTTCGGTGTGAGGAAAACTACTTCCTAATGAACTCTTGTTGGCGGTATATATTTCATGAATTGACATAAGTTAAAATTCATGAACCCGCCAATGAATTCCATTCCTAGCAGTTTAACGGTAGGTTGGCTCGCCTCATCATCTGATGGCTTTAATTTTCATCCTCATTGAGTGTCGCCATAGGTGCGTGCTACTGCCAAAGATTCTTAAACCAGAGAGAAACAGCCATACCGTACTCTCTGGTTTTCAATACTTTTTCTAATTGATATCATTCCGTAATCAAATCTGAAAAAACAATCAAGTCTCTACGAACTAGTGACTGAAAACTGATCGCATTTGAAATTGATAAATTCACTCATTTACACATTCTGAACAGGTTGAGTTCAGGAGAAACAAGTCATGTATTGATCAAATCACCATACTACGGATCATCATTGAACAAAGCTTGGAATGCCACTCACCTCTCTATCTCAACTTCATCGACTTTGAAAAGGACTTCGACGATCGAGTGGTCATTTTGCAACTACTTCGCTACTACGGGGTGCCATCGACAATTATACATCTCATACAACAGTTGTACAACAATGCTGGATGCAAGTAATCCAAAACGGGAAACTCACTGAATACTTCAAAGTAAAGACGGGAGTAAGGCAAGGCTGTCTGCTGTCGACAATGATTTTCCTGATTGCAGTAGATTGGATTATGCGACAGACAACGGCCAATGAGGAAACAGGCATAAAATGGACTCACACAAAAAGAGACTTGGAGGATCTTGACTTCGCCGATGATATATGTCTGATTTCCCACAAACTAGAGAAAGATATGCAAGTGATGGAAAGCAACAAGTTGGCAGTAGAAGAAGCATCAAAGATAGGACTTCTTTGAGGTGAACATAGACAACTCAGAGGTGGGTGATGAAGATTCCTGGTCAACGGCAACAGAAACAGCAACAACAGCAGACAACAGTCAGCATAAATGGTAGGAATCTAAAAGAGGCAACCTCCTTCACCTACCTACCTACCTACCTGGAAAGCATCGTTTCGACTGCAAGCGAATGGGACTGATGAGGATATCAAAGCGAGGATCGGGAAAGCATGGTAAGCTTTGATTACTCTTAAGTCTATGTGGAGGTCAACAGCACTCAGCATGAAAATTAACATCCGGATTTTCAACTCCAATGTGAAGTCAGTCAGTGCTACTCACTATACGGATCAGAGACTTGGTGCGTCACAAAGAGCATCTCAAACAAACTATAGGCCTTCATCAATAGTTGTCCTCGCTTAGTACCACTCAAGATCAGATGGCCGGCCAGAAAAGATCAGCAACAGGGATCTCTGGCAATGAGCGAACCAACGTAGCAAGAACCGGTTGTGAAACATATACGTAGAAGGAAATGGAAGTGGATTGGATTGACCATACTCTGAGAAAGCCATCAAGTGACATCACTAGACAAGCCCTCGACTGGAACCCGAACAGGAAGCGGTGAACAGGTCGTCCAATGGTGACTTGGAGGAGGTCATGTGGAGAGGAGATGAAAACATGTGGGCAAACTTGGGGCCAGGTAAAAACTCTAGCAGAGAATCGAATGCAATGAAGACACGTGGCTGGAGCCCTATGTTCCTCTAGGAATCAAATGAAATACTACTACTACTAATAATACATATCCAAATGTACTTTAGCCCCATTAAGGCTGTTGTTATGCTCCATTCATGAGTACCAGGAAGTGCAAAACCTACGTGGAGGACTATTTGTAATTTTCCCTAACTGTCTAACATCAAGAGTATAACCTATAAGTTGTCTCTGAAATGTCTTTGACGTAGTGTAAGACAATTCTCTTAGTTAGTCAACCCAAAAAGGAATTACTGTTTATTCCGTGGATTAACAGTTTTTGGCCTCCCCTCATGTTCTCCTGTTTCTAAGAGCCAATCAAATAGAAAACTTAGTTCAAAAAATAGCTCTGTCAGAGGAAACAATCGCTTCGTATGAACTATTTAGTGCTTGGAGAATTAGGCTAAGTTTCAATGGACAATCTGTTGAAAATAAATCATGTAGTTGGATCATCTTCATATTAGTTCTTAGTAGTTGATCCTCATAGAGCTTTGAAGTACGCTGTTTCTGTGTACTCTGGTTAAAATCCTTCTGAAACCATGTATCATTTAGGCTTAATCATAAAAAGTTAGTTTATAAGGATTAGATTTGTTTTTTTACGAGTTTAACCACGGATTGATATCAGTTAGAGAGCCATTGAGAGAATAAAGGATGCACTGGCTACAAAACTCCACCATCCCAGAACAAGTTGAATTCAGGAAAGGCAACTCATGCACTGATCAAATTGAAACTCGACGCATCATCATCGAACACAGCATAGAATAGTAGTCAAACCTCACCTTATCTCAGCTTCATCGACTTCGAAAATGCCTTTAACAGAGCAGATTGAGAAGTTATTTCGAAACTATTTCAATACTATGGCGTACCTCAGGTCTTTATTGACCTAATTTGACAGTTGCCCATATAACAGTGTCAAGTGATACACAACGGAAAACTCAGAGAGGTGTTCGAAGTGCATACAGAAGTAAGATAGGCTGGCTGCCTGTTATCACTGACAATGATATTCTTAATTGTGTTGGACTGGATTATGCATCAGTCAGTGTGTGGGGAGCAAGGAGTCAGGAATACGCTGGATGACCGATGAGAAGACTCTAGAGGATCTGTATTTCGCGTGTGAGGACGATTTACGTCTAATGTTACACTACCTCGAAGACTTACAGGCGAAAATCAGCAAACTGGCAGAAGAAGCTGGCTGGCAGCGAAATCCGGACTGCGAGGGGAACATAGAGAGACGGAGGTGATGGAGATGACCAATGGACAGCAACAACCAGCACAAATCTCACCGTCAACTGGAGAGATTTGACAGAGGTTACTTCCTGGCTTCACTTATCTGACCAGGCAGTCGAAACGAAGGAAGATGTCAAAGCTAGTCAGATAGCCAGAATCGAAAGGGCAAGATACGCACGTCTTCATCAATCTGAAACTAGTTTTGAAATCTCTCTGCACTCACTTAGCCAGCCAGCCAGCCAGTCAGCCAGTCAGCCAGTCAGCCAGTCAGCCAGTCAGCCAGTCAGCCAGTCAGCCAGCCAGCCAGCCAGCCAGTCAGCCAGCCATCCAGCCAGCCAACATAAATGTGAAGTCAGTCAGTCAGTCACTTCTTCTATATGGCGTCAGACACTTGGCCAGTGTGTGTCACGAAAATGATTTCCAACAGCCTGTAGCAGACTTTCATCAACAGTTGCCCTCCTGAAGATGAAATGGTCAAAAAGAATAAGCAAAAAGAAATTTTGACTGGCTGAGAACAAACTAACAGGCGAGACCCTGTTGCTCAACAAATATGTAAGAGAAAATAAAGATGGACTGAGCATAAACTTAGGAGACCGTCTAATGATGTCACGTGCAGTGCAGTTCATCCATCACTCGAGTAAAATTCAAATGGGAAGCGACGAGTGGATGGTCAGTGCGATTGTGACATGGAGGAGATCGTTAGGTGAGGAGGAGAAGATGAGAGAGTTTGGTCAGTCGTGGAGTTAGCCAGATGAAGAGGACTGCAGAAAACAGAATGAAGTGGAGTGTGATGTTGAAGCCGTATTGTTTCACTCAGAGCTAAACGGAATACAGCTGTTTCATCCTAGTTTGGGAATCACTGGCAGTATACACCCTGGCTGGTTTTCAATGCTTGTCTAACTCATATCAATCCGTGGTCAAACTCGTTCATAATAATAATCATCATTAATTAACACTAAAAATAACGGAGTCATCTACTTAATTCTGTCGTACAGAATTACCAGTCGGTGGCATAGCGGTTAGGACGCTAGCCGACCGTGCAAATAGTCCGGGGTTTGAACCCCGGCCGACGCACTCCTTTACCTCGCTAAACCAGAAATAAAGCTGGTAAAGAGGAAAGGTTGGGCATGAGGTCGCTAGCAACCCCATCCTGTAAAAATAAACACTGTTACAGAAACTTCAAGCCTCCAGCTTGAAGGTGCCCTATGTTCCACTGGGAACGTGAAGGAAACAAAAAACGGACTCATCTACTTAATTCTGTCGTACGGAATTACCAGTCACTCTGTCTGAGCAAGGAATGTATGAACCGCTAAAGAAATGTCATTTCATTTTAAGATTGCACGCACACACTTACACAGACATTTTGTTGACATGTATCGGGAGAAGTTTCTTGTTAGCACCTGCCGTTAAACTGAAGTGGCGCAGATGCATCCACTCCCTGTGACTTATGATCTTCAATGAAACTGTTTTGTATTTCTTTATTACTCCTTTGTCTCACACCTCTGCTCACTGTTTCTATTATGCTTTTCTTGTACTTTCTTCTCTTGCTTCGCGTGCTACACGGAATGTGGCGACTTGAACTTCCGCACATTTGTGCAAAGTTCTATGTCGAAAACAGACAGACAGACAGAAGTGTACTGTAGCATCATTTCACTTGGTTTTATGCCAGTAGTGTGCGCCTAGTTGGAAAAATTTGAAAAATTTGCATGTGGGACTTTTTCTATTATATTCTTGATTTACAGCTTGATTCCACACTGTAATTCATTAGTGTTGATAGTGCTAGTCTCATATCCAGCCTTCTCTCCTTTTCCATGCTAACTATTGGTTAGCAAACTCGGCGAGGTTCCCGGCCGATAACTGCTACCTTGTCGTGGTGGTCGGGCTTGAATACCGCAATGACCCAACAAGCTGAGCTGACTGGGACTCTGTCTCTTCAGGTCCTACCATGTCAGGAAGGTTTTCTGGATAGCGGTTAAACTAAAAGCAGTTACCATGGGGTACATGGGCTCCAGTTTCCAATCGGATCAAATTGCGTATGAACCCACATGGGTCACCGGCAACCATGAGAATGCAGCTCCTGACGCCGCTCCGCTGCCTTGCGGATTAGACTCCAAGTCAAAGGCTCGGGGGGTGGTTCCTTAATAAAACCACTTGCTTCGGTCTGGGCGCCCGGGCAGTATCTCAGCCAGCACACAATGAATGAATTAAAGCAACGAACTCCCATTGAAACTCAACGCGCGCAAAATGATTCCAAGCAATACTGATCCCTCAAGGAACTTATTTCCCTCCTACCCTACTTTTATTTTTATACATAGTTTCCTGTATTGTACCTTTTCTAACCTTGGCTTCTTAACCTTCGACAGCCTTTTTTTGTGTGGCGCATCTTTCTTGGTGCCATATTGTACCAAGTTTTTTTACGCGTTTAAATAAATAAATAAATCGGCGAGGTTTCAGAGTGCACCAACTGGAAATCAAACCCAGACCACGTGTGTATGTAAGTATGGCTGTGCGTCGGTGGCACAGTGGTTAGGACTCTCGCCGACAGTGCACATGGTCCGGGGTTCGAGCCCGCACCGACGCACATCTGATATCTATGGTCGGCCTGCGAAATTTGGGCTACCGATATCCATGCTGAAAATTCCATACTTGTACCGAAAATACAGTGTGGAATCAAGCTGTAAATAAAAAAAGCATTTTACTACTGAATCACAGACACGCCTTATATTCTGAAGGTCCTGGGTTTTGTCCCCCCTCCCCCGTCGGCGGAGTCATGACTTGTGGAACTAGCAAATAGCAAAAACAATTATAAGAATAAAACATCATTTTACTTACCTCATCATTTGTAGTAGGAAATTAAACCATGCGAGGAACATAACAATCACTCCCAATGCAACATAATAATGATCTACATGATTCTTCAACGTCAGGGCGGAGTACGTCATAGCTAAGGAATTCAACAGGAATTCTAAGTAGTTATTCCAATCTCTAAAATATTCCCATTTCTATGGTATGTAGAAAAGATAAAAGTAGGTGAAAAAATGATCAAGGATATTCTCAAGTAATCAATGAAATAATGATTTTTTTATCAAAGAATGGATTCCTAACAAAGAGTACTCTTTTCGATAACCCTTTCTTTATCAGGCTCTACAGTTATATATACATTATAGTGAATGAATGAATTAGTGTTATGAACAACATTAATGCTGCTTAAATAACATCGAATCAATAATATTGATAGATTACAGCTGAATAGCATCAACATAAAATAAGCTGAATGTCAGAAGAATTAGGAAGGATAATATTACAAATTCATGAATTTATAGTCTCTACTGAAGACCAGCCAGGGCAGTTGTAGTGTTTGGCTGGACTTGCTTCCTGTAAACACAGATCATTGGTTGTTTGAAACGAATTTCGACAGCCTCTGCTGTTTGGGGTATGCGGTGCTTTGATGATTTTGGCAATTTATTAGGCACCCGGTAGATGATGATAGAGAAGGATTCTTAAAGGCTGGCTGGCTTTGTGGCCGATTTGCACTAGATGGTCCAATATCGAACTGTTAATGGTTTTCACTACACCTTTACTTAGCCATAGTGGGGAATGTTCTCGAGCGAGCACGAAAAATCAAGTTCTTAGAGCAACGACCAATATAGCTCGCTCCTTCAAAAGCAGCGCAGTTGAATTGGTAGATACATAAGGCTTCAAGCTTGAGACATTTCAAGTCTCGGTAGCAATGGTGTTTAATTTTACGAGATGGGGTTGCTAGCCTCATGCCAAACCTTCCCTCTTCACCGATGAGGTAAGGGACTCCGTTGGCTAGGAATTGAACCCCGAGCCACTTGTGTGGTTGGTGAGCATTCTATTGCTGTGCCACTAACGCGCGCACATGTCTAGATGTCTAGAAATTAGATGTGCGCCGGTGGCACAGTGGTTAAGACTCTCACCAACCATGCACATGGTCCGAGGTTCGAACCCCTGCCGACGCACACCTGATATCTATGGTCGGCCTGCGAAATTTGGGCTACCGATATCACATGCTGAAAATTCCATACCTGTACCAAAAATACGGGGTGGAATCAAGCTGTAATCAAAAATATAAAAAAAAATAAAATAAATATATCTATCCAGTGTGTGAACTACTGGTCGACGGTGACTAACAATTGTATCTCCAGACTGACTTTGGAGTAATGAGAGTATGCTTGGTTTTATCATTGTACCTGACTTTGCAATCCTCATCTGTGTCAGCTGACAGTATTTTCTAAACGATGCTACCAAGATTAGAGCAAAGGAAATAATTTCCACTGGTACTGATTGGTTGTTGTTGGTGTTATTGTTGGTTGGTTGGTCGGTGGTGGGTGCGTGGGTGGGTAAAAGTGCGATAAATTAAGGACAATACATCAGCAGAAGGTGTATATAAATGAATTATTACAACAATGGAAGAAAATTCTCTTGAAGTCAGCATTACCTGAGAATACAACTGCCACAATTTAATATTTAAATCCAAAGCTGTAAGAACAAGGATAATTGAAGCAACTGTTGAGAATAGATACATTCTTGTAGGGGATTCATAAAACTAAATTCAGGTAAAAGAAAATGAAGAAAAAAAAACAGACAAACAAAATATTATCAATTAAACTCAAATATTCTAGATAGTGAGCATGTGGTTGACGTTAATACAGCATTGAAAATTGTTTATCGCATTCCTACTAACCTTAATTTTACTCTATGAGTTCGTCTTCTACATACCTACCTACAGCTGAAGCAATAGGAAACCAAACCTGTGTGTTCAGAAGAAATTTACACAACCACTTTCCTTACCTTGGCCATCATCGTTACATGAATGGATAAACCGGACTACTTCGCCCCACCCTCCCCCTAAACCTATAAAAATTATAACTGTCCAAATTATTTTAGTTTTATTTATTTTGTCCCCTTCATCTTGAATTACGTGTTATCCTTGTAAAAGTAATTTATTCTAACCATTTCTACCTTTTAATTGTGTCCATTGATTTTCTTCGTTAATTATCACCTCATTAACTAATTATTGTTCACAAACATATCAGTGCCACTTGATGATTGGAAAACTGTTGTGTATTGTAATAAAAATGCTACGGGTATATATATATATATATATATATATATATATATATATATATATATATATATATATATATATTAGAGTAGAGCCAGAGTGAGATGAGGAACTAATTGAAAAGTAAAATATTTCTTCGCTCAGTCTTTCTGTTTTCTAAATATTTACTTTACTTTTCAAATATACTCACAAGTATAACATGCCATACGATTTCGTCCTGTAACCAGAAGGTCCTGCCTGGGTTCGAACCCATGCGGTCAGTGCGTACTGATGAAAAGACTCAAAGTAGACTGACAAAACAGCTGTCCAGAACTCCCTGACTGGAGTTTCCAATGGTTCCTCAACTGATGTCAGCTCTTGATGAAATCTTGTAACCAATCAATCAAATTCTTGCAAGGCAATGCTTGAATACAAATATTTTATGCTTAACAGTTAAGGATAAGATGTCGCTTTCGGCTTCCTCAGTGTGTATGTGTCAGTTTACTTCCTCCTGTCGAGTAAAGTAGAAATCAGCCGTACACAGTGTCAACCACGTAAATGCATTATGAAGCACTATCCAACCAGACCAGTTGCCATAAGAGAAATGGCAAATATCAATAGTTCTGTCCTTGAGAACTGTGTCAACTGTGAACATCAGGTACCTCCTATGTGACGGCTTCACAGTGATATATATATATATATATATATATATATATATATATATATATATATATATATATATATATTTCCTCAGTATCATAGAAAGATTTTCGAATATGCCGTTTATTTTGTAGTCAGATAATTAACTATTCGGGGACTCAAGGGGGACTTTTGAATTCGAAAGCACTACATTCACTCACTTGCCTTAAGCATGGTTAAACAATATTCTTGCCATAACCGTTTGATATTTTAATTAACTATTATTATTGTACGTCGGTGGCACAGTGGTTAGGACTCTCGCCGACCATGCACATAGTCCGAGGATCGATCTCCTGCCGACGCACACCTGATATCTATGGCTGGCCTGCAAAATTTGGGCTACCGATATCACATGCTGAAAATCCCATACTTGTACTAAAAATACAGTGTGGAATCAAGCTGTAATCAAAAAAAAAAACAAGAAATAAAATTTTTAATATTGTTTTAAATCATTGTAATTACCACTATTAAGTTTTTATTAGTAATTATGCATTTCTCATACAGATTTTGATATCAACACTTTACTGTATTTCATACATTTGGTTCCCTTGAAAAATTTCGATAGGTTCTCTTGAAAATGAAATGTTAGTGTGGCATATACTACTGACAAAATGTATTGGTTGTATATATAAAGAGACTTTCATCAGCACAGAAATTTCATCTTGTAACATCCCACTCACTTAATTGTTGCTCAACTTCTTTTTTCCAAATAGCATAGAACTCTTTCTTTGCAATGTGAATGTCGTCACATTCTGACCTGTCACAGGGATTTCAAGCTTCAAATAGTCACAGTTACTGTACGGGTTTCCATTTGGTGTAAATTGATAATCATATTTTCTAGCTAACACTTTCAGCATCTTCATTCCTGATATATCATTATTTTCATGCATGGTGATGGATCCGTACTTTGTATTTATGGCCCTTTCCTTAGTATTAATTACAGCACCTACTTGTTGCAGAAAATCAGTCCCCAGGATTAAACTCCGTAACTGAGGTGGAACAATGAATGCAAAATGTTATTTTGCGTTGGATAGTATGAACATCACAGTTGGAAATGCTTGTGACGTTTAATTTCTGCCCTACCAATGAACTTGGTCTGACATTCTCACAAGGATTTGCATTTATAAGTGAGAACGCCGCCCCTATATCATCTATAAAGCACAAAATATCCTGATCATTTACTCACAGCTTAGAAATACATTAACCCCCTTTCAATCTTCCCTATCACTTCTAGTTTTATCGCAGAGAATAAGGCACATTATTTTGTTTAAGACTGTTCTTTTTTTTATCCTTCTGGACAGTGTTTCCTTCAGTGTCCCCTTTGGACACATTCAAAGTACTTGTGTCTTCTGATGTTCACTCTTACAGCCACTTTTACTTGCTTGTTCCTAGTTGTTCGTTTTTGGTAGCTGTGTTGCGGCGACCGTTGTGTTCAACAACTGTCTGGTCACCTCTACTAGCTCACGAATGACCACGGGTTGTGCAGAGTTAACCGTTTCCTATCTGTTACCAATTCTCGTGTCTTGTGGACTCGTACTTCTTACTGAAAAGTATCAAGCTGGGATGAAACAGCTATCAAGAGCATCTGGTTTTTCATTATTTCTATCATCGTCTTACAGCTTATTATCGGTAATTAGGAGTCATGAAACAATGCGAATTTGAGTCGTTAGATTATTTTACAAACTTTCTCAAGTATATAGCAATCATCATTCCAGGTTGTATTGCAGTCACCTTGCATAAAGACGTCATTTATGTTGATATTCAGGAGTTACACCGCCAAATGTTTATAAGGTAAAAGATAAGTTATTATCCATTCAACTCCAGTCATTTTTACGCCCATTGCAAGTGTAGTGATTGAATGCATTTCTTCTTTATTCAGAGTTCAAGACTTAGAAAGTGAATCACCATTGCTTCTGCAGTTTGAAGAAGTGTGATGCGTACAACTTTAGGAAGATTACTTTCTACTCTGTAGACGACTTCGAAGTTTATTTACAGTGCAGCTTGGTATCTGTATTCTATCAGATGTTCTAAGATGGAGCTGAGGGGACATCGTTTTTCTCCTTTGTAAAACCATGTTGGTAAGTGTTCGGTTATAGGTTTAGAAAGTGAACGTTGGGTACGACCGACATACCTGGCTCCACACGAGCAGTCGAATTGATAAAAACACATTGATGAGGCCAGCAGTAGTAGCTCATCCTTCACGTTCATACGAATCATAAGTTTCGTGGGAAAATTTAGTCCTATTTCAGCTGCGAAGAAGGTCTTCTTGAGTAAGCGCGACAGTCGATTTTTCAGTGTTTCCATAAATGAATCCCCAGTGAATTGAAGGTTCATGTAGAGGAATCTAAGTGTGGGCCTCTTTTGCAGTCTGGGATTCATAGATTTTGCAATAAATCTTTCCGGATAACAACTCTCGACTAGGATTCTCTTGACATTGTCCAGTTCATCTTCTATGGTATCCGGGGTGCAAATTCTGCGAACTATGTAGCTGAATGAACGGATCAGGTTTTTTTTTGGTGTATAGGGGTACCCAACTGTGAAAGTTAGAAAGCTGTCCATTTCATACCGACTTTCTGTAGGTAGATCTTTCAGTGTTTCATCCTGCTCTCGTTTTGTTAGTTGGACATCAAGAAAGGATATTTATCAGTCCACCTGCTCGTTTGGAGCCAGGTATGTCGGTCGTACCCAGCGTTCACTTTCTAAACCTATCACCGAACACTTACCAACATGGCTTTACAAAAGAGAAAAACGATGTCCCCGCAGTTCCATCTTAGGACATCTGGTAGAATCCGGACACCAAGCTACGCTGCAAATAAACTTCGAAGTCGTCTACAGAGTAGAAAGTAATCTTCCTAAAGTTGTACGCATCACACTTCTTCAAACTGCAGAAGCAATGGTGATTCACTTTCTAAGTCTTGAACTCTGCATACAGAAGAAATGCATTCAGTCACTACACCTGCAATGGACGTAATCTATCTTATTACCTGACAAGTAATATTCTACCTCATCTCTTTTTTTGTCTGAGTCTTCAGTCATTTTTGCTTCTTCAGAAATGTTCGGCCTATGTGTGGACGATTCTTATACCTGTCTAAGGATTAATTAACATCACGTTATTTCCATGGATGATGAATAGTAGCTGTGGCATCCAACAAGATGCACCTCATCTTCATTTACAAATCGTCAGCTAGATGTTCACCAGAAACTCCCAGTGGGAGTGATGGTTCTTTCCCAAACCCCCGCCCCTCCTAATGAGATCTGAACCTAGCGCCGATGGTTTTCCAAACATCCAAGTTAGATAAAATGCATACTTTACGCATACAATTATAATATTTCGCTGATAATGATGAACTTACCAAATCAGAGCAAATGTCAATCTTCTTTGTATCATCCACGTGATATACTGGATTATGTCCCAACACCAAACAGGTGATTGCAATCAACAAGACAGCATAGTAAATGCTTACGCATAATTGTACCCAACGTCCATAAATCTGCCTTCATATGTATTTGTTTGAAAGTAAAAGTAGGTTAAGAATGAATCACTACATAGAAAAAAAAATTTTATTCTATTGTGGATAAAATTAATTTTAATAAAGGGGACATTTGAGACCCACCCTACATAGGATTCTGAATAAAGAAGGAATTAGGGTGGCATTCAAACCCACAAACTCATTCAGGGACAAGTTATGTAGGCTAAAAGACCAGGTGGATCCAATTAGACAAAAATAATATAATTTACAAAATACCTGCAATGACTGTGAGTTAGGTCAACTACATAGGTCAAACTAGTAGGTCAGGAATAGTCAGATTAACAGAACATAAGAATTTAGTGGCTAAGGTGAGAACGGTTGACCCCGAGAAGATGAGTAATTTAGAAAAAAGCTCAGCAATTGCACTGCATGCGCTAACACACAACCACACAATAGGGTGGGAGAGGGTTAAAATTCTAGATTTTAGATTTTTTAGATTTACAGCTTGATTCCACACTGTATTGTTGGTACAAGTATGGAATTTTCAGCATGGATATCGGTAGCCCAAATTTCGCAGGCCGACCACAGATATCAGGTGTGCGCTGGCGTGGGCTCGAACCCCAGACCATGTGCACTGTCGGCGAGAGTCCTAACCACTGTGCCACCGACGCACAAAAAGTAATTTAGGTTGGTGGAGAGAGAGGTTGATTACTGAGTCCTTGTTCATCGAGTCTTCATCCAACAGGTGCAATAGGAATGACTCATCACCACCAATATCAGAGATATGAAGAATATTACTACCAATCAAATCAAGAGATGAGAAATAGTCGAACCATGCAAACGAACTTAGAAAGTTCTGTGAGTAGTGCCTTAATATGATTATGAGCAGTAATAAATTGAACTGGAAAGGTGGTTATCAGTAAATATTACTGTATAACACACTGTGTATAACTTTATCAAAATAGAATTTATCCACAATGGAATAATACTCTACTGCCACAGTGCATAAGGTCTATTCTTATATCAATGATAATAGAAATTTCATTTAATTAAACAATAAAGCTCCATTAAATCGAATTAGAGAAGAAGAGTCATTCCATGAAGAGTTACTTTTTTTTCCGAGTGAAATACAACATTTTAAGGTTTCAGTAGTAGCACTGATGTTTTGTTTCTTACAGATTGTGGGTGGTAACTTCATGCTTGACCTGATGTATTCATCAGGCTTACAGACGATTTAGAGAGAAGTATGCCAACTGATATAAAAGTTAGCGAATACCCTGTCAGTAAATCATCCACTAACGCAAAACGAGGTATGTGTCTAAGGATTTCTCTAGAAGAATTTGAGTTTTAGATGATACTCAAAAGATTCTAGGTCTTATAATACAAGGAGCAATGCAATCGGTTAGAAAATAAAGCCGAAGTAAGTAGATCGATATGTGTAATATAGCAGACAGGACAGAGTAGAATTCGACCTAGAAGGAAAGATGATCAAAAATAGAAGTTTTGATGTGCTGGTGTTCTCTGAGCAGCTACTACTAGGCAACATCTTCAGTGCATACTTCAATTTGAAGCCAACCGTGATCATGGTGTAGTGTTCATCATGGTTGCCTTTCAAGCAGTCGATCCGGATTTGACTGTCGACGATCGCAACAACTTTTGAAATGACTATTCATTCACCACCCCCCCCCCAAATCAAGCACATACACACCAAACACAGACACGCACAGCGCTCTATACCATTGAGTACTCTGATCACACACCATCAACTCACTAGACAGTCACATACTACCGGGTATTGGTTATCTAAAAATCACTCCCAAGAAAACGCTCTTCAGTAATGCTGTTAATTCAGGTTTAAATGTTTTAGGGGTATTATTATCTTAGTGATTGTATAGAGCCAGTCAGCATTTATTCACAGCTTACTGAAATGGTAAGTCGACTAGCTTAATAAACACATTTTAAACTTGACAGGTGAATTTAATCAAAACGGATCACATGACACTGATCACTAATTATCAGTCAATTAATGTGATATACATTCATGTGCTCGTTTTTATTTAACAACTTCAAACGTATTTAAATAATCCTCTTATTTTATATCAAAGTATAGTAAAACAAGTTTGTTTTATTATTATTATTACCATTTCCTTTCCAAATACGCCGTACAAAGTGGATGAATTAATAATTCTTCACGTTTCAATTCGACCATCAACTGGAATAAAATATTCAACAAAAAAAATGTTGTCCTTGAGGTAATTTTAGAAAACTTATTGTTATTATTATTATTATTACTGTGGTCCTAGTGGAACATAGGGCTACAACAACACAACTCCACTTTTTCTATTTTCTGATGTCCTGTTTAGTTGGACCTACAATTGCCCATAATCTCTCACCTTCTCCCCCCCTCACAGCTTCATCTGTGTCACCCTCGCACTGACGCCTCACACTCCACTCCCTGTTGACATTCCACTCAAGCGATGGCCTGAATTGAGTGCGATGTCGTTTGACTGCCTCTTTAGTGGTGTGTGCCCAATCCACCTCATTTTCTCCTGCATATTTATTGAGTGATAGATTCTTGATCGATTTGTTTTCATAGTTCCTTATTACTAATGATTTCTGGTCAGTGATTAGATCTTCACTATGGAGCCAGCGAACTCAAGTGTTTGTAACAGTAAGCAGTAGTCTGCAAGAGACGGTTGGAAATGCTTCTGGTGACGCGTTGGCCAAGTATCTGACCCGCAGAGAAACACTGACTGACTTAAACATTTGTGCTGCAAATCCGAATCTTGTCCTTTATGCTACTGTGTCAGTGCAGAAGATTTCCAAAGTGGTTTCAGATTGATAAAGGTGCTTCTTCTTGCCTTTCGATCCCAAATGCCTAGTTTTGAAATAAAGTATAATTATATTTTAATAGTTTACACACAATGATAAGTTTTGTTATTGGTAATATTTCGAGCCAAATTACTGCAATCGGTTAGAAAATAAAGCCGAAGTAAGTAGATCGATATGGTGTAATATAGCAGACAGACAGAGTAGAATTCGACCTAGAAGGAAAGACGATCAAGATAGAAGTTTTGATGTGCTGGTGTTCTCTGAGTAGCTACTACTAGGCAACATTACTCAGCTCATCCACTCTCGGTAAAACGAGGACTAATACAAGGTCTTGCAGATAGAATACGTAGACGACTTACAACAGCACCATAGGACCAGCGTAAAGAAATAAAAGTCCTATTCAAAATGCTACTCGACAACAACTACCCTAGAGAATTTATAAAAGATAATATAAAAAAGAGAAAAAAGAGGGTAAAACCGGAGAATAACAAGAAGGAGGAATGGAAAAAAACAGTCGCAATACCATATAAAAATGGTACATCAGAGGCAATACAAAGAAACCTCAAAAATATCGGCATTCGAACAACCTTTAAACCGACAAATCTAATCAAAAATAAAATAAATCAACTGAAAGATCCCATAAAAATGATGGATAAAAACAATTTGATTTATAAAATATCTTGTGCTGACTGTCCAACTAAATATGTGGGGCAAACGTCCAGATCACTCAAAATAAGAGTGAATGAACATAAACGCCTAACTAAAGGTCAGTCAACAGGGACACAAGCTTACAAGAATCTTGAAAAAAATTCATCGATAGTTGCACATACATGGGACAAAAACCAAAATATCGATTGGGACAATGTGTGTATTCTAAAAACAAACATGAACAAATGGAAAGAAAGACTCATAACAGAATCGATATTCATTAAAGTCACACCGGATACATGTAACAAGGGTGACTCAGTACAACTATCAACAACTTGGAATATAACAGAGGTTTTTTGTATTTCCCAATGAATGAAAAAACAAAATGAGATTGTTTTTACTGACGTTTCGCTATTTAATGCCAATAGCTTTCTCAAAGTATTATTAAACCGGAATTTACAAAATCTCAGCATATATGCTGAATATAATGAATATCATATACCCAACGCCCAAATTTTTTCAAACCGTTAAAAGTGAACTTGGTTTGGATATATATAACTTGAAATATAATTCTAAATACAAACACATGAATGAATATGGAATAATTCTGAACACACATATGCACACACAAAACATGAATGAGCGAAATAATAATAATAATAATGAACTATATATATGAATACAAATCATAAATGTGTGAATAAAACAATTCCAACAATGGTGTGAACACGGACAGTAATTTTGCTCGAAATATTACCAATAATAAAACTTATCATTGTGTGTAAACTATTAAAATATAATTATACTTTATTTGATCTAATCCACAATGATAAAACGTTTTACTGATATTAAGCCTAGTTTTGACATCTTCATCAGTTCCAATTCTCTGTGACTGAAACGATGCTGGCTGCTTAGATAGGTGAAGGAAGTGACCTCACTCAAATCTCTCCCGTTGGTGGTGATTGATGCTAGTTGTTGTTGTTGTTGTTGTTATACGTTGGTTGGTTACCTTCATCACTTGTATCTCCTCTTTTTTTTTCCTGGAGTCCTGTCTTTGCTGGCTGCCTGCCTGCCTCTTCTGACAGTTTGTTGGTTTCCAGCCATCCGTAAGCCTTCGAGTTTGTGTCACATTAAACATAAGTCATCCATGTGCAAAATCCAAGTCGTCTAGAGTCTTCTTATTGGTTCAACGTATCCCTGTCTCTTCATTCTCTACACAGACATTGTATTCCGCACAATCCGGTCCACCACAGTTAGGAATATCATCGGTGATAATAGGAAGTCAGTCAGTCAGTCTTCTCTTACTTCTCCATTCACTTGGAACGCCTAGCTGAAGTTTTCATTGTAGATCATCGGACACATGGAACTGGTCAACGCTGTCGAAGGCCTTTTGGAAGTCGACGAAGTTCAGGTATATGTTTGACTACCATTCTATAAATTGTTCCATGATGTTGCGTAGAGTCGCCTAGTTTACTAGTTCGTCAGTGTTTTAGCCTGTCCCAAGCGCGGGAAAAGAGAGAGGGTTGGGAGTGGGATTAGCAACACAAGAAAAAATATAAAAAAATTATTACTGATTATGTAAGATAAACTGGTCTTTAAGTACCTCAGATAACTTTATTCAAACCTTTTTAAAAATTTAAAATTCACTATGAACCAAAAAACCCACAAAGAAGTACTGAACAGCTACCTTTTTGTCATAGTTCTAGTCTGTTCAGCGGTACTCACCCATAACAGAAGCATAGAACAGATCAATGAAAGCTTGTTTGTGTTCAATGGATTAATTAAGTGATTGTCTTATAACTGACTATTCAAGCCTCAGTTTAAAGTTCATTTTTTTGAATTCAAGGTTTTGAAGGCAATTAAAACTATACAAGTGTTTATTTTAATTGAATTTGAGATTTTCCCGTCGACTGATTGAACCGAAGTGCTTGGTCTCAGGTTGACATGTCGGCTTCTTCAGGTGTTTCGATGATGTCTGCGCATGTAATTGGAAGTTAATTGGTGGATGGTGATTAGCAGTGAAATCCAGGTTACAGCGCATTTCGGCCTATTTGGGACTCGTCATCTGGATGTACCTGCATTTCTCAGTGAGTGATGATGTTCCCACCGAGGCTCGAAACCAGTGCCCATAGTTTCAAAGCCAAAGCATTATCCACTAGGTTCATCCAGTTGACGAGTCCCAAATAGGACGAAACGTGCATCCTGGTTTCCACTGCTAATCACCATCCACCAATTATATACAAGTGTTTCTTCTCCATTGAGAATAATCATATATAAAAAATACAACACTTGTTTATCTTTAATTCTATCATTTCTGAGAAAAAATGTTACCAAGTTTTCTACTGCCCCTGATCATTGCATAGCTAGATCAGCTTTAATGCACTAACTAACGGACTGACTCAGATTCATCGTGGAACTTTCTTTTGATTATAACTTGAAACCACCCGGTATTTTTGGTACATGTATGGAATTTTCACTAATGTGATATCGGTGGCTTAACTTTTGTAGGCCGACTATAGATATCAGGTGTGCGTCGGCAGGGGATCAAACCTCGAAGCTTTTGCTTGGTCGGCAAGAGTTCTAACTCCTATGCACAGATGTGAACCAGTTCAGTTTGCCACATTCCATATAGCGTGGAAAGGTACAAAAAAGAGAGGAGAAAGAACTATGATGACATTTTGATTGGACATTAGTCAGTAACTAGTGCAGTGTGTATGTCTAGTCTTGTAACAACAGAAGACAAGGGCCAGGCAACAGATCGTTTTATTATGAAAATCAACACGTATTTATACATATTTCACATACATTATTATAGCTTATGCAAGTAGACAAGCGCAGTCATCTGATTGGTTGTTTATCAGAAGTTAGGCAGACAAACGCAGGCTTCTGATTGGTTGTTTCGGGATTCCTCGACAAATAGAGTTCTCTATCTGCGAATCATATTTTGCCACGTTAACTTTGCTGTGATTGGTTGTTGAATCAGCCTTGCTCATATTTTCTCACGGCCTGCTCTCACCACAGTCTTATCTTAGGTGTAGACTGAATTCTATCAGTCAAGTTTGCAATGTAGCCACCATGCAGCTAGGTGGCTCGCCATCATGATGCTCTGCGAATTGTTATAATATTAGGCGGTTGGAGGCAATCGACGGGCAACCTCACTGGTCAGCAAGGCATATCTGCAACTGCCTTGAAGGAACTCATCTCCCTTCTGAGATTCGAACCCGTATAATAACAATAGTTATTGATTAGTGTCCAATCAAAAATATCCTATGCCGTCCTTTAGGAGGTCCATCTTGAACCTGAATAGCTCAATGGTAACATCTCTGACCCTAGGCAGCACTGGGTGACACGGATTCGAATCTTAGAAGGGGCATGAGCTGTTCCTTCAAGGTTGCAGATGCACCTTACTGACTGCAATTGCATAGAATGAATACATCAGCGCCAATGGGAACAATTTTGAACTATATCATTGATATTTTTGGAGCTATTGATTCGTATCATCCTACGTAGTCTACCCCTGCATACATAGCTCAAAACCAGACTTCATGAACTGATACCACGTTTTGATCTGATCGCCCGTACTCTGTTTAAAATTAATCTTGTTAGGCAACATTGCTTGACAGGTTTGGCGGGGAATTGGTTTTACGCAAGACATGTCCTAGCTATTTCAATCAGTGTAGCTTCCTTTCCTCACCTAAAGCTCTAAACTTAATCTCAGTATTACTCATCGTATTATACCAAAGATATAAGGCAGTCATTTGTGGTCAGAGAAATACAAAAACTAGCCCTTACATATCTTCCACTTTGAGCTGTAGGACTTATCGCCAATCACCTCCTTTTCAACATCTGAATAGTGTTTGTGCCCTACAAGTTGTGTTTGGCTGGAACGAATTTTGCAGTTGTCTGTAAAACTGTCAAGTTGTTAGTGTTGAAGCCAGCCGCCTACCACAGAGTGGGGCACATTTGTTCAAGTGTTAGTCTGTGGGGATTAGATTGGTTCCAAGATTTCATCATGAAGTGACATCAGTTGGCAGAAGTTGGAATTCATAGACTGGCCATTGGATCGGATCCCAGTTGCTTTTTTTTTATTACAGCTTGATTCCACACGGTATTTTCGGTGCAAGTATGGAATTCTCAGAATGCGATATCGGTAGCCCAAATTTTGCAGGTTGACCATTGATATCAGGTATGCGTCGGCAGGGATCGAACCCCGGATCATGTGCATGGTCGGTGAGAGTCCTAACCACTTTGCCACTGACTCATAGTTTAGAGGGAGGACCGTAAGGCCTCTCCAATGACAAAAACTACACGCCCGAGCTCACCCAATTAGTGTCTGTCGTGAGTTTCAACTAACCGAGGTGAAATGGTGAGCCTGCATAAGGGGTCAGAGCATTCTTGATCATCCTGAACACGGCGCCAGGTATGTTTACGAGTGCTCCTTGTAACCAGAAAGTCCTCAGTTTGAACCCTGGCGGTGGGTGCTTACTGATGAAGAGTCGGAAACTAGACTAACCGAGCAGCTGTCCAGTATTCCGTGACTGGTTTTTCAATGCTTCTCTAACCAATGTGTTACTTTATGATGAAATCCTCAAACGAAAAATTTATCCAAATAACCGGGAAAACAAATTGACAGGATGATTGTAGAATGTGTACATGTGAATAACGCCTACCTTTATACGTTTCATAGGATTATCAGGTGGTTTCTCACGTGGTTTCATTGGTCTCTGAAGTATACTGAAGTCATAAATTATCTAAAATTAAATTAAATTTAGTGAGTTGTTGATACAAAAAGATATGTCTTTATGTGAAATAAGTGTTGTGTGATAAGTTATTAGGGGGGGGTAACGTCGACGGAAGTCAACACCTTGTAGACATTTTGAAATATATTAGACAGACAAGAAGACTTGTATACAATTGGTGGATGGTGGTTAGCAGTGGAATCCAGGAGGCGCATTTCGTCTTAATTGGGACTCGTCAGCTGGATGTACCTGCATTTCTCAGTGAGTGATGATGATGTTCCCACCGAGGCTCGAACCCAGTGCCCATAGTTTCAAACGCCAAAGCGTTATCCACTAGACCACTTGGGCCACGAGAGCCACCTCTTGTGCAACGGGTCATATTAATTATTGAATTGAATTTTTGATTTTCCGAGCACTTCGGTCCAATCAATCGACGGGAAAATCAAAAATTCAAGTCGATACAAGAAGACTCTAGAAAATTACACATTCGTGGACGACTTTTGTCTAATGTCAAACACAGAGATGATGGAGAAGTTTTGTAGCTCAGGTGGATGATTTTTGATGTAGCTGCGTTCTCTGAGCAGTTGGATGGTTGGTTGATTTACGAAGCTTTCGTCGCCCCAACACTAGGAGACATCTTCAGCGCATACACTTCAATTCGATGAAGTGAGATTTTACATTTTTATACGAGTTCACTATTAACCATCCCTCCTAGTGGGTGATCTTGAAGTTGATTGATTGTTTTTGTACGTATTCAAACCCCTTTAAGGCTACTTCTCGTATTTGAACTGATTGTTTCTTTGACTTAACTTTGACGCTTTGTATATCTGTGAGGTTTCTTTCTTAGATTACGTCATCTTACCTACAAACTAAATCTTACTTTAGTTGCTGTTCAATTAACCTTGTTTCTATATTAGATCATTCTTGTACTACCTGATCAATTATCTAAACTTGACAAACCTCATGTACACACACACGAAAGTTATTATATATAAATGTGACTGTACAGCTATGTGAATGAATTCGCCGTCAAAATGAGTCTCTTCGCTGAACGTCTTTTCTTTTTCATATGACTTGATGGGCATTTTTAAGCTGCTTGAAAGTGGCAAGGAAGTAAACGAGTGCTTCAAGATGGTATATTCGAATTATTGACATCAGAGGTTGGAAACTACTCCTTATATACACTTAAAATATATAATAAAGTATTGATTCAATATCGGGAATATAACATCATCACCGGCTAAGTTAAACTTTAATCACCACCAACTACCAATCAGCGAACGAAGTCGAATTATCCAATGAGATTCACGAACGTTAGTTCAGTGTAGTAAAGCGCTTGATACGTTTCACACACGTGCCCTAACGAAGTTATGGCTGCAATTCGAGGAAGATATTGTTTTCCAGTATTGCCTGGATTTAGGGTTGCTTCGGAAGTAGACAATTTATTCGTGTGGTGGTGCGCTGACTTTAAAAAGCTTTAGCAGGTCGACTGATGAATATGTCCATCGTTGTGCAATTTTTCTGAGGCGAGTTAGCATTAGAGAAGGTAAGCTGATAATTTTAATATTTCGTAGAAACTGTTTTTGCTAGGCCACATCTCTCCTTAACGCAGATTTTTTATATTTGAAACTACTGGGTCTTGAAACAACCGGTGGAAGCCGCAGCTGCTGGAATGGAAAATAGCCTTGGCTCAACAGTTCAGTTGCATTAGCATTGCAGAGACATTGCATCGTGGAAAATGGAGAAAATTACTTCCTTGGTGGGTGGAGAGAACATCGTTGTGCACGTCGACAAAACTGTGTTGGTGAAGAAGAAATACAACCGTGGTCGGCAGCGGGCCAACAATATTTGGGTAACTGATTTGTACGACACCTCTCCCCGAAAGGGATTCGTGGGAAGGATAGCAGATAGAAAAACAACTACTCTATTACTTATTATTACAAGACTTGTAAAACGGGATCTATAATGCATACGGATGAATGGAAAGGTTACAATTCTCTGTCATCTCTGGGATATATCCATCATAGAGTCAACCATTCCAGTGAATTTGTCGATCCTATTACGACGACACATACAAATTCCATTGAAGAATTTTCGGGCAGGTCAAAAAATAGTAGGGCTAGGGCTATAAATGGATCTCAAAAGGATCTCATTTATAGTCATTTGGATGAACACATGTACAGAATATGGTGTAACTTTTCTATTGATAATCCTATGCTTAACTGGGAGAAATTTTTCCCACATATTAGAGAAAGATACCCTATGTAACAGTTTTATGCAGCTTTTATGCTTTTTTTCCATAAATATACGTTTCCGTTTATCAAAAATACTCCATTCATTTGATTGGTCCATTCAAGGTCGTTTGCTGATTGGTTGTTAGTGGTGCTGAATGTTTAACTTCATCTTCACTGCATTAGGCTTTCATTTTCTGAATACTATTTTCCCCTCTTACTTTATGCGCTTTGTCAATCTGAGTCAATGAGCAGACGCTGGTCTGCAAGTTTACCACTCATTGAGTAGTCAAAATATTTTTTTGATTAATTTTAGTGCTAACACGTATGAGCTGAATGAATACACAAGTGTAGAGACTTGACGAATAATAACTTAAATTTCAAGTTAAGTAAACGCAGGGAAAAGAGATCTAAAAACGCCTAACTTAACTTACCTCATGATCTAGTGTGTTTTTTGATCCAATCTCTTTGATACACTGATCTAAAACAATCTGTAGATAAAAGAATAACAATTATGAGGTATCACTTTTTTAAAATTTTGACAAATTAATTCATACAAAGCGATAAGCACACGTAATTTGTCTGTCTGAATCGTGGAATGTTGTATTTGCGTAACACATTCGAACAATCTGATCTGTCACACACTGGCTTGTCATAGGAATATATACGAAATTTATAAATAGATAAGAGGTGAGAAAATTGACACAGATCAAGTTAAAAGGATATATTGAAGGTGAAAATAACACTGCGGATCACTGAACTATATAACTCAGGCAATAGTACATCTACCCTGGTTGGTACGGTATCAAAACAAAGTTTACCGAGGAAGGTTTAGTGTGATGACGATTTTTTTGTTTTGAAGGTGGTTTAAACTTTGTAATTGCCAACTACGGCTTCCACAAACTTTAGGGTACGCCCTCCCCCAAAAACGTTTTATCGATAAGTTTAAAAGATGTGTGCACATCAATTTTATGTCCTGTTTGTGTATAATATGTTCCGCGATAAAGGAGCTAGGTCCCCCGTGCTCAACATTAATGGGTTCTTGGGATTCTATATGCTTCTCGAGTCACTTAGGAATATGCTGTGAAGCCAGGCCTTACATCGGTTAGAGAAGCATTGGAAAACCACTTGCGAGTACTGGACAGCTGTTTTGTCCTAGTTTGGGACTCTCATCTAATCTGATACCCTCTAGCGATTGGCCTTGTTTAGGCAGTTAACCTGGGGATAGCTATTTTGTCACCCTGGTTTTCTGCTCTTCATCAGGATGCGCCTATCGCTAGGGTTCGAGCCGAGGACCTTTTGTTTACAAGGTGAACTCGAAGAGCATTAAGCTACTGGGACCGATCCAGTGGCCAGCCAATGAATTCTAACTTCTGCCAATTCACATTGGCTAGGGCGACCGCTAGCCATTGTCTTCGGCAAATATTCAACCAATTTCGCTATCATGGTAACAACCTTGTTGTTTTTTACCAACTTAGTTTTCGTTTGTTTGTCTTTTCATCTCTTTGTAACTCTTTTATGTCTTTGTCACTCACATTTTCTGTCGGTTCTATGCGCATCATGACTACACGACATTCACATCGCATTATTTATCACATCATGTTACTCTATCACACTTTTTAAACTCCTATGTATTGATTAATATTAACAAGCATGAGTAAGACGACGTGCGTCAGTGGTTCAGAAGTAGAACTTTTCGCCAACTACGCATGTGGTCTGGAGTTCGATCCTCCCGGCCGTTGTACTCTTAATTTCTGCTAAGCCTATAGCAAGGCGGTAGAGAGGAAAGGTTGGGCTACATGAGGCTGTCAACCCCACTCCGTAGAAATAAAACCAGTACTGCTGAAAATTTAAAACTCCAGCTTGAAGTCCTATATGTTCCACTGGCAACGTAAAGGAATAAAATAAGAGAAGAATGATAAGTACGACGGCACATCTCTTCTGTTGCCAACTTCTCTTGTCAAGAAGAAATGTATATTAAATATATGAATGCAGAGCTAGGAAAATGAATTTGCCCAAAAAGAGCATCTTTGCTGAGCTCTCCTTGTTCTGCTTCTTTCTATCTCACTAATACCCGGACAGAAGGCATTATATTCATGAATTTCGCTTTTCTATCATAAAACTATCCTATTTAGTATATTCCGATCTTAGTTCTTCTGTTTGATGCATATTCACTGTTGGTTCTCAGGAATTTTCGGTATTTTAAAGGTTTCAAGATCAACGTTATATTAATTTGTTTATTAGGCATATGACACAATGAGTAAAACAGTATTATGTAATTACTAAATGACAAGGTTTCGAACACAGTTTATCACGTTCATAATCATATCATCAATTATAATCACACGACTTCGAAACTTTCGTTTTATGGTTATATTTGTTCTTTCCAACTTGTCGTCGTAGGAGTAGTAGAAAACATTTATATTTCATACATTTATTACCCTTTTACCAATCTGGATAAAGCTAGAACAACAGTGATGGTTTGTACAGAATAAAAAGATGGTACCATCAATTATTTGGTTCCTTGGTTTCTCATCACCTCAGCTGCTACAGCCTAAATAAATAATTATTAAGTTCACGTACAGAAACGTCTTATCATACTTGCAAATATTTCATGATGTCAGCTGACAGAAGGTTCCACAATTAGTGAACAGTACTCAGAAAATCATACTTCCATATATTTAGTTTTTATACAGTCAGTTCAAGTTCAAACAAAGTAAATGTATGCATATAATGGCAAAGAAGTAAGGTAATAAAGACGACAGATGTGTAAGAAGTTGATTGACTAATAAATTAGGTAACAATGAACTGAGTTCAACTCAAATCATAGAAATAAGAGACAAGGAAAATTACAAATTATAAAAAGCCAGTGAGGTTAAAGCCAGAGATTGCGTAATCAGATGAAAAGAGAGAGAGAGAGAGAATAAAGACATCCAGTTACCAGGATGGACAAGAAAAGATAACTAACTGGTGATAACTGCTTCTTTCTGAACACATAAATCGGATTTCAAGCGTTTGACACAAGTTGATTAGGCAAACTTGAAGAGAATTGATCTCCTTTGTTTATTTATAACTTTGAAGGATTTTGCTATTTCCACCCACCTCATGACCCCTATCGAGGACATGTCTAGTAATGGCTCTATTGCAAGCATATGTTTCCTAAACACGTAGGCTTTTCGGCACATGTTCAGAAAATCGGAGGTGTCGGTGTCCTTCTTTCTATTCTCCCAGTGTAACTACTCACGCAGATACATATAAATTTGTATACAGAGTTGAAGTTGCTAACATGAGAAGGATATCTGTCAACTTTTGACTGAATCAAGAAGCATGTTGTTTGATGGACGGGAACCAAATTAGCTGGGCGTTATTTCCTGGATAGTCATGTATTCAGTTTTCTGTTGACCATTGGTTTTCACCTGTAAAATCGAGTTGATTTAAGACAGGCTTTTCTGTACATGAACTGCTTAATAATTAGTTTAGGCTATAAGCAGCTGATGAAGACAAGCTAATGAAATAAATAATGACACCATATTATTTTGCAAAAACCGTTTTCCTTGTTTTATTCAAATATATATATATATATTATATGCACCCCAATACAGTTTCCAATATAATTTTCACATGCCTTTAATAACTATTTGTACTATAATATTCATGGATTTATAGCTGTAGAGCCTGAAGAAAAATTTATCGAAACCAAAACTGTTCGCTCAATATCATCTTGTTCAAATCCTCCAGATTTCTTTTCTTACTGTCGTCAACTAATCTAGATGTTACTAGGTTTTTGTGCTCCACTAGTTTGATGGACCCGTCCTACTGCGTTGATTGACTAACGCAATTAGAAACAAGCTTTGTCGGTTAAACAATTTAGTTTATTAATACCCTGCTAGAATGACTGACAGGTCGAATATATAGGACAGAGTAGTAGAACGGGGTCAATCAATTTCTTTTTTATAAGATCTCTTAGTACGTGTGTGATGCATTTTTCAGCTGCATATGCCTTTTGTTTCTGGCAGTCGTCGACTTTAAACCTGAAAAAGGGTTATTCAGCACAGTTTTCATCTTTGCAGTGTGGTCATCTTTGTCCATCAGCACGATTCCTGAGCCTTTATCAGGTATGACGATTATGTCATTATTTCTGAGAGCTTCCAATGCCTTTTGATGCTCTTCAGACAGGATTTGGAATATGACGTTGGTAAAATGAGGTATTCATTTGCAACATCGACCAGCGTATATTATAACAAGCTCTTCTTGCCCGCATCAACTGGAGTAAGGCCATTCAGATGGTAGAATAAGTTTTCGAATTGAGCTGCGACATCGGTTCTTTTGAGAAGTTATTGGGGATATGAAAGTTGAATCCGAGGAAAAGCGACTTAAATTCAGAATCGACAGATTACAGACAAATTCCTCAGGATTTTCTAGGAAGACGTGAAATAGTTTCTCCTTTGACAATAATACGTACAATGAATTCAAACCCCGAGAGTCCTGTTTGCCGCATATGTATGGCTTTCCAAAGACACACAAGAAAGAGGTCCCTCTAAGACCTATACTTTTAATGATCAGTTATGCCCAACATAAGGTTGCCTATTGGCTTGCGGAGAAGTTGGAACCCATTCGTCAACGTTAGCCGTACACATCATGAAAGACTCATTTCAATTTGCCAAAAGTGTGAATCACACGAACGTTTCAAACGAGTTCATAGCATCATTTAATGCAACCTCCTTATTCACAATGATCTCAATCAGTGAAACTATTGAGATAATTTGTCAACAGTTTGATCTTCTCCCACTACCAGAATCGGAATTCAAACGCCTACTGCTAATGTGTACCATGGGTGTATAACTCCATTTTGACAGGACCCTTTACCGACAAATAGATGGTGTAGCTATGGGCAGTCCTCTTAGCCCTGTCTCAGCACATATCTTCATGTCAAACCTTGAGAAAACAAAGTTGAAGCATGAAAATGATCAACAACTTCCTATTGTCGATATGTCGATGACACATTTGTAGTGTGCAAGAATGAAAGTCATGCTTCCTACCTACTCAGCTTATTCAGCGACGCACATACAAACATTAAATTTACTATGGAAAATAAAAATGACGGAAAATTTCGTTTCCTTGACATTGCCATGTAATGCATAGAAGATGGTAGTCTTCAGAGGTCAATTTACAGAAAGCTGAAATGGAATAGTCACTGCTTACGTTTTTATAGTTTTTGTCAAAACAGCTAGCTATAAACAAGCACTAGTCAAGACTCTGTACTGTAGAGCGAGAAGAATATGCTCTGCAGAGAAATTAGAGGAAGAATTGAACACTCTCAAAAAAGTGTTGAAAAACAACGGTTATCCTCAAAGATTCATTAACAAGCACAGAAGATCTGAAGTCTGAAATGTCAAACAAACCACAGTTGAAAAAAGGCGTGTCTTCATTCAACTCGATTTTAAAGGTGAAAATATTGCAGCAGTGGTCAACAAAAGACTGAGTACGTCACTATACAGAGCCTATTCTGCAGCTAAATTGGTTCCGTCCATCAAACAACATGCTTCTTGAATCAGTCAAAAGTCGACAGATATCCTTCTCATGTTAGCAACTTCAACTCTGTATTCAAATTTATATGTAGTTACACTGGGAGAATAGAAAGAAGGACACCGACACCTCCGATTTTGTGAACATGTGCCGAAAAGCCTACGTGTTTAGGAAACATATGCTTGCAATAGAGCCATTACCAGACATGTCCTCGATAGGGGTCATGAGGTGGGTGGAAATAGCGAAATCCTTTAAAGCTATAAATAAACAAAGGAGATCAATTCTCTTCAAGTTTGCCTAATCAATTTCTGTCAAACACTTGAAATCCGATTTATGTGTTCAGAAAGAAGCAGTTATCACCAGTTAGTTATCTTTTCTTGTCCATCCTGGTAACTGGATGTCTTTATTCTCTCTCTCTCTCTGTTTCATCTGATTACGCAATCTCTGGCTTTAACCTCACTGGCTTTTAATAATTTGTAATTTTCCTTGTCTCTTATTTCTATGATTTGAGTTGAACTGAGTTCATTGTTACCTAATTTATTAGTCAATCAACTTTCTACACATCTGTCGTCTTTATTACCTTACTTCTTTGGCATTATATGCATACATTTACTTTGTTTGAACTTGAATTGACTGTGTTAGAAGTATGGAAGTATAATTTTCTGAGTACTGTTCACTAATTGTGGAACCTTCTGTCAACTGACATCATGAAATATTTGCAAGTATGTTAAATTGTTTCTGAACATAAACCTCATTATTAATTCAGGCTGTAAGCAGCTGAGGTGATGAGAAGCCAACGAAATAAACAGTGTTGGTACTATCTTCTTATTTTGCACAAATCACTGTTGTTCTAGCTTTATGCAGATTCGTAAAGGGGAATATATGCATGAAGTTTCGCACATATATTTGTTTCATTGTCGCCTTCATTAATTCTATGTGATAAGTAACGAATTGTCAGAATATTGGGCATGTTATATCACACTAATTCAGAACTTACTCCACACATAGATGGCATATCTCGTATAAATCCATCCACTGGACACTGTGATGTATTGTCTAACATTCCATGGAGTTCTGGCCAGCTGTAAAATAATGTTTTAGAAAAAAAACAACTAAAACTCATTACTCATTATATCAAGTGGATGTTTTTTGGGTGTTGTCGTGTCCCATTCTTAGCCGGATACTTTAATCATCAAAATATCTTCATTCACAAGTTTATTGTGAACTCAACATTCGAAATTCCCCAAGGATGAAGCATCAGCCTTTTCTGATGACCTGATATTGATCTCTAATTCTCGGGACTTGTAGTTTATTGATGGACAAGTTTAATCTATAACAATATATTCCTTAATTGCTGACTGACTAGAGCACGTGGTTTCTAGGAATTGTCTACGATTCTTTATCGCCTTATATCAGAATTTCCATATTATAACAGTTGAATTTATTAGAATTTAATTGGTGGATGTGACTAGTAGTAGTGGAATCCAGGATAAAGCGCATTTCGTCCTATTTGGGACTCGTTGGTGTCTGGATTTATCTGCATTCCGCAGTGAGTAGATGATGTTCCCCCACCGAGGCTCGGACCCATCACTCACTGGGGTATGTAGTTACATCCAACCATCAACGAGTCTCAAATAGGACGAAATGTGCTTTATCCTGGATTCCACTGCTACTAGTCACCATCCACCAGCTAACCTCTAATTACGTACCCAAACATCTGCATTAGAGGCCGACATGTCAACCTGAGACAGAGCACTTCAATCGACGGGGAAATTTAAAATTCAATTCAGATAAACAGTTGAATTTATGCTTACTGGTGTTCACCTGAATTGATGTAAATGAAAGTATGTCATCAGTTATTTTCTGGTTAATTTTACATTTACCCTCGATTGAATATATCGGAACAAATCGCTCGGTGTTTGTTGAGATCTCGTCTCTTATTATAACTAATGCCTGTTGCCAAAGAAGTAGCCTTCACAGTGATCAGGGTCCAGTAGACAATGGTTTGACTTTCGAAACGATGGGTACAGAGTTCGAATCTCGTTGTGGATACTGTCACTCACTTGAACTGGAGACATACATATAGATGACGAGTTTAAAATGGGAGAATTAAATGTACACCTCCTGGATCCCATTGCAGCTAGTCATAACCAACCAAGAAGGTACCTCATAGCCTTTTAGTCTGTAAGTTTGTAATTACGTATGACATGGTGTTGTGGAGGTCTCTTTTGGCTAATCTGTTTTTCATTAATGTTGTCCATAAATGTTGTTCATATATCATGAGTTGACATTGGTCTGAGAGGGAGAATAGTGACAAGTGATTTCGTCCTAGTTTCTTTGTCATTTCAGGGGATGATTTTGTGATGGCTTGTTGGGGTTGCATGGTTGGCGAGAGTCCTAACCGCTGTGCCACCGACTGGCTGGGCGTGGTGGCGTACGCCTGTGATCTAGCTACTTGGAGGCCAGGGTGCGGAATTCCGCGGGACCGGGAGTTCTGGCATATGGCTTGGTCCACCGAGGGAGAGGGCTCTCGAGTGGTTGCGCCACAGGTTGATCCTGCATGCCGTTCTCGTCTCGCAAGAGACAAGGATGCGTGTGTTTGGTTCTCCTGAAAACCAATGCCCAGTCAATGGGTGTATCGTGGTGTGAATGTGCGTCGGTGGCTCAGCGGTTAGAACGCTCGCCGACCATGTACATGGTCCAGGGTTCGATCCCCGGCCGACGCACTCCTTTACCTCACTAAACCAGAAATAATCCTGGTAAAGAGGAACGGTCAGGCATGGGGCTAGCAACCCCATCCTGTAAAAACTAAACACTGCTACAGAAACTTCAAGCCACTAGCTTGGAGCCCTATGTTCTACTGGGAACGTGAAGGAAAAATTATTTTTATTGTTGGGGTTGCTGATGGACATTTTTATAGAAGGCTCTCATAAAGCATTTCTCCTGTATTCTTCTCAACATAGGTGTGCTACAGTGAGTCCTAGCATCTTAGAGAGGGAGAGAGAGAAAGAGAAAGAATACAAAGAACGCCGGCGAATCCCTGGAAAACTGGTGTCAAAAGCGATTCCCAATTGATATATATATATATATATATATATATATATATATATATATATTGGTGTCGATCACATTTAACAACCAAGAAGGAATAAGTCAAACAAACTAGAGGTAAGACCTCAGAGGTCAACGAAAGGTTTAATTATAAGAAAGTCTGCAGACTCTATCTGTCATAATGAAGGTCACCAGATCTAGGAAAGATACATATCTCGTCCATGGGGAATTCTGTCAGTTCATTTTAAATTGAAATTAAAGCTGAAGATATTCTCGAAAAGGAAAATTAAATCCTCACGACTAAACAATAGAGCTGAAAGAATACTGTAACGACGAAAAAGGAGGGCCAGGCAACAGGTCGTTTATTGAGATATTTATAGATTTTGCTTAAGTCACTAGCTTAAAGTCAACTGTATGTCACGTTTTGCCTAAGAGATTTACTCATCCTTCAAATTTGTCATACTGATCTGTTAACTTAGAGTATTAAAGGCAGTTACAATGAATAGTTTATCCAGAGTATCAACCAATCATGCGTATCTGAGTATAGCTTTTTAATCTCAGGTTAGTTTTTATTTATAATCATAACTCAGTCGGCTGGTGCTATAAGCAAAGATTACTGAATCTGTTGTTTTTCCAGTAAATGCACTATAATGTCATCCCAGTGCTTCTGTTTGAGCTACAAACTCGGCGGATCACAAAACCATATCCTATAGGCTACCACAGACTTTCCCTAACACCTGCCTCCTGAGCTGCATACTGAACATCAGAGGACAAAGAAAATCTATCCACCTAATTGGTGGGTAGTGAATAGCAGTGAAGTCCAGAATGCGCGTTTTGTCTTATTTGGGACTCGTCAACTGGATGTGCCTACATTCGCCAGCGAGTGATGATATTCCCACCACCAAGGCTTTTACCCATCAACCAACAAATAAATATGCAGGAAAGATGCCCACTGATTGGAAGAGAGGCTACCTCATCAGGCTATCACAGAAACGCGACTTAGGCCTCTGAAAGAATTGGCATGGAACAATACTCTTGTCCACGCCAAGTAAAATACTAAGTCACGTCATCTTGAAGAGAATAAAAGATGCACTAGATGCAGAATTCTGCCTCATCCAAACAAACCGGATTCAGGAAAGGCAAATCATTTGCTGATCGAATTGCATATCTATGCATCATCATCATCATCATCAAACAAAGCACTGAATGGCAGTCAAACATCACTCTACACCAATTTCATCACCTTGGAAAAGGCTTCCGACAGACAGCGTTGATTGAGAAGTAATTTGAGAACTACTTCAAGACTACGGTGTGCAGTGCTCAAGTCTTTATCAATCTGATTCATCCTGTGAATGACAATGCCAAGTGTCAGGTGATCCACAAGAGAAAACTCAACTGGGTGTTCGAAGTGAATACAAGGGTAAGACAAGACTGGCTGACTGCCTATTATCACCGATAATATTCCTAACTGTGGTGGACCAGATTGTGCGACGCACTGTGTGTGCAGAGTGAGGAGATAGGAATGCCCTGGACTGATAATGAGAGTCTAGAAGATTTGGATTTCGCATGTGGACGACTTATGTTTAATGTGACACAAACTCGAAGGCTTAGGGGTAGACAAAAACCAACAAACTAGTAGAAGAAGCAGGCAGCAAGCAGCAAAGACAGGACTCCAGGTAAAAATAGAGGAGATACAGGTGGTAAAGATGAGCAACCAACGAATAACAACAACAACCAATATCAGCCACCATTAACAGGATAGATTTGACTGAGGTCACTTCCTTCACTTATTTGGGAAGCATCGGAACGGATGAAGATTCCAAAAACTAGGTAACTTCGGAAAGACGAGATGCACTTACAGTAATCTGAAATCAGGTTGAAAATCTTCTGCATTCAGCCAGTGAAATCAACGAGATTCAGATTTTCAACACAATTGTTTGAATAGTTAAACTTTAAGCACCAGTAAGTATCGAATTGAATTTTTGATTTTCCCGTCGATTGATTGGACCGAAGTGCTCGGTCTCAGGTTGACATGTCGGCTTCTTGTGCAGATGCTTCGACGATGTCTGGGTATTTAATTAGTATACAATTGGTGGATGGTGGCTAGCAGTGGAATCCAGGATAAAGCGCATTTCGTCCTATTCGGGACTCGTCAGCTGGATGTACCTGCATTTCTCAGTGAGTGATGATGTTCCCACCGAGGCTCGAACCCAGTGTCCATAGTTTCAAACGCCAAAGCGTTATCCACTAGACCACATGGGCCACGAGAGCCACCTCTTGTGCAACGGGTCATATTAATTATTGAATTGAATTCTTGATTTTCCCGTCGATTGATTGGACCGAAGTGCTCGGTCTCAGGTTGACAAGAGGTGGCTCTCGTGGCCCAAGTGGTCTAGTGGATAACGCTTTGGCGTTCGAAACTATGGGTACTGGGTTCGAGCTTCGGTGGGAACATCATCACTCACTGAGAAATGCAGGTACATCCAGCTGACGAGTCCCAAATAGGACGAAATGCGCTTTATCCTGGATTCCACTGCTAGCCACCATCCACCAATTGTATACCAGTATGTACCAATGGAAACATAACCTTGGACGCACTAATCAAAATGGTAAAAGCGATTTTTGGCGTATAAAAGGTATATTTATTCATGAAATGACGAATTAAAAAGCATGGAACTATCACACACGATACTTTTCTCTAACTTTTGACAAAAACACACCTCAGAATTTCGATTGGAGTATCAACAGAGTAATTTAATCACATTCTGTCCATTTAATTGTCTATTCTTCCAACCCTAATCTTTCGTGAACCTAACCATAATGTGAAAATATCCCTAAAACCACCTTTATCTAACTCGAACCAATCATAGCGTTGCCGTCACTAGGTTAACCTGACTCTAATCTGTTCTCAGTCTAAATTGAAACCTAACCTGGAACTTGTCAGATATCCCATTTAATAATAACATGACACTTCATTAAGCATATTTTATTCATAATTACAATATTATTTGCCAGGTTTCACTAACTTGCTCACTCAGTGAGTATTTCAAGGTCACCGGTGTGGTTGCCCTCCATTGGTAGTTATTGGTGTGCAAAGTTTAACTTGTTGCCCAAAAGTTAAGTCAATCATCGTTTCTCTATGGGTTAGAGACTTGACGCTAACTTCACGAAAAGCATTTCCAACAGCCCGTTGCAGACTTTTATCAACAAGTGTCTTCTCTGCCTCCCTAATAAAGATGAAGTAGCAGAAATAATTAGCAACAGGGAGTTCTGACAGGCAACCTACTAAGAGCCGACTGTTTAATAAATATTTACGTGGAAATGCAAGTGGATCGGACACGCACTGAGGAAAGCGTTGAGTGACATAACGAGCCAGCCAGGCCCTCGCGCGGAACCAGAATTTCAATCGACGAGTGACTTGTCGGTGCTAGGATGACACGGAGGAGGTCGTGTGAAGAATAAGAAATATAAGCGTATGGGAAGTTATGGAGTCTGCTAAGAAAGAATGTAGGGAAACAGCTAACATGGATATTGGATTCTCAGTTCCCAAATATTCCACTCGGAACTCAGCTGGATAATGGTAGTGGTAGTGCAAGCGTAGTCAAATACATATAATAGATATGATAGAGAAGATTTATAGCTCAGGGGGTGATTTTTTTGATGTGGTTGTATTCTCTGAGCTGGATAGTTAATTTTCAAAGCTTTCATCTCCCTACTAGACGACATCTTCAGCGAATACTTCACCCTGAAGTGAACTTTTACATTTCTCTACCAGTTTCTTTGTCTTGAACTTTGATTTTTTGTGTGTAAAGTTTATTTCTTATCGGTTGATAAATTTTGTCTATCTCTATGTATCTATTGATTAACGATTCACTGGAATGCCAAGCTTCTAAAAATTCTCTAGCATTCTTGTTATTTCCTTTGTCTAATATTTGAACGTTGTCCCAGTCGAATTGATGTCCGTAGTTGTCTGTGTGTAGTGAAATGAGGGAGTGGATATCATGTCTTTTGACGGCTAGCTTATGTTCGTGGATACGAAGACGAAGGGGACGTCCACTTTGGCCAATGTAGTGTTTTTCACAGTTGTTACAGTTTATTTTGTAGATGATGTTGGTTTTGTCTTCTTTCGCTGTTGAGTCTTTTGGTTGACATAGAATTGAGTGAAGTGACTTTGTTGGTTTGTGTACGACGTCAATTCCTAAAGGTTTGAAGAGTCTTGTAGTGATTTCTGAGATATCCTTTATATATGGTAAGGCGATTTTCTTTGTGCTTTCCTTGGTGGCTTTTGGTTTGGTAGGTTGGCTTGGGGGTATATGTCTCTTGATGAAATTCCGTGGATATCCATTCTTTTGGAAGACGTCCATGAGATACTTTTCTTCAATTTTCCTTAAGGTGGGAGTGCTGCAGTGAGTCCTTGCTCTCTTGAATAGTGTTTGTATGCAATTCCTTTTGTGTGTTATTGGGTTGTTGCTGTTGTAATTCAGTATTTGGTCTGTGTGAGTTGATTTCCTATAAACTTGAGTTTCTAATTCCCCTGTGTTGTTCGCTTGACTAAGACGTCCAAAAATGGTATTTTGTTCTCGGATTCCTCTTCTCTTGTGAATTTGATGTCGTTGAAGACGTTGTTTATTAAGTTGTGAGTTTTATCTAATTCGTTTCTTTTGATTATTACAAATGTGTCGTCGACGTAGCGTATCCAAATCTTGGGTTTGATCTTTGGTAGAATTATGTTTTCGAGTCTTTGCATTACTGCTTCTGCAATCAAACCTGATATTGGCGATCCCATGGGTGTTCCTTTGACTTGTTCATATATTTGGCCGTTGAACTGAAAGTATGTTGTTAGGCATAGGTTTATGCATTCCATCCAGCTTGTGTGTTGCATTTTTGATTGTTGTGGAAGTTGTTCGTCGTTGCTAAGTAATTGCTCCATGGTTTCTTTTGCTAGTTTTTGTCCGATAGAGGTATATAATGCTGTCACGTCGAAGGATACCATTATTTCTTGTTCATCTATTTGGATGCCTCTGATTTTCTCTAGGAATTGGATAGCAGAGTTGATGGAGTGATCACAAGATTCCGTTAGGTGTTTTAGTTTTCTGTATAATTCTTTGGATAAATTATATGTTGGAGTTCCTGGGAGTGATACAATTGGTCGTAACGGGATATTTGGCTTGTGTATTTTGGGTCTTCCGTAGAATCAGGGTAGGACTGGTCCATTGGATTTCATTCGCCATTTTTCTTGTTTTGTGATCTGTCCAGTTTTAGTGAGCTTGTTTAAGGTCCTTTGGATGCAAATAAACAATACAAATAAATAATTACACTTTCATTAATTTCTCATCTTATGACTTCAGTTTACTGACTTTCTTAATCAGCTCAATTATGTGTGCAGCTGAAATAACACCGCGAAATTCTCCTTCCTACTTACCGTGAATGTGCAACAATTGCTTTCATTGTTTCATAATTTCTTCTTTGTAAAGCATAAGTGACAAAATAGTTACCATCCTTATCTGGTAGAATCTTCGCTTTCGATGTCAGCAGATAATCCAGGATTTCAGCATTATTCTCTTTAGCGGAGTAATGCAGAGCTGTCATCTACAAGACAAATAAAAGTAGGACTAAAGTTTATGTCGTAAAAATTGTGATTCGACAAGAAAAGGCAAATGTATACCAGACACAAACACATATACACAAAAAGTGAAATCACCTTGCCTTCCGAGTGGAATAATGCGCCTCATCAGCCCATCTCCACTGAACATAACTCTCGACTATCTTTTCAAATGTCTTCATGACTTCCCATTGACGTCTGTTCTCTCCTCCCATTTAGACAGTAGACTCATCGCTTCCTATCGGAGTCGCACTGGCAAGGAGTTGGGGGCCTGTCCTTTGACGTAACTTGAATGTCCCTCCGATTATATCCAATGTACCTGCATTTCTGCTAGAGGTCATACTGGTTGTACTTTCCAGTCAGTAATCTGATCTACAATGTTGAGTGAAGGAGGTAGTTGTACTGATGAAAATCTGTCGTGGCCCGTTGAAATTTTGTTGACACTGTGTTCACACAGTTACTTAACCATATAGAAGCTCTGACTTGATATTATTAATGTTAGAAAATCAAGCGTGCTCAGTGTGGCAGATTCTTATTGCCAACTTCAGTGTAATGATCGCTGTCTAGCTTCCCTTATCATTTTGGCCTTTGACACTCTCAGCGTTGCTGTCACCTGTAGTTGAAAGGATGCTGTTCAGGTCAGGCAAGTGAAAGAGGTCAATTCATTAGGATTTCTGCCATTTTGTTGGTTATCCCATACTATCCACCCATCTATCCACCGAAAACGTACATGGAACGGACAACTAACTAATTTTTACAGTTGGGTGCCTATTTCTAGGAAAAGGAATTTAATCCATTCACTCTGCTTTAGGATAAGGAAAATTTGTAGTTATGATTGCGTCGACTCAGAACTTGACTTCCTGAAAGCCACACTCGCAGAAAACGGTTACCCTAACCGATTTATTGACAGAAACATGAAAGATAAGCAGCCTAAACTGGTCACCGACTCAGTTCCAAAGAAAACCTAATTCTTGAACTTGGAATTCAAAGGAGATCAAGCTTCAGATATTCTCAAAAATTGTCTTTCTAAATCAGTTAGTAAAACGTTCCCTGCAGCTAGATTACATATGACGTTCACGAGCCGCAAATTGTTCTCTACCTCTGTAAAAGATAAGCTCCCCCGTCTGACCGCCTCCATGTGCATCTACCAGTTCACCTGCTCTTGTGGAGCAAGGTACATTGGCCGTAGTCAGAGAATGCTCTCCACACAGATACGAGAACATGTTCCAGCTTGGTTTTACAAGGGAGAAAGGAAATGTGTGCGAAGCTCTATCTTAGAACACCTCATCGACTCCTGTCACTCGGTCAACCCTGACCATGATTTCAAGGTCATATATAGAATTCATGCTAACTTCCCGCGTTTTCTTCGTTACAGACTTCTAAAGACAGCTGAGGCCTTGGCAATTCATGACTTTAAGCCAGACCTTTGTGTACAGAAGAAGCATGTACAATCCCTACTGCTGCCTTGGCCGTAGAGGGATAGACATTTATTTATTTTATTTATTAGTTATTCTATGTACTTTTCCCTTATTACTTCGATTATTATTGTCATTATTATTATTACGACTCTCATTCTGAATCTTTTCCACTTGACTTACTTGACATTTTAAACCAAAAATTATTCATGTGTATACTTTTTATCTTTATTTTTACAATATTAAATTCTATGTTATCAAATTTCACACCATGTTACGTAACATTTTATATCCGTCTATTAATCTTACAATTATATTCCTCTCCCCAAAATCTATACACCTGATGTATTATCTTATATATGACATTAATTATTGTTCCACTTGACTTAAACTATGAATATAATCACAAATATTTTAAATTTATTTCATACTATTATTATTTCATGTATTTACACCTTTGACCTAATTCCCTCACCGGATATAATTTCTTTATAAAACCATATATATACGATTGTACAGCTTGATAATAAATTCGTTGAAAAGAGTCTCTTCGCTGAAAATTGTGTTCTTAATATCCCATACTAGTTTGTTTACTAGATTTATTGCACAGTGAGTGAAATAGTATTATTTACTGGATAACACCGTTTCGAACACAATTTATTACCTTTCATAATCATATCATCAACTGTAGTCAAACAACTTCTCTGTCCTCTCCTATTTGTCGTCGATGGGGCAGTAGAATGTTCCAGATGTCTGGGTGGACAGGTGTTGAATCATTCCTATTACACATATTCTCTCTCAGATGATTCGACAAACAAAGCTTCTGTTATCAGTCCCTCCCTCCCTACACCCTGTGACATTAGATTTTAAAACTGTCATCAAGTCCTATCTCATCCTATTGTGTGGTTGTGTCTAATAGCATGTAGTGTAGTGCTATACCTGAACTATTCTCCAGATTACTTATCTTATTCGGTTCAACTAATCTAGATTTTGCTGCTAGTCTGACTGACTGACTGACTGACCCTGTTCCACTAGCTTGACCTATGTATTTGACCTGACAATCATTGCAGGCGGGATATTGGATAAACTAAATTGTTTTGTTTTAAAGGCTTCACGGGATCCACTATTTAACCGACAAAGCTTATATATAATTGAGTCTGTCGGTTTAAATACCAGCCAATTTATTCCTGCCAGCAATGTTAAGAATTCTCCTTATGGTTTTCGAGGTTCCTTCTTTGTAAGGAAGTATTACTGATGATTTATATTCTTTATTGTTGGTGTTCTCATTATCCTATGCATTTTTGACATGCATGTCGTCATTACTATTATTATTATTATCACTATCACTACTATCATTATTTATTTTATTTTTACATTTCCCTACACACTTTTTAACTAATTTATCAGGGTAATTATTAAGTTTCAAAGCTTCTCTTATATGCCTCACTTCATGTCTTAGATTTTCCTTGGTACTACTTAGTTTTTGTGCTCTATTACTTAAACATTTCACCAATCCTATTTTCACTGGCATAGGATGCGATGATCGGAACAATAAATTTTGTTCGAAACCTTGTCATCCAGTATATAATACTGTTTTACTGTGTGATACACTTAATAAACAAACTAATATGGAAAGAATTACTTCCACAGTGCCCAAGTTTAACATATACATTAGTTTGTTGGTTAACACCTGTAGTTGTTCGAGTTTGCGCAACATTATACTTATGAACCGTACATGAAGTCCAGATACTCTGGGGTTTGTCCAGTACCTGTCCCTCTTCTTACTCCCCATGGACTACCACATAATCCAGTCCACAACAGTCAGGAAGATCTCCCGTGACAGTTGGCAGTTTTGTCTTACTGACGCCTTCACTATAAAAGACTTCAGTGAGATTTTCATTTTTATACACTATGTATGTGTGTCACCTTTATACAGCTTATGAATGACGTTTGTGAATATTTGCGGCACTGCATTTATTACTGACAAAGTCGTTGATGAATTAGCTCACGAATGACACTGTTCAAGACCTTTTCAAATATGATAAAGTCGAGGTACACATTCGATTATCATCCTAGATTTTGTTTGATGATGATGTGTATCGTTGCATTCGGTCTGCGTATGATTTAGTTGGCTTGAATTCAGCCAATTCCGGAGGGAGTTCTGCATGCAAGCATCCTTTATTCTCTTCCAGATGAGGTGGCTTAACGCTTAACTTGGCGTGAACAAGAGCACTATTCCCCGCCGGTTTTCTCAGGGTCCTAAGTCACCCTTCTTTGGTAGCTGGACAAGGTGACTTTTCTTCCAATCAGTGGGTACCTTTCCTTCCTTGCAAACCTGTTGCAAGTCTCTGGGACCGTTTGCAGTGCTTTGGTGGGAATTCCATCTCTTCCTACCGCCTTACCAGACTTCATCATCTTGATCGCATTCAGGATTTCTGTTTTTGTTGGAGGATTAGTATCAACTGGCTGTTAATGGTTTTCTGGGTGTATTACAGATGATGGTCGATTCAAGAGTCCTTTAAAGTGGCCAGCCTATTGTTTTATTTGTCTCTTCTCTTTGTTAATTGGGTTCCTCTGAACATCTTTTATAGGCTTCAACTGCGTTGACTTTTTCCCAGGAAAAGATCTTGTTATGTGATTTGATGTTTTGAAGTCCTTTTTATCTGAGGCCTGCCTACCTGCATGTTCTGCTTCGGTTTCCAATCAGTGTGTCGTAGAATTGTCGTTTGTCTTTCCTAGCACTCCTCTTTAATCCCCTATTTAATGCAGTGTACATTGAAGTCAGCTCCTCCTTCTGGGGCCCATCTTTGCATTGAGGTATCTCCTCTTTCACAATCCTGCTCTCGTCGATTAGCTTCCAGGTGTCCATTGAGGGCTATTCCTTGCTGTCTCTCTTCTTTCTCCATAGAAAATTTGTACACGTTTCCCTGAACATTACCTTCAGAGAGTCCTAATGTTCTTCCACACAGGCTTCCTCAGTGATGCCACGTAGTGTCCCATCTTTGTTCTGATATCTGTAGTGAAGCCATCCGTTGAAGTTTTGTCCTTCACTTTCCGAATATATAACTTCAACGGTGGTCTTTCTCCATTGTTTTCATGAATTTCAGCTTTATCTTGAGGTTTATTTGCACCAGATGATGATCTGAGCCCACATCTGCTCCCCTTCTCGATTTTGTGTACACCAGACTGCATCTCCACTTCCTTGAACAGCATTAAAATTAAGTCTATCTGGTTCGAAGTGTGTCCTTCAGACGAAACCAACGTTGCTTTGTGTATGTCCTTGTTCTTGTACACTCTGCATCCAATCACCAAATCATTTAAAGATCAGAAGTCTGTGAAAAGTTCTCCGTTGTCATTCATTTCTCCTATCGAGAGCCTCTTAACCCATGATGAGCTCTCCTCCGCTATTATCAGGTCCCAGTTTGGTGTTCATATAGCCCACGAGGATTTTGATGTCACTATTTGGGATGTTGTCCATTACTGTTTGTAGTTCTCTGCAGAAATCTTCCTTCTTGTCTTGTTCCACGTTGTTTGTAGCGCTGTGCGTCGCATTGAATAACTGTAACATTCCTTCCTCCTTTTGAAGTCGAATCTTGCTACCATAATCCTTGAGAAGATTGGTTTCCACTGCATTAGAGCTTTGGCTGCCAATGGTGACATCATGATGGCCACTCAATGCCTCAGTGTGCTCGTAGTTGTTATCTGGTTGACCAGACTGGAGTAAAATACTGACTCTTCAGTCGACAATCTGGATAATCCACATCCATTCCACCTGCTTTCGCAGATACCCAGCACTTCTAGGCCATATCTTTGCATTCCTTGTAAGGACATTCTACGTCCCCATTCTTATTCTTGCTTTCATCGAGAAGACACACATCGGCTGGCTGACTGCCTTCCCGGAGGCTTTCACCAGTCCACTGTTTCACTTCGCCATTTTGGGGTAGGGTCTCCCCCACCTACCCCTTTTTACCCTGGCTTGGTACTTGCTAGAAGACTAGACAGCTAGTAAACCAGGAGAGGTTAAATTTAGGAAATAATTTAAGGTAACTACATCGCTTAGCACTAATGATAGAATGGGCGAAAATCGATAAACTGTAGATTTTCAAATTGTGGAGAAATATTTCTGCACTCGGAGATGATTTCGCTCTGAATCCTGGCTGATCCTTTATTGTTTCATAAAGGGATAAAAGCGTCAAAGGTCAAGTGAACAAAAAGGACCAATATTAAAACGAGTAAATAAAATTACAGGGGAACAACCAATTTTAGAGTCAACGCAGTAGACAGACCCACAAAAACGCCGTATAAGAATCCCCCCTCCAACTCACTCATAGATTCATATTAAAACGATATATATTTATGCATATAGAACATTGTTAAACCACCTCCGGTTTCCAGACAAATCAAATTCCACTACCTTTATCAACTTACTCCATGAAAATTGGTTTGATTCAACAATGATGGACTTGTCTGTAATAACAATTTGCAAGTTTTTAAACATCCACCAATCGATACGTAATGCAAAGGTGTATTACCTATATGACATCTAGATACAATGGAAAAACAAAAAAGAGAACAAATCAAATAAATCAATTCTAACAGCTTTACATGACATAAAAAGGGATGATAAATGTGTGGAGCATATGAAGGTCACTGTGAATTGAGGTTAGGTGTTTGAAATCCAACGATAAGAAGCTCTGGAGGTGTGTTTTCTTCCGTTTGCTGGCACTGGTCATCAAGGCGCATTTATAACCTTGAAGAAAATTATGTCCTTTCCAAGATCCAAACCCTTTAAGTGGCTGGCCATAGCATCTTTGACTTCAGCACAGGATGACACAAGTTCTTGAAACTCAAAGGGATATAAGTTCCTTCAAAATTGCTGAAACACCTTGCTGACCAACTGGTGAATGCCAACTAGGACGAAACCTAGGTCAGGCAAGGCGGCCTGCCGATTTCCCACCAAACATCTAATACCGTTAATTCATTTTGAATTCCACAACTGATTACATTCACCTCTCCTATACTTTCAAATTGATACTATTTATTGACTAACATATCATCACACGACTGGTGTAATTTCAGTTAGAAAAAGCTTTCAAGAATTCGTTTGTGTCGATTTAATTTATTTCCAGTTTTATTGCAGATTTATTTCAGTTAGAAAACTCATGGAAACCAGGGAGTACTAAACAGGTGTTTCGTCCTAATCTTGGACTCTTCTTCAGCACGCGCCTACCAAGGCTTGAAATGATCGAAGCAGAAAATCTTGATCTGAATGGCTGAATGGTCTACCAGCTCTCTCTCTCTCTTTTTATGCCCGGAAGCTCCTGAGTTCGAACCGCGTTAGACGCGTACTGATGAAGAGTTCCAGACTTAGTTTTCATTGGTTCTCTAACTGATATCAACACGTAGTCAAACTTGAATCAGTCAAAAATTGTTCCTATAGGTTAGAGCAGTTGATAAGGAACTAGTTGAAATGGAGTTTCCAACGCAATTGATGCATGATTTAATCAGATCTCGTTTTCGTTCAGTAGCCACCGAATTATGGTAACTTGTCAGTTGACTGTTGCATTTTGATTTCCTATGGACAGATCTCCTAGGGGTTTCGTCAGCTCTTCTTATTAATTCAGTATCAAGAAAAGGAATACATAGTTGTTTGTTCAATTTGTTGTGTTTGTGTCTAGATTTGTGAATGGCGATTTTGAAATTAGTGAATTCGAGAGTAAATATCGATTAATAGACATAAGACCAGTAGTTCAGTGAAGAGTCTCTTTTCGGCGGCGAATTCATTTTCATAGCTGTACAACCGCAAATATATACGGTTGTTTTGTATGTGTGTTTTTTGCGGTAACATTGAGAGTAGTGTTCTCCAGTCGCCCGCTGATCTGCAGAAGCGCAAAGGACAAGATCCTGCACCTGACCACTTACATGTGTATATATCAGTTCACCTGCTGCTGTGGAGCCAGGTACATTGGTTGTTCAATGCGCATCCTGTCTAAAAGGGTCAAATAGCACTATCCAGAGTGGCTGGAGGAAGGAAGTAGTGGCCGTATAAGGAGTGCAACAATCGAACATTTCGTCAACACTGGTCATTCCATCTCAACAAACGCCTCCTGCTTCAAAGTAATCTACAAAGTGAAAAACAGCCTTCCAAAGACAATACGTTTCCGTCTTCTTTGCATTGCAGAAGCCCTATCTATTCAGTTGGAAGAACCACAACTATGCATACAAAAGAAAATTATTTAACCACTTCTAATCTCATGGTAATAACTCCGCTGATTTGACTTAACTTTTGTTTCTTTGCTTATTTTTCTAACTACTTAAAACCCTTGCGTAATTTCGTATGTTATTTTGTCTCCATGTACACCCTGAGCACAACTCTCTTATCAAACTGTTGACATTATTACGTAACTCTTCTTTAACAACCGTTTGTGAAAACTCTTCACTTTTGTTACTACCCTTTTATATCAACATCCAATTCATCTGAACTTACTAATTGCATTTTCGTTTGATAAATTTAATGTACACACACATACTAAAAGCCATATATACTTCGATTGTACAGCTGTGAAAATGAATTCGCCGCCGAAAAGAGACTCTTCGCTGGACTGCTCGTCTTCTGTCTATTAATGTTCAAATGGGAATTTTTCATGAAATAAATATTGATCGTTAAGGGAAGAAGCAGTAATGAGGTCAAATGAGAGGTAAACGGGGATAAAGATATGAGTATTAGTATTATTATTTCTTTGGGTTCCTAGTCTGTCTGTCTGTCTGGATTCAACATAGAACTTGGCACCGAAGTGCACCAGTTCGAGTTGCCACGTTCCAAATAGCACACAGAGGTAGACAAGAAGATGAGTGAAGAGAATCAATAGAGTTTGACAAATATAAGAGTGAAACAGAATGGGTAATGGTAGAAAGGAATATGAAAGATTACAGAGGCTGAATACATCTGCGCTGGCCATTGATAACCATTTTCAGCCATGTCACCTATTGTCTCCAGCCATTGATTCCTAGAGTCCCGAGGGCCCCAACCCGGAAGTCTGCATCTCCCTACCTACCTGACTCAGTTTAACTGACAAGGATTTCATGGATTGATGAGGCCATGTTTTTGTTTGGCCACCACTGGCTCTTTTCCAACCTGCACCTATATCAGCTAGTAATGCCTGTCGGGGGAGGCGGTGGTTAGGCATGAGCAGCACGTGACCTAGCCATCTTAGTCTATGTAACTTTATAGCCTCGTCGATTGATTTTCCCTCTTTGCCCAACATTCTACGCCTAACGCCAACATTACTTACCTTGTGAAACCACCTAACGTGAGACAGAGATCTGGTTCCTAGTGGAAGACATGGCTTCAACAGCACATCTCCTTTTCATTCTGTGTTTTGTGCATTCCCTTTCAGCTGACTCCAAGATTGATTGTAGGCTCTCTGTCTCTGATCTCTCCCTCATACCATCTCCTTCATGTCTACCCCAGACAACCAACCCATGCTTTCCTATTCGTGTTCGACTCGAAAGCCTGACTGACAAGCAATTTCCCCAGACGGTCTCCACAGCGTATCTCCTATCCATTTTCATTTTCCTTAGCATATTTTTTGGAAAGTAAGTTCTTGACTGGTTCGTTCCTTGATCTTCTTATTTCAAATTCCTTCTGATTTTCACTATGGAGCTAGCGAAAGCAGATGTTGATAAAAGCTTTCACCAGCTTGTCGAAAATGCCTCCCGTGGCGCTAAAGCCAAGATTCAACCCGATATAGAAGGACTGACTGACTGACTTAACATTGCTGTTGCAATTGCAAAATTTGTTCTTCATACTGAGTCAGTGAAGAAGGCTAACAAACTAATTTCAGAGCAGTGAAAGTTTGTCTTGTTTTCTTGATCCGATCTACCACTGACGACAGTCTCATCCGTGTCAAATGCCCGCAGTTGAAACAATGCTTCCTGGTCAGATAAGTGATGGACGTGATCTCTTTCAAATTTATCCCTTTGATTATAATTGGCACTTGTTGTTGTCGTCATCGGTCGTCCTGTATCTTCATCACCCCTATCTTCTTTATGTTTATATGAAGTCCTATCTTCGCTACAAGCTTCTCCCACTAACTTGTTAGTTTTCGATAAAGAAAGGAAGACGAAACTTACAGTATAAAATGTGATATCATCATTCTATTTCACAGGTTACCCTCATCAGCTGCACACCACTACCTGAAATTACAATGGTTATATATATATAGATGATAATAACATATTTTATTATTGAATTGAATTTTTGATTTTCCCGTCGATTGATTGGACCGAAGTGCTCTGTCTCAGGTTGACATATCGGCTTCTTGTGCAGATGATTCGACGATGTCTGGGCATTTACTTAGTATAAAATTGGTGGATGGTGGCTAGCAGTGGAATCCAGGATGCGCATTTCGTCCTATTTGGGACTCGTCAGCTGGACGTACCTGCATTTCTCAGTGAGTGATGACGTTCCCACCGAAGCTCGAACCCAGTACTCATAGTTTCAAACGCCAAAGCGTTATCCACTAGACCACTTGGGCCACGAGAGCCACCTCTTGTGCAACGGGTCATATCAATTATTGAATCGACGGGAAAATCAAAAATTCAATTCAATAATTAATATGACCCGTTGCACAAGAGGTAGCTGTCGTGGCCCAAGTGGTCTAGTGGATAACGCTTTGGCGTTTGAAACTATGGGTACTGGGTTCGAGCCTCGGTGGGAACATCATCACTCACTGAGAAGAGCAGGTACATCCAGATGACGAGTCCCAAATAGGACGAAATGCGCGTTATCCTGGATTCCACTGCTAGCCACCATCCACCAATTGTATACAAACATATTTTATTGTTTAAGTGGTAGTAGAGAAAAGAGATATATTATAAAATTGACGAATCCAAAATGAGAGCATTACAACTTTTAGTTTAAGTTTTCATTATCAGTTTATACGCTTTCAAAGTTGAAAAGAGGGGGAGGGGTAAGACAGAAAAAAGAAAAAACTGATTAACAGAACAGTTGTTCACATAGCAACTCAAGAAAAAACAAAAGCGGTTACAGTTTATGAAAATAAGATTTGTTCAGTGAGTTGAGATCACTGAATTAGATGACTAATTAATATAATCCAAAATCAAAATTCCCAAAAAATCCAAAATCTATTAAGCCAAACAAAACTGGGCAAATACCCTGCTGATGTTGTCACCTTGTGCTGATTGACAATTTCTATCTCTGTATTGTTTAAGTACTTACTGTTGATTGCTAATATGTTTCATATATGAATTGCATTAGAATTCCGCTAAATACAAATTCCTGAATTCCGCCATCTCTGGGTTTTGTTTGGATTCTTGTAATTCGGTCATCTCGAAATACTAATACTACGATTACAATAAATTACTACAAATTGGCGTCGCAATGGAACTAAATAACCTGGGAAAATTTCCTCTAAATGGTTCTCCGCGGGAGATTGCTGATTATTTTGAATGCTTCGATGCGTGGTGCATTTCCAAGAATGTTCGTGATGACAAAATACCAGCACATTTCATCACTGCTATTGGGCTAGATGCGTATAGACTGGTGAAGACTCTGTTATTTACAGATAAACCAATTTCTCTGCCATATTATAAACTCCGTGAACTTCTGATAGATCACCTCCATATAACTACTTTTGAGACGCGAGAGAGGGCTCAATTCAACAAACTGGTTCGTGCTCCCAACCAGAAGATAAGAGACTTCATTCTTCAACTTCAATGAGGTATGGATCTAAATGTATGAAGTTGTTGGTTTTCGTCTTTAAGTCTTCAGATTCATGTGACATTATAGAGCAGTTGTTCGTAAAGTTCAGATCTTCTATAGTCTTCTTATCAGTTCATGATATTCCTGTCTTCTCTCCTACCTACAGTCTAGCGCATAAAGCAGTCTATCAAAGTCAGGAATATCGGTGGTGATAGTAGACAGGTAGCTTTGTTCCACTTCTATAAATATTGCTAACTTCCGGGGAATTTGTTACAGGATTTCGTCATGAGCTGACATTAGTTAGGGGACCACTGGAAAACCTGGGAGCACTGGACAGCCGCTTTGTCCTAGTTTGGGAATCCTCATCAGCACGCACCCACACAGTGGGGTTTGAACCCAGGACCCTCCGGTTACAAGGCAAGCTAGCTCGTAGACCATTAAGCCACTGGGACACAATCCAATGGCCAGCCCATGAATTCTAACTTCTGCCAATTCACGACATAGTGCAACCGCTAGCCAATGTCTTCGGCGAGTATTTGTCCTCACACCCAACCTGTTGAACCCTACTGGTCACGACTCCTCACTAGACACCCAGGTAACTACCTACCTCGAGCAAGTCGCTAGTGAGCATCCAGGGAATTTATTGAATGTTTTTAATTTCTCTACAATTAAAACTTATCAATATTAAATTAACATCAAAAGATACATACTTTCGAAAAAGACACCCGCGATTAAGAAATAATTTCACAATTTCTAAATGTCCACGTTCTACTGCCACATGTAATGGTAGACGTCCAACAGCATCAGGACAATTCATTGCACGCATTCCATGAGGTGTGGCCAACAACTTTTCACATGTATGCAAACGACCAAAATACGCTGCTGTATGCAGTGGGGTGTTACGTTCATTATCACGTTCTAGCGCTGAAGCTCCACGTAGAACAAACTCTGTGGTGGCGCCTAAATTACCCATTTTTGTTGAATAATGCAATGGAGTTGAACCGTACTTGTCTTTTTCATTGACCAGTCGTTTGAATAATTCTTCCTATGATAAAATAAAACAGAGTTTAAAAATGTTATCATTCAATGTGATTTCTGTCAGAGATATTTATTGTTCGTGTCTAATGGAACATTAGAAAGAAGAGAACACAAAGTTCAGCAAAGATGGCGATCTATTCGGCGATTTCATTCTCAAAAGCACCTGTACAATCGCATTTATATAGATTATTTTACATGGATACAATTATTATTATTATTTTAATTTCACATAGTAACGAAGTTATAAAAACAGTTATTTTAAGTTTGTTTCCATGCTTCTCATGATCACACTTTTAATCCGTTTAGAATAACCATTTTACAATTATATTCTAATCTTGTTGTAATTTTTTGTTTCTATGCCTCTTGTAATCTATATTCGTACCTCCTAACTAACATTTCAAGTTGAAAATTTTGATCTCAGTCTGTTTCCATGCTCATTTTGTTCACACCTGTAATTCGTTCTATTTCTGCGTAATTTTTGACTCTAAGCCTCTTGTAATTCATACCAAGTTGAAAATAATTATCACCTTTTATTCGCCTTTATAATTATTATTTCTGCAGTTATCAAATATTAATTTTGCATACGTTGTAACTGTCTTCTAATCTTATGTGTAATCTTGTCTCTCTAAGCCCCTTGTAATCTATATATTCGTACCTTCAAACTTTCATATCAAGTTGAAAATTATTATCACCTTCGTTACTATGTGGAGTTAAACAAATAATAATTGTATCCATTTAAACTAATCTATATAAATGCGATTGTACAGCTGCTTTTGAAAATTAAATCGCCGAAAAGACAGATATCAATTTGCTGAACTTCGTGTTCTCTGCTTTCTAATGTCCATATGGTTGTTTTCCACGATCTAATGGAATATCTTAGGTAAATTATTTAATGAGATATTCAATCCATGTTGGCTGAGGAAGTTAGACGATGAAGGGATACCGTTGGCTCTCAATCACATCAACAAATGAATAAACATCAGATTAGAATTTGGGCACTCTAGTGAAATGTAACTCCCTATTAGAGAAGCTTTCTTGCTGCAACGTACAATTATACAGTTTGAAATGGATGACAAGGTTTTGAGCATAAATTTCCGCCACTCATATTCATATCAATTTTGTCACATGGCTTCAGAATTTGTCTTACATCTATATTTTCTCTCTTTTTACCTCTGTCTCCCACTTTCCCTTGTCGTTTATTGCCACTTTCCACATCTTCAGTAAAGGCGTTGCATGGAGGGCGACTGGACCAATGACCTTCAAGCACTCACCAAGCAATTTATTGAACACTGGCAAATAATGTTGTTATCATCAATAAAATATGCTCATCGAAGTGCAGTGTTATTGTTGAATGGGATATCTGACAAGTTTCATCTAAGGTTTGAGAAAGATTCAGTTAAGGTTTAGGCTGAAGACAGGTTAGGGTCAGGTTAACCTAGTGACGGCGACACTATGGTTGATTCGAGTTAGGTAAGTGTGGGTTTGGGTATATTTTCACGTTATGGTTAGGTTCAGGAAAGATTAGGTTTATTGTTAGGGTTAGGAGACCTTGTGAACTGCATGCACAGGATGTGTGGTTATATTACTTTGTTGATACTCCAATCGTAAAGTGAGAGGTATTTTTGTCACACGTCAGAGAAAGGGATCCTCTGTAACAGTTTCATGACTCTGAAATCATTATTTTCATGAATACTTATGTATTTTCTATGCAAAAATCGTCTTTATCATGTGATTGGTGCTTTCGATCATAGATGTCTGCGATCTCTGTCTCACGTTAGGTGGTTTAATAAGGTAAGTAATGTTGACGTTAGGCGTAGAGTGTTGGGCAGGCAAAGAGGGAAAATCAATCGACGAGGCTATAAAGTTACATAGACTGAGATGGCTAGGTCACGTGCTGCTCATGCCTAACCACCGCCTCCCCCGACGGGCATTGCTAGCTGATATAGGTGCTGGTTGGAAAAGAGCCAGTGGTGGCCAAACAAAAACATGGCTTCATCAATCCATGAAATCCTTGACGGTTAAACTGAGTCAGGTAGGGAGATGCAGACTCCCGGGTTGGGGGCCTCGGGACTCTAGGAATCAATGGCTGGAGACAATAGGTGACATGGCTGAAAATGGTTATCAATGGCCAGCGCAGATGTATTCAGTCTCTGTAATCTTTCATATTCCTTTCTACCATTACCCGTTCCGTTTCACTCTTATACTTGTGAAACTCTATTGATTCTCTTCACTCATCTTCTTGTCTACCTCTGTGTGCTATTTGGAACGTGGCAACTCGAACTGGTGCACTTCGGTGCCAAGTTCTATGTTGAATCCAGACAGACAGACAGACAGACAGATTGGTGCGTTCAAGGTCATCTGTCCATTGATGCATACCGGTGCTTAAAGTTCACCTTTGATACAGATGTTAATATTTGTAAAACAGACATGGTGGACACATTATTTTGACTTGAAAAGCTTCGACTGACTATTTTAATTTACAAAAAGGAATCCGTCAGTAACAATGTTTCTTCGTGTAAAAAAGCTTCTCTCCAAGTAGAATGTCAAAGAAAAGTAATTGTGATGAAGTACTTTCGTAGTAATGGTTTTTTCATCAAAAAATCATTGAGAAATATTGGAAAATTAGTCTAACAGAAGAGGTGATAACATTGGGTGGTGGAATACGACTGGAGTGAAAGGAATATATGTCCCGTGCTCTGGCGTCTGACTCCCAGCCGACGTATCGCCAAGTTACACCTAGTTTACTATATTAATATAATTAATGTTTTAAAATTTTTATTGTAGCTTGACTCCAAACTGTATTTTTGATACAAGTATGGAATTTTTATCATGTGTTATCGGTAGGCCAAATTTAGCAGGCCGACCATAGATATCAGGTGTGCGTCGGCCAGGGATCGAGTCTCGGACCATGCCCATTGTCGGCGAGAGTCCTAACCGCTGTGTCCCCGACGTGGCAGTAAGTTTGGAAGGGAGGAAAGGTTAGGAGTGAGGCCAACAATCCTCTCCCCTCCCCACATCAAAGTAACACCATTGACCCTGGTGAAACTTCAAAGTTTAACCCCACCGTCAAAGGTTCCATTTGGAACTCAGCTGAACGCTAGGAAAAAAAAATCGAAAATATCAAAAAGCTTACATCGTTTACTTCTGGCAGGACAGTTCTAATTCCTGGACCACGGAATAACATTAACAAATGAACTAAATTACGATTGCTTGAATCATGTGCATTTGGATTAGCCCCAAGACGAAGAAGTTGAATACAGGTTTGAAATGCACCTTTCATAGCAGCCAGTAATAATGGTGTCCAACCATTTGTTTCAGTCATTTCTAACGGTGATCCCTAGTTGATAAAAGTTTAAAACAAGAACAAAAGAGACCATTTTTACTGTGCCCAAATGTGAGTTATATATAAACATCATCGATGCTAAAATAAGCTTCTTTAGTTAAGTTGATAGTGAAAGCGTGAAAGGAACTGGGGTTCTTCCTATGTACAACTTTAGATTTGTATGTTTGGATGTTGAAATCAACCAACCAATGAGTGAAATTATATTTCAAGGTGATTGAGTGATGCAGATGCTATCTGTCTAATATCACACAAACTTGAAGACTTACAGGCAGGCAGGCAGGCAGGCAAAACCAACAAACTGGCAGAAGAAGTAAACAGTCAGAGAAGACAGGACTCTATGTGAACATAAAGAAGATAGAGGTAATGAAGATAGCTAACCGACCAAAAGCAGCAACAACAACTAGCACCAATCACCATCAACGGGAGAGATTTGAATAAGGAAACATGGTTTCAGCTACAGGCAGTCGAAACGGATACAGATATCAAAGCTGGTCAGAATCGGGAAAGGCAAGGCAGCACACCTTTATCAACCTGAAACAAGTTTGGAAATCTTCCACACTAACTCAACACCAGCATAAACAACAAGATTTCGATTTTCAACACCGGTATAAAGTCGGCCATTCTATACGGGTCAGACACTTGGCGAGTGTATCGCGGAAACGATTTCCAACAGCCTGTTGCAGATCTTCATCAACACCTGCCACCTTTACTGGCTGGCTCCATACTGCAGGTCGACTGGCCGACTGGTCAGAAAGAATAAGTAACAAGAAACTCTAGCTTAGGGCAAACCGATAGGAGAGAATCAACTGCTCAACAAATATGTAGGGGAATATGGAGATGGATTGATCTGGCATACGTTGAAGAGACCGTCGAATGATATCACATGCACTGCAGGCCATTGCTCAAGTGGAATCCAAATGAGAAGTGGCGAGTGTGTAGTTAGTGTGAGGAGATAAGAGATATTGGGCCATCTTGGACCCAACAGAAAAGGCTAGCAAAGAACAGAAGAATGTGCAGATGTGTTGGTAAATCTTTATGTTCCATTCGAAACGCAAAGGAATAATAATAATAATAATGTAATACTGAGTGATTGGGGTGGGTTGTCGTCAACCAGTCACATCCTACTGTAGGGCTAGCCAGACAGACAGTTTAAAGCGATCCAAACAACGGACCGTATATTCTCAATCGTTTAGATGTCAGGTCATCAGCGGCGGGCTTGGTTTGAGTTGACTCCAAGAGCCGTCTAATTAATTCAAACCATCCAAATTTCAACGATGTACTAGGGCGAACTGTTATTATCATAAATCATTAATTTTCAAATTGCAGTTTTGATGTTTTATGGCCATTTGGACTTCTAATTTCGATCCAGTTATGTTTCATAAATCTTGTCGTCTTGAATAAATGAATAACCACTTGATATATTGAATTGTGAAAAACAAGAAGTTGGCAGAAGAAGCATCAAAGGTAGGGCGTCAAGTAAACATAGAGAAAACAGAGGTGATGAAGATTCCTGGCCGAAAGTAACAGCAACAACAACGGACAACAATCAGCCAGCAAAAATGGGAGGAACCTGAAAGAAACAACCTTCTTTATTTACTTGAGAAGCATCGTCTCAACTACAGGCGAAACTGACGAGGATATCAAAGTAAGGATCGGGAAGGGAAGGCAAGCTTTCATTACTCTTAAGTCTGTGTGGAGGTCAACAGCACTTAGCATCGAAAATAAGAACCAGATTTTCAACTCGAATGTGAAGTCAGTGCTATTAACCATACGGATCAGAGTCTTGGCCAGCGCGTCATAAAAAGCACCTCAAACAAACTACAGACCTTCATCAACAGCTAATTGTCTTCCCTCAATACTACTCAAGATCAGATGGCCGGCCAGAAAAGATCAGCAACAGGGATCTCTGGCAATGAACGAACCAACACAGCATGAACCGATTGTGAAACAGATGAGCAAGAAGAAATTGAGGTGGATTGACCATACTCTGAGGAAACCATCAAGTGCCATCTCTCGACAAACCCTGGAGTAGAACCGAAAGGGAAGCAGCGAGTTGGTCGTCAATCCGAGGATGACAACATAGAGGAGGTGATGTGAAGATGAGATGAAAGCATTTGGGCTGAACTGGAGCCAGGTGAAAACTTTAACAGAGAACCGAACTCGATGGAGACGTGCAGTTGAAGCCCTATGTTCCTCTAGGAATTAAAGGAATTAATAATAATAATAATGTTGAATTGATCGAGTTTATTTACCATTATCATCAGCAGGAGAAATTTGAAGTAGGTCATTTCTTTCTCTTATTCAAGCAGAATGGTTTCAAGTAAAGGTTGGACGGATGAAAATGTAGAAACCAGAATCGAGCAGGCAAAGACAGATCTTCACCAGTCTGAAATCAGTTTCAATGAAATCTTCTGCACTCAACTTGAATACTAAAAAACAACCCAGACATTTAACATCAAATATTAAGTTAGTTCTTCTTCTATATATAGGACAGAAATTTGGTGGGTGTTCAAAGAAAAGCGGCCTACTGCAGACTTTCATCACACAGCACCCCCACTCCACTGCTTACTGAAGATAAGATTATCAGCCAGAAAGAATTCAGTGGCAAGAAACTCTAGGCATAAACCAATCAAGAACCTACTGACCAGCAAATGTACAGAAAAAATTGGAGATTTATCGAACACCCACTGAGGAGGCCATTGACTGATGTCTCTTGCGCTGGGAAACAACAAGTTGGGAGTCACTTCAACTGTGACAATGACGGGATTAAAGTGACTATGAGATGAAAGTTCATCTATAGGCAATTGTGGGCCCGTGTAAAGAAAACAGTAAGGAACAGGAAAAATAGTGAGAAATCCCCTGGGCTACCGACGCCATGTGTTCCACTTGAAACAGTGTTAAGTTCGAAACGAAGCTGACTGACTACTGGAATTCTCTGTGTAAATGAAATGAATGACTTTTCCCTAGTAACCTTAACTGTGATTGGTTCCCTCCGGAAAATTTTTTTATTTGTCATTGTGTTCAATTGTATTGTTATGAATTACTGCGTTTAATTAACACTACACTATTCCACTGTCAGTTGTTTTATATTGAAATGAGTAACAAAGGTTAATAAAGGCACTGAAGAACAAAATGCATTGAAGAAACTAAAGAATAGAAAAGATATAGTTATTCTACCGGCTGATAAAGGAAGAACAACAGTAATCCTGGACACAGAAGACTACATAAAGAAAGCAGAGGATTTACTCAAAGATAATAATGTATATCAACAGTTGACAAAAAACCCTATACAAACATTCGATAACAAAATCAGAACAACGTTAAATAAACTAACGAAATCAGGACAAATTACAGAACAAGATCAATGGCGAATGAGATCTAACGGACCCATTTTACCTCGATTTTATGGTAGACCAAAACTACACAAACCGAACATCCCCTTACGACCAATCGTTTCGCTTCCAGGAACACCAACATATAATCTATCTAGAGAACTTTTCAGGAAGTTAAATTACCTAACAGAATCATGCGACCATTCTATCAATTCGTCAATTCAATTTCTAGAGAAAATCAAAAACATTCAGGTAGAAGACAATGAAATAATGGTGTCCTTTGATGTCACAGCATTATATACTTCGATTAGTCCAAAACTAGCAACAGAAACTATGCAACGATTACTCTATAGTGATGAAAACATAAAAACGCAATGTTCAACTTGGATAGAACTCATAAAATTATGCCTTACAACATACTTTCAATTTAATACTCAAATATATGAGCAAATAAAGGGAGCACCAATGGGATCGCCCATATCAGGATTAATAGCTGAAGCCGTTATGCAAAGATTAGAATTAATAGCTCTACCTATAATTAAACCGAAAATCTGGGTACGTTACGTTGATGATACATTTGTAATAATTAAGAGAAATGATTTAGAATATACCCATAAATTAATAAACAACATATTTGAAGACATCAAATTCACAAGAGAAGAAGAGTTAGATAACAAAATCCCATTTTTAGATGTCTTAATCAGGAGAACCAACACAGGAAATTTAGAAACACAAGTATACAGAAAGTCAACGCACACAGATCAAATACTCAACTATACTAGCAACAATCCAATTACTCACAAAAGAAACTGTGTGCAGACATTGTTTAGAAGAATTCAAACACATTGTAGCACACCAGAGTTGAAAAGAATGGAAGAAAGATACTTACAAACGGTGTTCAAGAAGAATGGTTATCCAAAAAATTTCATCAAAAAGTGTTTAAAATCGAATGAAAGCACCAACAAAGAACCATCACCAAAGACCAAAAAGCAATTCATCCTACCATATATCAGAAACATCTCTGAAATAACGGCTAGAATAATGAAACCGTTTGATATAGATGTAGCACACAAACCAGCTGAATCGCTTAATTCTATCTTATGCAAACCAAAAGATCCGATAGAAAAGGGAGATAAAATTAACACCATTTACAAAATAAATTGTGTGAACTGTAACAAACATTACATCGGCCAAAGTGGGCGTCCCCTTCGAATAAGAATCCAGGAACACAAATCAGCCGTGAAAAGACATGATATAAATTCTTTAGTATCAATACATTCAGACGATCATGGACATCAATTTGATTGGGATAATGTCAAAATCTTAAACAGAGGAAACACCAAATGTGCCAGAGAATTCCTAGAAGCCTGGTACTCAAATGAAAACGCAATTAATAAACACGTTAATATAGATGAAATATACCAACTAATAAGAAGTAAATCAGGTGATCAGAAAGTTTAAAATCCCAATCAATAGAAAACGGTCAATAAATATCTAAAGATGGTTACCGGGAGACTCATGAAGAAATTTAAATCATTTCACTTTATCCTAAATACTGCGCTGAAGATGTCGTCCAGAAAGACGATGAAAGCTCCGCAATTAAACCAAGGAGCTCAGAGAACACCATCAATTCCAAAAGGTTAATAAAGCAGGATTTAATAAATTCATGAGATTTCGGTAGAACTACTCTTCATCTGAATACTCCACATGCAAGGATATATATATATATATACTATTAGATATATAAGACTGATTAGCAAATAAACTATATTGAATTAGTTTGATGATATTAGCTGGTTGGAGGTAATCGGCAGGAAGCCTTGTCTGACCTAGGTTTCGTGCTACTTGGCACTCGTCAGCAAGGCGTATCTGCAACCTTGAAGGAACACATGTCCTTTCTGAGATTCGAACTTGCGTCACCTAGTGCTACAGTCAGAGATGGGTTTCGAATTTCAGAAGGGACATGAGTCCCTTCAAGGTTGCAGATACGCCTTACTGACGAGTGCCAACTAGCACGAAACCTAGGTGGTGTCCAAGGATTCCTGTGGTCGACTGCCTCCAACCATCTAATATCACCAAATCAACGTGCACCGTGATGGCGAGCTACCTAGAATGGTGGTTGTATTGCCAACCTGACTGATAGAATTCAGTCTGCACCGAAGATAGGACTAGACACATCATACTAGTTACTAGTGTCATACCAAAAATATATATTTAATTTATTAGAATTTAATTGGTGGATGGTGACTAGTAGCAGTGGAATCCAGGATAAGGCGCATTTCGTCCTATTTCGGACTCGTCGGTGGCAGGATATACCTGCATTCCCCAGTGAGTGATGATGTTCCCACCACCATTGAGGCTTGAACCCAGTGTCCGTAGTTTCAAACGCCAAAGCGTTATCTACTAGACCACTTGGGCCATGGGAGCCATTACCTCTTGCGCAATAGGTTATATTAATTATTTAGCTGAATTTTAGATTATCCCGTTGATTTCTTGGACCGAACATCCAGACAACGTGTCCCAAATAGGATGAAATGCGCTTCTTCCTGGATTCCACTGCTAGTCACTATCCACCGGTTAAATACATCATCGAAGAATCTGCACAAGAAGCCAACAGACATGTCAACCTGAGACCGAGAGAGCACTTCGGTCCAATCAATCGATGGGAGAATCTAAAATTGTTTTTGAGATGTATTCTAAAGCTTAAGGAATCCTTGGTAACTAGGTATTTCAAACCATATTCAGGGAATCAGTGGCAGATATTATCTGCACATTTACTCAATAACCTCACCCTACACACTATACAGACCAAAAGAATCAACAGTGAAAGAATACAAGCCTACTTCATTCATAAAAGCATCGGTCAAAGCAGATATCGTTTCATCTATACATTCACAAAAACACAAAATTACAGTTAATTTATATGATATGGATTACTTCATACCAGTGTACCAGATCCTCTAAGGTGGTGCATGACTCGCGGCTAGATGGAACATGAAGAGCTTCTAGAAACTCTTAGAGATCTAGTAGTCAGATCAGTTGGCAGTTAAATTCATCAAACAGTACGCAACTCTAGTGAAAAGGACTAATGGCACAATCGAAAGATCTATATTTAGAAACTCTTCATGGACAGGACATGATAGTACACACATTTTAAAAGCTTTATTTCAATCCACAATAAAAAGAAGTCATTTAGAACACTGCCCAGTACAACACGAAAAATTTGTTCTGACAGTTCAACTGAACATGAATTAAAATCTCTGAATTCTATTTCATCTAAAAATGGATATCTTGAAAAGTTCATTAATAAATACTCTACAGGAATAAGCCCTTGAAAACCTATCGAAACAGTTCCGAAAAAAATTGCCCATATGACTTTACCATTTAAAGGAGATGAAATACAGGAGATAATCAAATGAAGACTCGGATTAGCTATCAAGTGAGAAATTATTATGCTGTGGAACTCGTCGTGCATAGCATCACGCCTAGGCGAGCGCTTCAACAATCTGAGAAAAATTAGTCGCCAATCCACGATATTTCAAACTCCTGCGTATATCAATTTGATGAGTATGTTTATGGAAACAAATACACATAGGGCACTGGGTTTAAGCCTCGGTGGTAGGAACATCATCACTCACTGGAGAATGCGCGTACATCCAGACACCAGCGAGTTTCAAGTAGGACGAAATGCGCCTTATCCTGGATTCCACTACTAATAGTCACCATCCACCAATTAACTTCTAATTACATGCTCAGACATCATCGAAGCATCTGCACAAGACGCCAACAGACATGTCAACCTGAGACCGAGCACTTCGGTCCAATCAATCGATAGGAAAGCCCAAAATGGAAAATTTGAAAATCCAATCAAACCTCAGTTAAAAATGATGGTAGAAAAAATCAATCTCTCTTCATATATATTTATTGATTTACCTGTTCAACTAGATAACTGACAAGTTTTTCATGATTGTAGACAGCAGCCAAGTGTAGCGGTGTATAACCATTTTTATCTGGCATTTCTAATACTGTAGTTCTAATCGATGGATCTGCTTCAAACATTAATTGAACACATTCTAAATCATCTTTCATGCATGCATAGTGGATAGGCGTTGAATTATCGTTTTGTTTAGCCAATATGAAGGCTTTTTTTTCCAGACAAAACTAATGATTCCATTGGAAAGAAAAATATGACAGGAAACAAAACTGTATGTAAGCGAAAATAAGAATGACCGCCTGACTTATTCATTTCAGTTAAACAGTTATAACTTTTCATCAGGTTTTGCAGTTATATATATATATCCATCCATAATAGTGGAAAGTCAGGTGTTGTTCTGCCAACATAACACATATGAATTTGCATGCGTCGGTGGTACAGTGGTTAGGAATCTCGCTGACCATGCACATGGTTCAAGGTTCGATCCCCTGCCGAATCACACCCAATATCGTTAGCCGGCCTGCAAAATTAGGGCTACCGATATCACATGCTGAAAATTTCATACTTCTACGAAGAATACTGTATTTAATCAAGCTATAATCAAAAATAAAATTAACGTTAATAACAAAATTATTGTTGTTTAAATAACATCGAATCAATAATAATAATATCAGTGGATTACAGATCATTGTGATATATATATATATATATATATATAATTAATTTACGTTTCCAGTGGAACATAGGGGGCTTCAAGTTACAGGACTGAAGTTTTGGAAGCAGGGATTTTTATTTTTATGGGATGGATGAGGTTGCTAGCCACCTCATGCCCAATTTTCCCGCTTTGCCAGTCTTATTAACAGGCTTAGCGAAGTAGAAGAGTGCGTCGGCCCGGTGGGGATCGAACCCCAGGCCACATATGTATAGTTGGCGAGTATTCCAATGAATAAAACATCAACGGACATATGAAGCTAATTGCGCCTGCTAGTCAGATTATTTATAGCCAAGAATATCATCCATGTATCCACATTATTTGAGCTTAGTGTGAGTTGAACCAATTGAAACTATCTGTATTTCTGACTAGTTACTTGAGCAAACCAGTAATACAATAAAATCAAATAAAAGAAAACTGAGTTTTACCAGTCTTCCCAATAGTTGCTGACCTTTCCATGAATAGATTCGAGGATAACATCTTTACAAGCATACTCACTCTTAAAATATCGTTAAGATATGTAGAGATCTACACAGTTCATTCTTGGAGAAACTGAAAAATCTATCTCCCAACATCCAGTTTACTTCGGAAGGAGAATCAGACATCAGTGAACTTCCATTTCTAAACTGCCTAGTTGAGAGAGTGGAAAACGGACATTTAATTATATCCATATTCAGGAAGAAAACGCACTCCAACAAATACTTAAATTTCGGATCATCACACCCCATCAGCTCAAAGGTATCGGTTTTTTGAAGTCTTCTTAGACGATCACACTCTCTGATGATAACGGATAAGAAAAAAAAGGAGAAGAAATATCCAACATTACTGAGACTCTCAAGCAAAATAACTACCCAAAGAACTTCATCAACAAAATCAACACTGATATTAAATATAATCGAAAACGTATTCCTTAAACATGGACCTCAACAGTTGTCATTCCATACAGATCATCAGAGACGACAGACGATATCAGAAGAGTACTCAATAAGCTCGACATCAGAGTCTTCTTTAAAATATCACACACACTAAAAAGCAACCTTGTTCATATAAAAGACCGAATCCCCAAATATTCTCTATCTAGTTGTGTCTATAAAATAAAATGCTTGCAATGTGATGCGATATACGTCGGAGAAACATCTCGAGAAATTAAAATCAGAAGAAATGAACACCATAGGGCATGTCTTCGACCACCAAGAAATCCAGTTTGTGGACTAGAAAAGCTTGAAAAATCATCAGTCATAGGTGGTGGTCTACACGCTATAGAATCAGGCCACAAAATTGATATTGACAATATTGAAAGCATCATCCAAAAAAAGCATCTCAGAAATCACAAAGAACGTCTAATATCATCAGAAGCACTTCATATCATTAAAGGGAATCCAAATTGTCTGAACTGAATAGGAATGATGGAGTAAAATAGAATCTGACGTGGTTACAACACCCCCCCCCTCCCCCATGAAATGATCAAATCGACACGAATATGATGTAGAAGTTCACTATGCAAACATACACTACTTTTGTAATTGTTTACGCTTATCAAATGCAACGATCTACACCTGGTTTTGTTACCTTTACCAGTTGGCCAATTTGACAACGCAAAAATGCCCCCATGGTGATGAACGATGATTAAGTTGTTATATGTAAACTAAGTGAATTTTGTAATATACAGAATTACACAAGGGTTTTAAGTTAGAAAAATAAGCATACAAACAGAAGTAAGGTCAAATCAAACAAACAAACAAAAGTTAGGTCAAATCAACGGAGTTGTTACCATGCGAGTAGAAGTGGTTGGATAATTTTCTTTTGTATGCATAGTTCTGGTTCCACCAACTGGATGGCTAGGGCTTCTGCAATGCAAAGAAGACGGAATCGTACTGTCTTTGGAAGGTTGTTCTTCACTTTTTAGATTACTTTGAAGCAGGAGGCGTTTGTTGAGATGGAATGACCAGTGTTGAAGAAATGTTCGATTATTGCACTCCTTATATGGCCATTATTTCCTTTCTGTAGGCACACTGGATAGTGTTCTTTTACCCTTTTAGACAGGATGCGCGTTGAACGACCGATGTACCTGGCTCCAGAGCAACAGGTGAACTGATATATACACATGTGAGTGGTCATGTGCGGAATCTTGTCCTTTGGGTTTCTGCAGATCAGCGGGCGACTGGAGAACACTATTCTTAGTGTTTCCGCAGGGAACGTTTTCCTAAAGAGGTGGAAATTCTCCTCCTGAGGACGTCACTAAGTAGGTCTCCTTTGAAGTCTAGGTTCATATAAAGTATCTTTTTTGGCACGGATGGTGTCTTTTGCTTTTGGTTTTTCTGTTTGATGTTTTTGTCTACGAATCTTGGTGGGTAGCCATTTTGTATGAAGATCTCCCTCAGGAAGTTTAGTTCTTCTTCCATGGTGTCGGAGCTGCAGATGCGTCTGACGCGAGTGGCAAGGGATTTAATTAGGTTTCTTTTCCGACTGATTGGTACCCAGCTGTAGAAACTTGTTAATTGTCCGTTCCAAGTCGGTTTCCTATGGATTGACCTTCTTAAAGTTGTAATTGTATTTTCGTTTGACAAATTTAATGTATACACACACACACACACACACAAAATAACCATATGTATTTGCGATTGTACAGCTATAAAAATGAATTCGCCGAAAAGAGACTCTTCGCTGAATTACTTGTCTTCTGTCTACTAATATATATATATATATAACATATTAATTTTTATTATTCTAAATTTTCCCCCAATATTCGCTTACTTTTACCATATCTGAATTCCCTGATGTCACTGCTGTATGCAGCGGAGTTTCGCCTTCACAATCGATTAAGTCAATTAAGTGACTATTTGTCATCACATTCATGCATTCATACGGTTGACTACTAAGACTTCGTTGTAATGATGATTGAGTTGATGAAATGAATTTCTTTCTCAATTCAATTGATTTATGATTGTTTAATTGACCTTCAATATCTACTGTCTGTATAGGATTATTAACTGACGCTGATGATGTACTTTGATGTCTATCTGGTAGGGGTGAACAACTATAATAAAAATTATTATTATTATTATGACTACTACTCAGGTTGGACGATTGTTTCGGTGTATTTTCAAGTCCTTTCTCTTTGTTCAACTTTTCTTCCATTTGAAATAAAGCATTTAAACACTTGCGACTGACATTAGCAATAGCAACGTGTACAGGATAGGTAGATTCGAGATCTCGGGCAAATATATTGGCTCCTATGTCCAACTAACCAACAAAATAACAAAAAAAAAACAGAACACAAAGACAAATAATAAGAACATTTGAGTACTTTAATGTCACAGCATTGCGTACTTCAATTGTGGTGTCAGCTGTCTGCTAGCCAAAATTGGTAGACAGCAATTTACGTCAATGTTTACGTCCCAATTCTTGGTCATGAAAGAAAAACAAGAACAAAGACTGATTCAACAATCAACTACAGCAGACTTTTCGTAGGCAGATAAAAATAATCTGAACTTCAAGAAACGGCCACAAAGAGATGAAAGATTAACGTTCAGTGAGAAAACAACCAATCAAAAGACTGTGTTGGTTTGCTTACAATAATGTATAATATTGTTAAAACAATTAGTCCCTTTGATAAATTTGAATAAGGCATTAAGAAGACAAATTTCGTGAGATGATATCGTCATTTCGTAGTTTCTTTACAACCGCTTTACAACTACTAACATGGTTAACAATGATAAAATAAAGTTCATGAAAATTACTCAGTTAAATAAAAAACAAATGTACATACTAATGACCAATCATATTTAGATAGGTCATGTAGTCCAGGGTAGGCGAAGATTGAAGTCTATTGATTTTTGTATACACAGTTCAGGCTGTATGTGATTAATCCCTCAAAGTGCTTCCATCACCTTCAATAACCTTGAATTAGAGTTATGTGAAATAATTGTGAAACAGTCATTAATATTTATTTTGTGACCAGACATTAATAAGTGTTTTGCAATGGATGATGCTGGATTTCTACCAAGATTAATCGCGTTAGGATTTTCGATATGATTTACTAGCCATTTTGGAACATGTTCTTTTCGACGACATTGGAACATTCTGTTAGTTCTACCTATATAGGTGTCACCGCAGCTGCAGGTGAACTTGTAGATACAGTTTGAAGTAGAGTCCACAGGATTTCGTCCTTTAATCGTTGGTAGGTACAGTGATCGAAAATGTTCGGCGAATGACGAAAAGAGATGTGGCGGCGTAGAATGTGCGTTTGATGACTGATCGAAGTCTTTGAGCTGTCAATTGCATAATCTGGTCACCCTTGAATGGTAGATTAATAAAGATGGCTTTCTTTGGTACAGAAGCTGTCTTTTCAAGATGTGGTCTATCCTTACCGTGACAATTGATGAAGATTTTTGGATAACCATTGGCTAGTAAAATGATATCATCTCGCGAAATTTGTCTTCTTAATGCCTTATTCAAAAGTATAATAATGTACCTGAGAATCTATAAATATATGTTGGTTTCGTAAATAAACGATCTGTTGCCTAGCCCTTGTCTTCTGCTGTTACAAATTATTCCAAAACTAGCAAAAGAAACTATGCAACAATTACTCTGTGTGGATGAAAACATAAAAACGCAGTGATGTTCAACTTGGATAGAACTCATAGAATTAATTATGTCTTACAACATACTTCCAATTCAATACTCAAATATATGAACAAATAAAAGGAACGCCAGTGGGATCGCCCGTATCAGGATTAATAACTGAAGCTGTCATGCAAAGATTAGAATTAATACCCCTACCTATATTTAAACTAAAACTCTGGGTACGTTACATTGATGATACATTTGTAATAATTAAAAGAAATGTTTTAGAATATACCCATAAATTAATAAACAACATATTCGAAAACATCAAATTCACCACGAGAGAAGAAGAATTAGACAACAAAATTCCATTTTTAGATGTCTTAATCAGGAGAACTATCATAGGAAATTCAGAAACACAGGCACACAGATCAAATACTCAACTATAGTAGTAATAACCCAATTACCCACAAAACAAACTGTAGAACTACAGTGTCAAAGACAATGGGGGAATAATACGTATCATCATCCAAGACTACAGGAAAATTCATTCCATCATATACAAAAAATATCTCTGAAATAACGGCTAGAATATTGAGACCGTTTGAAATAGATAAAGCACACGAGCCAGCCAGTCAGCACAATCATCACTTCACTCGATATTGTTCAAACCAAAAGACCCATCCAACAGAAAATGAAAATAAAATTAATACCATTTACAAAATAAACTGTATGCACACAACAGGCATTACATCTGCCAAAGTGGGCATCCCCTTCGAATCAGAATCCAAGAACACAAATCAGTCGTGAAAAGACATCATATATATTCCTGTTTCATATCAATGCATGTGGATAATTATAGACACTAATGTGATTGAGGTAATGTCGAAATTTTAAACAGAGGAAACACTAAGAGTACAGTCAGGGATTCCTAGAAGTCTGGTACTAAAATGAATCAGCAAGCGATTAAAAAACATGTTAATACAGACCAAATCTACCAACTGCTAATAAAATGTAAATCATGTGGCGAGAAAGTTTGAAATCTAAGTCAATAATAAAATGATCAATACAGATGTCAAGAAGATGGTTACCGGAAGACGCAATTCTGTCAATCAGTCATGGAAAATTTAAATCAGTTCTTTTTATACTGAAACCTGCGCTGCAAGGGGATGTTGTCCAGAAGGGCAACGAAAGATTCACAACTAAGCCAACCAGCCCAGAGAACACCACTTAGTGCAATTAGTGTAATTTTGCCTGTATCATACTTCTATGATTTGACCACATTTATTTTATTCAAAGGTTATCTATAAAGTTAAAAGAAGCCCCTTGAAAACCATAAGCTTCCGTATAATTTGCTAAGGCCTTAACGATTTACGCAGGACTGCTTGATTTTATGTATACAGAGGAAACTTCTCCGCTCTCTCCATCTACTTTGGGTATAATTCCAAGTGCAACTGTTTATTTTTATTAATACTACTTTTTCCCTTTTTTGTATGACATTTCAGTAGTATCAAAATTTGACCGAAAAATTTCAGAATATAACTGGGCACCAAATGAGAAGTAGACGTGTGTAGTAAAAATAATATTTGCAAAATCTCCGCGAAATTGAAATGATTAATTCCAACGATTCCTACCTTCAGCAATCTCGTCCGAACTTCTTCAGGCAAATTAATCGAAATTAACATAACACAAGTTTATGTTCAATCATATGAGTCATGAAACAGGTATCAGCATGTATAAAAAAAACAAAATTGTATGAACTGTGATCAAAATTCGACCCCACACTTTCAAAAATTAGTCTACTTTTGTTGAACAATTTTAACAGAGTGTACTTCTCATCAGATTGCGTTCGACTCAAAGTTCATGGTCGGGGATAACTGAATGTGAAATATGTGTGTATGTGCAGTTTACAATGGTGTGTATGCGGGTAAACAGTCATAAAACATTTGTTAGCCTCTCCGTAACAAGATACAGACAATCGGGAATTTAGACCAAGTATTATTAATTAGTGATACACATCCATTCTTACTTATAAATCAGGATTTGCCATGCATCAGCTAACATCATATCTTCACATCAGTTCAAACTGTTGCGATTCACCCATACGTGTAGAGCTTCCGCAGTCAATCCTTCTTTATACCAACCAAAACCTTTTTGTAGAACCTCGGTCCTATCAAAGTCGATTTTGTGTCCCGTTTGTATAGAATCCAGTGCAATCACTGATCTGTATTTTTAGCTTCTTTAAGTCTACAGAGTCTTCGGAACCACATTTAGACATTGTTTATGCTCTTAAGTCCACTCCTATATTTACCTGTATGATAGTTTCTCCTACATATACGGTGTCATAGTCCCCACAACCGATCTGGTACGTAGTACAGTTTTGTTGGCTTTCTTCTTCTATTTTATCCGTAAGCTTCACTAGAGGTGATGAGCGTATGGTGTTAGTTTGCAAGATCATTTATTTACCTTGCTCACGAATGTGAACAGTCATCAAAGCCTACATGGAGGGCACCCTAATGACTATCTTCAATCACCTAGAACTGGTAATCCCCATCGTATATCCATCTAGAGAAATGAACTTAAATATCTAACTAGAATATATCACATTTAAAACTTTTACACTCGAAAAAAAAGTAATAGTGCCTTTCAAGAATTGCATGTGTTTGTATGTGTTTGTGAGTGATTGTGTGGACATTCAAGGAAAAATCAATGAAACATTACTGTTGACTTGTTAGCTGGTTGGACAGAATCAGCAAGAAGCCTTGTATATTGGTTTCTTGTTTGCTCGTATTCATCAGCACAGCATATCTATAACCTCTTGGGGATTCAAGATGAAGTCATTCAGTGTTCTAGTCGAATATATCACCAATGAATTACCCTTTTACTTCAGTTCAATTCGGACTTTTTCGTTGACTGGTTGGACCGAAGTGTTTGGCTTCAGGTTGACATGCCGGCTCAATGTGTGGATGCTTCACCGATGCCCGAGGAGTGAACCTGATGTGATTCGGTGGGTGTTGACTAGCAGTGGAATCCACAAGGACGTGGGTTTCGTTTTATTTGGGACTCGTCATCTGGGTGTACCTGACACCTACTCTCGTCGTACAAGTGGTTTAGTGGATAACATTTTTGCATTTGAAATGATGGGTACTGGGTTCGAGCCTCAGTGGGGACGCTATCACTCACTGGGGAGCGGAGGTACACCCAGCTGACGAGTGTCTCAAAATAGGACGAAATGCTCTTTATTCTGGATTTTACTGCTATGAATCATGAGAACTGTCGAATTTAAATTTTTTTCGTCAGTATAATTGTAAGAAGGCTTTTTCATCATATCGTGTTATCAACTATAAATCCTTGGGAAGCCGAGTAAAAGTGAGCATCCCACTGTTTTTGGTTAAATGATACTGAGGTTTGAAGATGACAAACACTAAATGCTTATCCTTAACCTAGTTTGAATTGGCCTGAAGAATAAGGCTTTAGTGTTTTTAAAACGATGGTTGGATGAGTTCGAGTCTCATTGGAAACATCATCACTAACCAGCTGAAAAGTTTCGAATAGGATCTAAAGTGGTACAAACCTTTCACCACTGATTATCACCAGTCAAAAAACCGCTTTATCCATTCTAGAATGTACTAGCAACGTATCATATAATTTTCTCACATACAATGCCGCATGCCAAGTAATTCACAGTCGAAAAACTCACGGAATACTTCGAAGTGAAGATGGGAGTAAGACAAGCTGACTGTCTACTATCTCCAGTGATTTTCCTGATTGCTGGGGGGGGGTAGACTGGATAATGCGACAGACACACAGCGGGCAGCGACGAAACAGGCATCAAATGGACCCACACAAAAACTTGGAGGATCTGGACTCTGCCGACGATATATATGTCTGATTTCCAACAAACTGAAAGATATGCAAGTGATAAAAAGCAGCAAGTCAGCAGAAGAAGAATCCAGAGAAGATAGGACTTTCTTCAGGTGAACATAGAGAAGGCAGAGGTAGGTGATGAAGATTCCTGGCCAACAGCCACAGTGACCGCAACAACAACCGACAACAATCAGCATAAATGGGAGGCACCTTCTTCACCTACCTTACCTGGTAAGCATCATTTCAACTACAGGCGGACGAAGTTGATGAGGATATCAAAGTGAGGATCGGGAAAACAAGGCAAGCTTTCATTACTCTCAAGTGTGCGTGGAGGTCAAGAGCTCCACTCAGAATCAAAAATAACATCCGGATTTTCAACTCCAATGTCAAGTCAGTCAGTGCTACTTACTATACGGATCAGAGACATGGCCAGCGCGTCATAAAGAGCATCTCAAACAAACTACAGACATTCATTAACAATTGTCTTCCCTCAATATTCAAGATCAGATGACCAGTCAGAAAAGATCAACAACAGGGATCTCTGGCAATGAGCAAACCAACACAGCAGGAACCGATTGTGAAACAAATAGGCAGGAAGAAATGGAGGTGGATTGACAATAATCCGAGGAAACCATCAGATGAGTGACATCACTAGACAAGCCATCGCTCGAGTGGAACCCGACAGAAAGGGAAGCGGCGAGTTGGTCGTCAGTGCGAGGGTGATTTGGAGGAGGTCATGTGAAGAGAAGATGAGAGCATGTGGGCAGACGTGGAGGCAGTAGAACCGGACGCAATGGAGGCGTGTGAATGAAGCTCTATGTCCCTCTAGGAATTAAAGGTAACTAAAATAAGAATAATAGGAATGTGAAAAACAATAAAATTCAACTCACAAGTAACTGCATACATTCAACACTATCACGAATACAACAGTAGTGCAATGGAGAGGCTCCTCGTTCACCTTCTGCATTCACATCCACAATATCTAATTCCAACAATACCTAAAACAGAAGTATGGAAATGTAAAAAAAAAAATAACCTATGAGACTCTTAAGCAAGAGTGAAGTTTAAAAGTAGCTGTGTAAGCTATTAAAGAAGCGCGACTTACGCCTCACTCTGCAACAGCTAGCGTAGAATAATGCTCTTTTCCACGCCAAGTAAAATACTAAATGGCGTCATCCTGGGAAGGATGCTAGATGCACTGGATGCACAATTTCATCAGCTCAGAACAAGCTGGCTTCAGGAAAGGCAAATCATGTACTGATCAAGTTATATATGTCCAAACCAAGTTCACTTTTAATAGTTTGATAAAAAATTTGGGCATTGCGTGGTATATCATATTCATTGTAATAACGGTTTTTGTATTTCTCAATGAATGAATGAAAAACAAAACGATATTGTCACTTTTACTGATGTTTCGCTATTTAATGCTAATAGCTTTATCAAAGTAGTAATATTAAACCGGAATTTACAAAATCCACTCAGCTTATATATAACAAAGAGTTAAGAGGTGAGAAAATAGACTACTTAGGTCAAGTTAAAAGGACAAATTGAAGGTTGAAATAACAGTGAAGATCACCAAACTAAATAACAAAGGTAATAGTAGTACATCTTTTATGATATCAAAATAAAGTTTACTAACTTGATCATCGTTCATCAGTCTGGGGTCATTTTTCGTTGTCAAGTTGGTCAACTGGTAGAGATAACAAAACCAGGTAGGTGTAGATTGTGGGATTTAATCAGTGTGTAAAATTATAAAAGTAGTGTATGTTTACATAGTGAACTTGCTTATCATACTCGGGTTGATTTTGTCACTTCGTTGCGGAGGGGAGGGAGGTGTTGTAACCAGGTCAGATTCTGTTTTAATCCATCATTCCTATTCAGAAAATTTGGATTCATTCCATTTGATATGAAGTGCTTATGATGATTCCATTATGGGTAAATTTTGTTTTGATAAAGTCTCACAGTGTTATACAGCAATGTTTGCTGATGACGTTTCGAGCACAATATATTGCTGATAATCATATCAAGATAATCACATGACTTCCTAAATTCATTTATATAGTTCCATTGTTTTTCTCTTGATTTTCACTTGATTTGATTGGTAATAGTATTTTCCATATTTCAGGTATGAGTGATGAGTCATTCCTATTTCATGTGTTGGGTGTAGACTCGATGAACAAGGATTCAGTAATCAACCTCTCTCTCCACCTACCTAGATTACTTTTTAGAATTTTAACCCTCTCTCACCATCCGATTGTGTGGTTGTGTGTTAATGCTTGCATTGCAATTGCTGAGCTTTTTTCTAAATTACTTATCTTCACCGGTGGGATCAACCATTCTTACCTTAGCTAAATTCTTATGCTCTGACAATCTGACTACCCTTGACCTACTGGTTTGACCTATGTAGTTGACCTAACCGACAGTCATTGCATGGTATTTTGTAAATAATATTATTTTGTCTAATTGGGTCAACTGGGTCCTTTAACCTACAGAGCTTGTCCCTGAGTGAGTTTGTAGATTTAACTGAATAACATTACTGTATAACACTGTGAGACTTTATCAAAACAAAATTCACCCATAATGGAATTACACTCGGCCACAGTGCACAAGTTTTATTCTTATATCACTTATGAAATGATATTTGACATTCTTTGTGATTTCTGAAATTTTCTGAATTATTTCAAAATTGTCTAAATCAATTTTGTGGCCTGATTCGATAGCGTGTAGACCTATAGGTGATGATTTTCCAAGTTTATCTAATTCACTAACTCGATTTCTCGATGGTCGAATAGATGCTCTACGGTGTTCATTTCTTCTGATTTTGATTTCTCAAGATGTTTGCTCAGTGTATATCGCATCATATTCCAAGCATTTTATTTTATAGACACAGTTGAATAGAGAATCTTTAGGGATTTGGTCTTTTATATGGACAAGGTTGTTTCGTAGTGTGTCTGATGTTTTGAACAAACCTCTAATGTTGATCTTTATTGTTATTTTGACTTTCAATATGTCCTTTTAACTTGACCTAACTTGTCTATTTTCTCATCTCTTAACTCTTTGTTATATATAAGCTGAGTGGATTTTGTAAATTCTGGTTTAGTAATACTTGGATAAAGCTATTAGCACTAAGTAGCGAAACGTCAGTAAAAGTGACAATATCGTTTTGTTTTTCATTCATTGGGAAATACAAAAGAAACCTTTATTATAATGTACTGATCAAATTGCCACTCTCCACATCACCACTGAACAAAGAAGAAAATGGCAGCCAAACCTCTATCTTAACTTCCATATTGGTTTGTTTATTAGATGTATCACACAGTGAGACAGTATTATTTACCAGTAAATAATACTGTCTCACTGTGTGATACATCTAATAAACAAACCAATATGGAATTACTTATTACCACAGTGCCCAAGTTTTACGCATATATTAATATGTATCTTAACTTCATCAACCCTATTAAGGCCTTCAACAGCGTCCACCGTGTAGTAATTTGTGAACTACTTCAACCTCATTCAAAGGCACTATGACAATCCGACATCACAGGCGATCCAAAAAAAAAGGAAAACTCAACTAGGTGTTTGAATTGAATACAAAAGTAAGACAAGGCTGACTGACTGCCTATTATCACCGATGATATTCCCAACTGTGGTGGACTGGAGTGTGAAGCACATTGTGTGTGTGTGTGGGGGGGGGAGTGAGAAGACATGAATACGTTGGTCTGACCGATAGGAAGACTCTAGAACATCTGTATTTCTCAGACGATTTGGTTGAGTTCCATACAAACTCGAAGACTAACTAAAAAACTGGTAGAAGAATCAACTATGACAGGACTTCAAGTAGACCAACGAACCGCAACAACAACAACAACAACAAACAGCATCAATCCCTATAAACGGGAGAGATATGTCAGAGGTTACTACCTGACTTCACTTATCTGGCTAGGAAGCATGGTTTCAACCACAGGCAGTTGGAACGGATGAGGATATGAAAGCCAATCAGGATCGAAAAGGAAAGACAGCACATCTTCATCAATCTGAAATCAGTTTGGAAATTTACACTCACTCAGCTAGCCATCATAAACAACTAGATTCGAACTTTTCAACATCAATGTCAAGTAGGTCCTTCTATACGGGTCAGAAACTTGCATTATGTGTCACGAAAACGATTTCTAACAGTTTGCAGACTTTAATCAACAGCTGCCTCCTTCTCTTGCTGGCTGGCTGGCTACATACTGAAGTTCAAAAGGCCGCCTGGTCAGAAAGTATGACTAACTAGAAACTGTGGCTGGGGATAAACCCAAAGGAGAGAGCCGATTGCTCAACAAATATATAGGGGAAACTGTTGAATGACATCACGCGCACTGCAGGCCATTGCTCGAGTGGAAGCGACAAATGGGTCGTCGGTGCGAGGTTGACATGGAGGAGATCGTGTGACCAGGAGGAGATAAGAGATTATGGGGAATTGCAGGTGTTTTTGTGAGAAGGGAACATTATCACTTAGTTACATTCATGCAATAGTGACCAAGGTAATGACAATGGCTGCAGAAATGTTTTCTGGACACACATTTTCTCCGTCTTCAGATGGATTCTGATGACCTCAGCTTAATGTCGAAGACGAACTCATAAAGCATAATTATCGTTGATTGGAATATGACAGATAACTTCAAAATGCCTTGTTCACATCAGTTTTAATTTTCAGTATCATATATAAGGTGTGTTAATCCCTTGTTTAAACATACAGGATGATTTTTGGAAATCTGACGATGAACTTGCCCAATTGTCTGCCCAGTGTAACTGTTTCCACAAGACCAGTTGAACTATTCGTGATGTGTGAATTCCATAAGTCAAGTTTTCAACCTGTTTATCCAGTGAGCTAACTTGCCATCACCGTAAACTTCAAAGTGATGTTAGATATCTGTAGGCGATTATTAACAACCGGAAGCTATGGACATCGGTTTCCTATTATTACTATTATGATTTCAAGAATAATAATACTAATGGATATCGTCTTTTTTCTGTTTACAGAACACAAAATAATTGAGCAAAGAAGAATATTCTTTTCGGTAATTTCCTCTTCTTGCTATACAATTATATAGATGCTTATATACATAGAATGTGAATCGGTGGAACAGCGGTTAGGATGCTCGCCGACCATGAACATGGTCCGGCGTCCGATACCCGGCCGACTCACTCCTTTACCTCACTAAGCCAGAAATAATACTGGTAAAGACGAAAGGTTGGGCATGAGGCTGGCTAGCAACCCCATCCTGTAAAATAAACATCACTGCGACAGAAACTTCAAGCCACTAGCTATGAAGCCGTATGTTCCATTGGGAACGTGAAGGAAAAAAATGCACAGAATATTCTAGAATAGTAGTCAAAAACAATATTGGTGTTTTTCTTTTAAAATAATACGGATTCGTTGATACATTTGAATTCTATTTTTGGTACATGGATGATGCATTTTTGATTATGGAAAATGAGGATGAAGCAAAGAACATCTTGGACAAATTTAATGATGTTCATCCTGCAGTAAATTCTACTATTCAGAAAGGAAAAGACTCCAATATTTCATTTTTAGACGTCTTTGTGACCAGAAAAGAGGATGGCACAATGAGAAGAAATTTATATAGAAAATGTACATCAACTGACTGCCAGTATACTCTTCTTTTCAGCCTCGTGCCCTTCAGATACCAAACGCAATCTGATAAAGTGCTTGGTCCGCCAAAGAGCAAGAGCGATCTACCCGGATGAATATCTTGATGAGGAACTTAATATTATTAAACATTTGCTGAGTGAGAATGGTTATCTCAAAACGTTTATTGATAAGAATATGAATCTAAAATTAAAGCAGCCCAAGGTACCAATAGTTTTTAAAAATGCCTTGTTCTTACAAATGCAGTTCCTTAGGGACAACATCAGTGAGATACTAACGCACCGCCTTAGAAATGCAGTGGTAAAAAGAGCATTCCCTGCTGCCGAATTACGCTGTGTCTTCAAAACCACTCCCCTTTTTTGCGTTCGGGAGTAAAAGATAAACTTCCCAAATTTCGCCTCTTCTGTGTGAGTGTATCTACCTATCCTAGAATATTCTAGAATAGTAGTAGTCAATAACAATATTAGTGTTTTTTTAAATAATATCGATTTGTAAAGTATAATCACTGGAATTACAGTTCATTAAAGATGCTTAAATTATAATCATAATAAAGATGTAGTAGCAAATAGAATATCAACTAAAATTAGGACAATTCCAGAAAAATTCATGATCATTCAAACCTAGATGGCCAAGCGGGTAAGGAAAATGTCTGAACTGACCAGCTTCTTTTGGATGCATAAATTAGGCTTCTTAATATGTATACCAAGAGCCAGCCTCAGCAGTATTTAGTAGTCGAAACTTAAGGCGAAACTGAAATTTGTTGGTATGCGGTAAATAACTCTGAGATCCTGGTTAACATCAGTCTTGTGTTCTGTCTCCACAAGATGAGATAGAATAGCGCTATGTGAATAGATTTTGTCTGTCCTTTACTTAACCACGCAGGATGATATTCAAAAATCTGACGAGAAATACGCCTAGTTGTATGGCCTATGCAACTAGCTGGCTCCACAGGAGCAGTTAAAATTGGTAGATACACTCACACAGAAGAGGCGAAATTTGGGAAGTTTATCTTTTACTCCCGAACGCAAAAAAGGGGAGTGGTTTTGAAGACACAGCGTAATTCGGCAGCAGGGAATGCTCTTTTTACCACTGCATTTCTAGGGCGGTGCGTTAGTATCTCGCTGATGTTGTCCCTAAGGAACTGCATTTGTAAGAACAAGGCATTTTTAAGAACTATTGGTACCTTGGACTGCTTAAATTTTAGATTCATATTCTTATCAATAAACGTTTTGAGATAACCATTCTCACTCAGCAAATGTTTAATAATATTAAGTCCCTTATCAAGATATTCATCCGGGTAGATCGCTCTTGCTCTTTGGCGGACCAAGCACTTTATCAGATTGCGTTTGGTATCTGAAGGGCACGAGGCTGAAAAGAAGAGTATACTGGCAGTCAGTTGATGTACATTTTCTATATAAATTTCTTCTCATTGTGCCATCCTCTTTTCTGGTCACAAAGACGTCTAAAAATGAAATATTGGAGTCTTTTCCTTTCTGAATAGTAGAATTTACTGCAGGATGAACATCATTAAATTTGTCCAAGATGTTCTTTGCTTCATCCTCATTTTCCATAATCAAAAATGCATCATCCATGTACCAAAAATAGAATTCAAATGTATCAACGAATCCGTATTATTTTAAAAGAAAAACACCAATATTGTTTTTGACTACTACTCTAGAATATTCTGTGCATTTTTTTCCTTCACGTTCCCAATGGAACATACGGCTTCAAAGCTAGTGGCTTGAAGTTTCTGTCGCAGTGATGTTCATTTTACAGGATGGGGTTGCTAGCCAGCCTCATGCCCAACCTTTCGTCTTTACCAGCATTATTTCTGGCTTAGTGAGGTAAAGGAGTGAGTCGGCCGGGTATCGGACGCCGGACCATGTTCATGGTCGGCGAGCATCCTAACCGCTGTTCCACCGACTCACATTCTATGTATATAAACATATATATAAATGTAGAGCCAGAAGAGGAAATTATCGAAAGGTGGACATTCTTCTTTGCTCAATTATTTTGTGTTTTATAGATGTCCGAATGAATATTTTTTTGTTTTTCCAAGTATGCTGAAGTATTTTCTACACTGTAACGATTAGCCGGTGAGAAGAAGCCAACTTCATGTGTCCAGCAGTCAGTGTTGATCCTGGCTGGATGCTATAACTCAATACGCAGTATGGTCATCAAACTAGAAGACCAGCTATGTTGAATGATTGGAAGCGATCAGTAGGAAGGCCACCGCCACCGCCACTACCACAACCTAGGTCTCGTGCTGGCTCCCTTTCGTTGACAAGGTGAATTTGCTGTTTTAAAGTAACTGGTGTTGAAAAATTCAACCAAAATATTTCAAATCATTCCAGTAAACCATCCCACGAATAAGCTCCTGGCACAACACCAGCGCACCTAACTTTAGATTAGAACGGGGGAATGTTAGAATTACATCGGTTTGAAGGATTTTTTGTGCATCAGTGATTTAAAAAACAGATTCTTTGCCAGCCACACAGAAGGTCCAAGTTCGATACCCAACTGATGTATAACAAGCCCAGAAAAAAAAGGGGAAGTGAGGAACAAAAAAGGTTATATAATACCCAACTGATTTATCAATTTTGTTTTTACCTTTAATATTTCCACATGATTTTTTTCACAGGATATATGTATTGGCAGAAGACCATCTTTATTCGGTATTGTAGGATCAGCGTCAACACTAAGCAAATAACGTACCATTGATAGGTGTCCTTCTTTAACAGCTAAATGCAGTGGTAAATTCCCGCTTTCGTCTGGTTCATTTACTTCTGTTAAACAAATTTTTAAAAAATATTGAAACATTGAAAAGCGAACTTCATAAAAAGGCGCTAAATATTAGTTCAAGAATCAAGGTATCCTTTTTCAGCAAAATTTTCTTAAAGTTCTAGGGCAAAACGTCTAGTTACTGGGGGAGAAGGGAGAGATTAGCAAAGAAGTAAAATAGGTTCAATCCACTCTTGAATTAAATAATTATCCTAAAGCCTTGATAAAAAGACGCATTTAAAATGTGAAGATAAGGATGGATCGAACGAAACCTGTTGTTTAAGAATTGGGGTGGTACAGCAGTGATTCCTTACCGCAAAGCAAACATCGGATGAGATGAAGCAAATCCTTAACAATCATGACAATATAAGAGTGTATTTTCGTGCAACTAACACCTTATTCTCATCACCACTGGTGAAAGTTAAGGATAAAATAGAACAAGAAAACCAGCAGAATTGTGTGTACCGGATCAGTTGTGGGGACTATGACCAGATGGAAAAATAAATGCTCGCACTAACAAGTACAAAAACGCAACCATACCCTCTGTAGGCGCAATATTGCTTGAAATTAAGTCACGCGTAGATAAAGGCTATCCCGGTCCAGAACAAACAAGAAGCCGGTCACTGTTTCTACGGTACTATTAATAAACAAATCAATAATTATATATACAACAAACCTTAACGGTTTCAAGAGTACAAAGCACAACGCTTAACAGAAAGCAAGGTACCGCTATCAGAGCGGAATAACGTTAAAGCCAAAATTTCGAACTAGCCGGAACCAGACACGACCGTTCAGGTAAGCAGTCAGTAGAAGAATGAACCCAAGTAAGGCATGGCATAAAAACAGAGAGCGTTTAAGAGAGATAGACCGTGCATAGGCACAAAGATAGAATTTAATTGGCTACTTAACCAGGTAGAAAAATACAGATGAAAATCAATAAATAAGATAAACTCGACAGAATAGTACAAAGTTAGACATGGGTCAGCAAAAATAACAGTTCACAAAATACTCTGATTCGGCCATGAGTTCAACTGTCTAACTAAACGCATCGAGGTAAAAACACATACACACAGTTCATTAAACAAGGGGGGATAGACACCTTAGGCATGGATACTTGAGTTGCAACAACGCTAGGCTGGTCCGGGACAGGTTGACTTGATTCAAGGATGGGAATTGAATTGATCTTACACCCTCCCTACTTAGCTCGTGTTCTGTGCGATAGAGAAAGCATTAGGCGTGATACCTACAACTTATTAAATAGTCAGTAGAACAATTGGATCTCGTCTTTCCAATTCATATCATTTATAGGTACAACGTTGTCTTTCTTTTTCTTGTCTCTTTTTTCTGTTATTTGCTACTTTGTTTCTCTCTTCCTTACAAACTCTACTTAAAATATTCTTCTTCGTTCTTTCACACTGTGTATATGTCGACCTTTTGTAACCGCATACGCCAGTAAATATGCCAGTAGTATCTACTTTTCTAACACCTTCAAACACTCTGTTTAAATTTTGGCTTTGCTACCGACATGCTAATATGTTGTTGTCAAAACGAACTGAGATTCCCCTTAATCTATGTAGAATTTTATTTATTTTTAATGTACTAACTGGATGCGCAATACTGTAGTAAAATGCTGAGAATTCCATTCTGTATCACAAGTACTGTTTTGGAATAAAGTAAATTATTATTATTAAAATGAAAATTCAAAAAGTTGAGAGCGATGCTGAATAAATAAGCTTTAAATTAATTTCAAGGACATTGAATCCACTGATAAGTTTAAAGGGTTAACAATCGCTTGGTATCCAGCCTTCAGAAGGAGTGTGAAACAAAAATGATAAGTTGCAATAAGTTTGAAGAAACAGTAATATGTGATTATTTTGAGGTTATAAGTTATTGTTATTGAAAAACTAAAATAACATTAAAGATGTATAACACAAAAATTTTGTACTGGACATCTGTTTCACCTTAATCCATGACTCTTCAGCTTTACACGCATATAACCCCACCAGGAGTGGAACGCAGGACCTTCAGGTTTTATGCATACTCTTTAACTATTCAGTCAAGGGAACTAGGGGGGTCACTGGTAGAATAGCCTATAACTACACTTGTGATTCCGCTTTACTTCTCTGCTGACGCAGTAATAAACTTCGTCTAGACAATAGAAACCTTGGAGAAGAAGGGAATTCTGGTATGGGGTTAGCATTCTCATTCCTTAAAAAATTAAACAATAACACACACCACAGGAATGAAATAGAATCCTTCGCTTTATCACAGATCGGCAACTATGCTTCTATGTCTCAAGATTTCATCATAGACTGACATCGGTTAACGAACCACTGGAAAACTAGAAGGGAGTACTGGAAACCTGTTTTGTCAGTCTAGTTTAGGATTCTTCGTCAGTACACACCCAAATTGCGGTTTCGAATCCAGGACTTTCTGGCTACAACGCTAGCGAGTTCGTAGACCATTAAGCCACTGAAACCGTATCCAGTGGTCAATGCATGAATTCCAACATCCGCCCCACTGGCTTAATGATCTACGCGCTAGCCTTGTAAGCAGGAGGTTCTGGGTTCGTACCCCACAGTGTGGGTGCGTGCTGATGAAGGGTGCAAAACTAGGCTGACGAAACAGCTGTCCAGTACCCCCTGCAGGTTTTTCAATGGTCCTCTAACTGATTTCAGTTTATGATGGAATCTTGTAACCAATCCAATCAAATCCTTGAAAACCAACGCTTGCATATTACTATGTATACCGTAAATTAGGAATTCAGTATTAAGAGTAGATTGTTTCCACAATTGCTGAAACTCGTCAATAATGTATATTTCACAATTGGTGGATGGTGGCTAGCAGTGGAATCCAGGATAAAGCGCATTTCGTCCTATTTGAGACTTGTCAGCTGGATGTACCTGCATTTCTCAGTGAGTGATGATGTTCCCACCGAGGCTCGAACCCAGTACCCAAGAAGCCGACATGTCAACCTGAGACCGAGCACTTCGGTCCAATCAATCGACGGGAAAATCAAAAAATTCAATTCAATGTATATTTTAATTTAATTTTTGATTACAGCTTGATTCCACACTGTATTTTTGGTACAAGTATGGAATTTTCAGCATGGATATCGATAGCCCAAATTTTGCAGGCCGACCATAGATATCAGGTGTGCGCCGGCAGAGGATCGAACCCTGAACCCCGTGTGCATGGTTGCCGAGAGTCCTAACCACTGTGCCATCGACTCACACAACCTTTCGTAAAGTTATTATTCTCATGATTCAGATTGAATTCTCACATTGACACAGTTGCTGAATGTAAGTAAGACTCTTTAGCTGTTAAAATAAGATGTTTCAATAAAGGAAGAAAAGCCAGATTTGTAGTATAAAATGATACTGTCATTCTATTTCACAGGTTCCCCTCATCAACTGCAGACCACCACTTGCAATTACAATGGTTACAAATAATAACAATAAATAAAATTCAATGTTTGAAAGATAGCCAGGTAGAAACATTATATTTCTATATTTGGTTTGTAAGGATTAATTTTGTTTTCACGAGTTGATCACGCAGTGATATGAGTTAGAGGACCATTGAAAACCAGGGAGTACTAGGCAGCTGTTTCTTTGGCCTAGTTTGGGAATCATCGGCAATACGCACCCACAGCCAGGGTCCGAAACTAGGACCCTCCGGTTACAAGGCGAGCTCGTATACCATTAAGCCACTCACTGTGACCCGATCCACTGGTCCTTGAATTCTAACTTCTGCCAATTCACGACATAGCGCAACCGCTAGCCAATGTCTTCAAGGACCATTGGATCGGGTCCCAGTGAGTGGCTTAGTGGTATACGAGTTCGCCTTGTAGCCACAAGGCCTTGGGTTCGAATCCCGGCGCGTACTGATGAAGAGTCCCAAACTAGGACGAAACAACTGTCCAGTACTCCCAGCTGGTTTTCCAATGGTTCTCTAACTGATGTCAGCTCATGATGAAATCCTGAAACCAATCAAATCCCTACAAACCAACACTTGAATAATAATATGAATTTACAATGGTTGGCTTGTAAGGATTAGCTTTGTTTTGACGAGCTGATCTCAAATGGATATCATTTAGAGAACCATTGAAAACCACATGGGATTACTGAACAGCCAGCTGTTTTACCCTAGTTTGGGAATCAGTGGTAGCACGCAACTACTGCCATGGCTCGAACCCAGGACCTTCTGGTTACAAGGCAAGCTCGTATACCCGATTCAATGGATCTCCCACCGATTACATTAGTTGGTGGTCGGGCTAACTCACAAATTGGTAGAAGCTAGAATTCATGGGCTGGCCATTGATTGAATCGTATCCCAGTGACTGAATGGTATGCGAGCTTGCCATGTAACCAGAAGTTCCTGGGTTCGAGCCATGGTGGTGGGTGCACGCTGACGATGATTTCCAAACTAGGATGGAGGAAATAGCTATCCAGTACTCTCTCTGGTTGGTTTTCAATGGTTCTCGAACTGATATCCATTCGTGATCAATTCACCAAAATAATAATGATAATAATAATAGTGTGGTTGTGGTGAGAGCAGGCCGTGAGAAAATATGAGCAAGGCTGATTCAACAACCAATCACAGCAAATTTAACGTGGCAAAATATGATTCGCAGATAGAGAACTCTATTTGTCGAGGAATCCCGAAACAACCAATCAGAAGCCTGCGTTTGTCTGCCTAACTTCTGATAAACAACCAATCAGATGACTGCGCTGGTCTACTTGCATAAGCTATAATAATGTATGTGAAATATGTATAAATACGTGTTGATTTTCATAATAAAACGATCTGTTTCCTGGCCCTTGTCTTCTGTTGTTACATGGTAAATATTTTGAACGTCAGTAATAACTATGATTATAATGATAACAAAATAATGATTATAAGGTTTACGCCTGGTTTATGACTAATGTGACGAATAATAGTTTATGAAATCAGAGATTAAATATGTAGAAATAGTAAAATGACAAAATAGACATGAAGTTCGGAAATGAAAATATGGTGGTGTAAATAGGGATTAAGAACTTAAAAATGACATGACATGAATAAATAGGAAGTCTGGATAAGAAGGCCAGTGGGATAGTCACAATTAAAAGAACTACCTGTTTATGATGGTCATGGCAAGGACAAGGGTTGAATGTATTTCTTTTGGATACAGTTTTGCATTGGAGTGCTATTAAAGTAATTATACCTCATTCTATATATGGGTCCATCCAGATCTTGTAACCAACCCCCTAACCTTAATCTTTCCTCAGCTCAACCACCCCGCCTACCCAACTCCAATATCTCCCTTATTATGTCAAATGAACCTTGACCTGTCCTTAGACTAAACGCTAACTTAATCTTTTCCAAATCTAACCTGAAACTCACCAGTTATCTCGTTTAATATCATTACACTTGATTCGGTATGTTTTATTCGTAAGTACGGTGTTATTTTCCTGATTTCACTATCTTCTTGATGGAGTGTTTCAAGGTGGTCATTGATGCGGTTGTTCTCCTTCGGTACTTTTCAGGACTTTTAAAAGTCGAAATTTTTCCTGGAAACAATATTGTCCAGGTTTCTAAGTGAAAAGGATGACTTCTGTAGGATTTCTTCTGTCTATAGAGATGAAATAACTACCTAGAGTTAATGTTCTTTCCCGTATAAAAGCATCAGAATTTACTCTCTTGGATTAATATCATAAGTTTTTATCAGGATGCCATAAAATAAATATTACATGATACCCATAATTAGGGAAGGTACTCATTAGAACAAGACATATAATCGAACAATATTGCTGTCTTCAATTAGATCTTCTTCAGGCTTTAGTCTAAATAATATAAGTTTATATGTAAAAATTTTAACAAATGACGGTTATTTCGTGGACCAAATAATAATAATAATGTGGTAAATGTTCTGAACGTCGTTAATAACGATGATTATAATGATAACAAAATATTGATAATACGGTTTATGCACGTGGAGATAAGAATAACGAAGGTAGTAATATGTGTGTGTATATGTAGACAATTCAATAAATAAATTGGGTCAAATCTTAAAAGTTACGTAATACTAAAGGTGAAGTGGACAGATAATCAGAGTTTAAATAAATATCATAAAAATACGAAGGAGATGGAAAATAAGAAAGGGTGGTGGGAGGGTTTTGACTAGAATTTACCTAGGCTAAGCAAGGGAGAGACAAGTGGTAGAACAAACTTCTTTTGTTGTATGCAAAGACACTTGGATTGTTCTCTCGAATTAATTCCCATAGCTTCGGCTGTATGTAAAAGGCAGATTCGAATTCCGTCAGAAATGCTCAATGGAATACGATAGATAACTTTGAAGGCACTTCTTCTTCTTCTGTCCACTTGGTGACCGCTATGAGCAATCAAATGAATCAGAATAGAACTTCTTAATGATTTCACTTAAACATTTCCTAACCATGAAGAAAGATGCTTGCTCATTAATACGTTTGTGAATCTATCTAGTTATCCGCCCTATATAGCTGCTTTCTCCACAGGAGCAACTGAATCTGTGAATACACAAAGAATTTGCACAGCTAGAGGTAGCTTGTCTTTCGCTTGAGCAATCATAATTGAATGGCGTTAGGACCAATATCACTAGTCAATGAAGTTGGAGCTCATACCTAGTAAGCTATTTATTTGACAATCAACCATAAGTAGTTGAATTGATCCCAACCTATAGGTGATAAATTGACGTGGTGGTCGGATTTGCCTATCTCAATGACCCAACAAGCTACACTGGATTTCATGAATATTCCCACGCGTCTTGTCATTCCCAGAAGATCGTCTGAATACCAACTGGACTAAAATCAGTTAGCATCATAGTTGTTTAAATTATGTTAAGAGTCGTACTGCTGCAGTGTGCTTCCTGTTCTGGAGGTGAGAGGTTAGAAATGGCAAACCCCGGAAATCACACATCTCGACTTACATCGCAGCAGTTTATAGCCATCTGTAGGACATGAATACGAAAGCTACTCAAAACAGACGTAGGTGATTAACGTCAAGCAGTTCTTCCTTGGGCTGTTCAGCTCACTAGAATTAATGTTCTTTCTATTTCAGGTACCTCAGAAAGAAATCAGCCTCTACATTGTTTCATAAGCATTTAGCTATTACAGGTAATAAGTGAAGGCGAATAATAAAAAAGTTACCTAACTTACTGGCTTTATGAGTCATTAGTACTTTTGCACAATTCAAATGACCTTTCATTGCAGCATAATGTAACAGAGTACGTTGACTTGAATCGTGCTGATTTAGAACAGATGGATTATAGGACAAAATTTCGACCAGTTTAGCAATTTCATTTGATGCCACATACTAAGGTTTGTAAAAGAAGCATAAGGGAAAGTTGTAAGAATCGTATGAAAAATTCATAAGCATATATATATATATATATATATATATATATATATATATATATATATATATATAGGGCATACATTTGACCTACAGAATTACCATGGAAGATCTGGACTTCGCAAATGGTTTACGTCCGGGCGAAAATTTGTAAGAAGAGACAGAAAAGACGAGATTTTATGTGGGCACAAAGAAGACAAGGGTGATGAAGTCATATTAATGTATGCGTCAAGTTTGGGCAATGTGATAGTAAGTAATTCCATATTAGTTTATTTATTAGGTGTATCACACAGTGAGTGAAACAGTACTATTGTGGTGAGAGCAGGCTGCTAGCCAATTGGTAGACATTAATCGACGCTGATTGGTAGACATTAATCTGGGCTGATTCAATAACCAATCACAGCAGACTTAAACGTGGGCAAATATGATTCGCAGATGAATGGCTCTACTTTCCGAGAAATATCGAAAACAACCAATCAGAAGACTGTGTTTGTCTGCCTAACTTCCGAGAAACAACCAATTAGAAGACTGCCTTTTTCTGTTTGCATAAGCCCTATTAATGTACATAAAATATATATAAATACGCGTTGATTTTCGTAATAAAACGATCTGTTGCCTGGCCCTTGTCTTCTGTTGTTGCACTATTTACTGGATGACACAGTTTCGAACAAAATTTATTGCGGTTCATAATCATATCATCAATTATAATCCCACGACTTCGAAACTCCAATTTTATAGTTTTCTTTTTTTCATTTGTATTTGTCGTCATAGGGGTAGTAGAATTCTATAGATATCCAACTGGACAAGTGTTGAATTATTTCTGTTACACGTATTTGCAGTTGATTCGACAAACGAAGCTCCTGTTATCAGGCTCTCCATGATAGATTTGGCTGCTAGGTTTTTGTGCTCCGCTAGTCTGACTGACTGCACCTGTTCTACTATTTTGACCTAGGTGTTTGACCTGACAATCATTGGAGAGGGAGGGTATTAGATAAACTAAATTGTTTTGTTTTAAAGGCTCCACAGGATCCACAATTTAACCGACAAAGCTTGTTTCTAGTTGAGTTTGTGAGTTTGAATACCAGCCAATTTTATTTCTACTAACAATGCTAAGGATTCTCCTTATGGTTTCCAAGGTTTCTTTCTTTGTATGGAAGTACTACTGATGATTTAGATTCCTTATTGTTGGTGTTGTCATTATCCTGTGCGTGTTTGACATGCATGTCGTCATTATTAATAATATTATTATTATCACTACTATCATTATTTATTTTAGTTTTGCATGTCCCTACATAGTGTCTGACTAATTTATCAGAGTAATTATTACGTTTCAAAGCTTCTCCTATATGCCTCACTTCCTGTCTTAGATTTTCCTTGGTACTATTTAGTTTTTGTGCTCTATTATTTAAACATTTCACCAATTCTATTTTCACTGACATAGGATGGGATGACGGGAAAGCAACACATTCAAACAGATATTTGAACTTCCGATCATCCTAAATTTTGTGGAAGCCCTATCTGGCAATTAGGAAGTTTAAACCACCTTTGTACGTTCACAGCAATGATTCATCATCACAATAAACCTTCCTTGGTAAACTTTGTTTTGATACCATACCAGCCAGGGTAGATGTACTATTACCTGTCTTCTTTGGTTTAATAATCCGCAATGTTACTTTGCTCTTCCATATGTCCTTTTAACTTGACCTAATTCTGCTTACTCACCCCTTAACTCTTTGTTAATTTCATGTATGCATTCCTATGACACATCGGTGGAGTGTGATCAGATTGTTCAACATGTGTTGCGCAAATACACAATACACGATTCAGACAGACAAATTACGTCTTCTTATGTCAAAATCATGTAATATTCCTAGGATATATAGCAAGATAAAATTGCATAAAGAAGGATATCCGATAAGACGGATTATAGACTTTGGAAACACACCAACGTATATGCTGGCAAGATTTCTGTCAACAATACTAAGACCGACAAAAGACAAGATTCATTTGAATTAGTGAGACGACTAAGAACCACTAAAATACAGGAAGAGGAAATACTAGTCAACTTTGATGTAAACAGTCTTTATACTAAAATACCCATTCAAATGGTCATGAATCCACTGAAAGAGAGATTAAAAGAAAATGATGGTCTAAAAGACAGAACACATTCATCCGGAGAAGAGATAATAAAAGGGATGGGATTCTGTCTGACAACAACATATTTCACATTTGAAGGGAAAATATACTAACAAAATGAAGGAGTAGCCATGGGATCGCCCATCTCACTAATAATAGCTCACATATTCATTGATTTTTGTGCAAGAGAGTGCCCTTGAACTATTCAGGTCATCACTAAAATGTTAGCGGAGACATGTAAACGACACGTTAGTAATAATGAAAAAGAAGGATGCTGAGAAATTCTTCTCACACACACATAAACAGGCATGTCGACTCAATAACATTCACTGTGGAAATAGAGGATGAAATTGGGGAACTGCCTATGTTAGACTGCAAAATACAAAGAGTAACAGATGGTAGGTAGTACAAAAACGACGATATATAGAAAAACTACACACTCTGGAAGGTTCCTTGATCATCATTCATCTAATCCATTCAAGGTAAAACGAGGAGTAATACAAAGTCTTGGAGATAAAATACATAGACTTATAACAACACTAGAGGACCAGCGTAAAGGAATAAACGTCCTACTCAAAATGTTACTCAAAAACAACCACCCAAAAGAATTTATCAAAGATAATATAAAAACTGGAGAATGACAAGACGGAGGAATGCAAAAAAAAATAGTCACGATACCATACAAAAATGGTACATGATAGGCGGATATCGAAGAAACCTCAAAAATATTGCGATTCGCACAACGTTTAAACTGACGAATCTAATCAAAAATAAGATAAATCAACTGAAAGATTCCATAAAAATGATGGATAAAAACAATGTGATTCACAAAATATCTTGTGCCGACTGTCCAACTAAATATGTGGGGCAAACGTCCAGATCACTCAAAATAAGAGTGAATGAACATAAACGCCTGACTAACTAAAGGTCAACAAACCGGAACACAAGCTTACAGTAATTTAGAAGAATATTCGTCTATAGCTGCACATGCATGGGACAAAAACCACAATATTGATTGGGACAGCGTTTGTATTCTGAAATCCAATATAGACAAATGGAAAGAGAGACTACTAATAACAGAATCTATATTCACACCGGATACAGGTAACAAGGATGACTCGGCAGCACAACTGTCAACAACCTGGAATATAATTCTGAATACAAAAACATTAATGAACAAATAAAAATGAACTATGGAGGATTTCATCATCAGCTGACACCAGTTAAAGAACTACTGGGAAACCCGGGAGTATTGGACAGCTGTTTCGTCCTAGTTTGGGACTCTTCACAGTACGCATCCACCGGGGTTCTCTAATTGATGTCAGCACATGATGAAATCCTCCATACAATCAAACAAAATCCCTACAAAGCCAACACTTGAAAAATGAACTATGTATATAGGAGTACAAATCATAAATGTGTGAATTAAAAAAAAAACTAAACCAATTCCAACAGTTGGTGTGTGTGTGTGATCACAGGCAGTAATTTTGCTCGAAATATTACCAAAACACAAAAAGAACTTATCATTGGGTGTAAACCATTGAAATATATAATTACACATTATTTGGTCTTCTTATTGCTTTATATAACTGAATTTTAGATTTTCCCGTCGATTGATTGAACCTGCATGCTTAGTCTCACTTTGACATGTCTGTCGGCTTCTTATGCAGACACTTCGCCGATGTCTGTGCGCGTAATTAGAAGTTAATTGGTGGATGGTAATTAGTAGCAGTGGAATCCAGGATAAAGCGCATTTCATCCTATTTGAGACTTCGTGGTGGCTGGATGTATCTGCATTCCCCAGTGAGTGATGATATTCCCACCACTATTGAGGCTCGAACTGAGCTTCCATAGTTTCAAACTCCAAAGCGTTAAATAATTAATATAACTCGTTGCACAACAGGCAGTGGCTCTCGTGGCTCGAGTGGTCTTGTGGATAACGCTTTATCGTTTGAAACTATGGACACTCAGTTCGAGCCTCAATAGTGGTGGAAATACCATCACCCGCTGGGAATGCAGGTACACATCCAGCCACCACCAAGTCTCAAATAGGATGAAATGCGCTTTATCCTGGTGGATTCCACTGGTACTAGTCACCATGCACCAAATAACTTCTTATTGCTTTGTCTAAATAATAATTATAATAATGCAATAGCATTGGTGAGAACTAGACGCATTAAATGTGTTCTCGTATCTATGAAAAGAACGACACAATCAACACCGACAGCAGCAACTACAACAACAACAACAACAACAACAACAAAAGGGTGGAGACTCACTTACATTGAATATAATATTCGGATTGTCAAGTAATTCACCACGATTTGTTACATGCGTAATATTTTCAACTGGACTAACTTTATTATTTCTACAACTGTTCCGCAGAAAATATTCACCATGTCGAATACAATTTAGTTTACGTGTTGACCTGGTTTTACGTTCTATCGCTGATAGTTTTTCAAATGTTTCAGCAGCCAACCGTTGTGCTTCATCAATACCAGTTGTATGATAATAAGCATTACTATTACTCATTCTTGAAGAATTTGATACTTTTCTTGATTCTGGGATAGGTAGGGTTGTTAAATTTGAGGCGCGATAACGATCGTTGAGGCTACTTCGATTACTACTAATATTACTTTTAGTAGTAGTAGTAGTAGTGTTATTATTATTATTATTATCAAAATAAGTGACAGGAATTGTAGTTGTTGTGTTGAGGTTAGAATTTTTATGAAGTTTATAGTTTTGTTCATCTGCTGGGAATTGTTTAGAAGACATATTGACACTGGTTGTTTGAGTACTGTTCAAATACTTCGATTGATTTGATTTGCTGAAAAATAAATTTGGATTATTAGTGGAAAATATCTGTCTGATTTCCTAAAACCTGAAAGATATTCAAGTGATGAAAAGCAACAAGTTCACAGAAGAAGCATCAAAGAAAGGACTATAAGTAAACATAGAGAAAACAGAGGTGATGAAGATTCCTGGTCAACAGCAACAGCAACAACAACAACAGCAGACAACAATCAGCCAGTCTAACTGGGAGAAATCTGAAAGAAGAAACCTCCTTCACCTACCGACCTGGGAAGCATCGTTTCAACTACAGGTGGACGGAACTGGTGAGAATATCAAAGCGAGGATCAGGAAAACAAGGCAAGCTTTCATTACTCTCAAGTCTGTGTGGAGATCAACAGCACTCAAAACTCAGCATGAAAAATAAGATCCGGATTAACAACTTCAATGTAAAGTCAGTGCTACTAACCATACGGATCAGAGACTTGGCCAGCGCGTCATAAAGAGCACCTCAAACAAACTACACACACTCATCAACAGCTGCCTTCGCACAATACTCAAGATCAGGTTCGCCAGAAAAGATCAGCAACAGGGATCTCTGGCAATGAGCGAACCAACCCATCAGAAACCGATTGTGCAACAAATAATCAGGAAGAGATGAAGATGGATTGGCCATACTCTCAGGAAACCATCAAGTGACATCACTAGACAAGCCACCGCTCGAGTGCAACCCGAATGGGTAGTGGTGAGTTGGTCGTCACTACGAGGGTGACTTGGAGGAGGTGATGTGAAGAGGAGATGAAAGCATGTGGTCAGGCCTGTGACCAGGTGAAAACTCCAGCAGAGAACCGAACGCAGTGGAGATGCGTGGCCGAAGCCCTATGTTCCTCTTGGAGTTAAAAATAATAATAATAATAATAATAATAATAATAATAATAATGAAAAATAAGAAAGTACATTATTTTGACAGAGTTGTGTGACATACTACTGATAAACTTCAAGAATGATCAAGGATCGATATCAGCTAGATAATAACTGGAGAGAAAAACACCAGAGAGTACTGGGCAGAACTGTTTCGTCCTGTTATGGGTTTCTTCAGAAGTACATATTGATGATCCCATCCAAAGTGGATCATGCCCACCAACGTATATAGAGCTGAATAATTGTATTAGAGTTACAGAGTAAGATGAATAATTTTATGAATGAATGAATTTTAGTCAGGATGCCCATAGAAGATGCCCATCCCGGTAGAAGTGACAGGTTGAAGAATGCTCTTCTGTACGCATAGCTCCAGTTTTTCTAACTGAATGGCCAAGGCTTCAGCAGTTCAATGGAGACGAAAACGTATTGACTTAATCAGGTTATTCTTTCCTTTGAAGGAGACGTTTGCTGAGACGAAATGACCAGTGTTGACAAGGTGTTCGATTATTGTATTCTTTATAGAGTCATTACTATCTTTCTGCAACGATGTTTGAGACTTTCTAAAAGCCACTCTCGTAGAAAATAGTTACCCGAACCGATTTATTGACAGTAACACGAAAGATAAGCCATCTAAACTGGTCATTGACTCAATCAATTCCAAAGGAAACCTTATTCATGAACTTGGAATTCAAAGGTGATCAAGCTTCAGATTTGCTGAAAAAAAACCGTCTTTCTAAAGCAGTTAGTAAGACGTTCTTTTCTGGAAAATTACAAAAGATGTTAACCAGCCACAAATTGTTCTCCATCCCTTGTCTGGCCGCCTCCATACTCACCTGCTCTTGTGGGGCAAGGTACATTGGCCGTAGTTAGAGGATGCTTTCCACACGAATAAGAGACGATATTCCAGCATGGTTTTACAAGCGAGAAAGGAAGTGTGTGCGAAGCTCTATTCTGGAACACCTGATTGACTTCTGTCACTCTGTCAACCCTGACCATGATTTTAAGATAATCTACAGAATCCATACTAACTCGCCGCGTTTTCTTCCCTATAGACTTCTAAAGACAGCTGAGGCTTTGCCAATTCATGACTTTAAACCAAACATCTCTGTGTACAAAAGAAGTATGTACAATCCCCACTTCTGCCTTGACCGTAGTGGGATAGACATTTATTTATTTATTTTGTTTATTTAGTTATTCTATGTATCTTTCCCTTATTACTACGATTATTATTATCATTATTACTATTCTCACTCTGAGTTGTTTCCACTTGACCCACTTGTCATTCTAAATCCAAGATTATTTTTTACAATATTGAATTCTATCTTATCAAATTTCATACCATGTTACGTAACATTTTATATTCGTCTACTAATCTTATAATTATGTACCCCTTTCCAAAATCTATACACCCTATGTATTATTCTATATATATGACATTAATTATTTTGCCACTTGACATTTAACTATGATTATAATCACAAATATTTTAATTGCATTTCATACTACTACTATTATTATTTTATGCATTCACACCTTTGACCTAATTTCCTAACCGGATAATAAATTCGCTGAACATTGTGTTCTTAATGCTACAATGGGAAATCCACAACAGTTGGTCTAAGGCACGTAGGAAGGTGTAGACTTCCAGGCTGGGGTCCTCGGGACGGTAAAAATCTATGGTTGGAAACAATTGGTGACATGGCTCAAAATCGTTCTCAGTGGCTGGTGCAGATGCATCCACTCCTTGTGACTTATGATTTCCAATGACACTGTTTTGTATTTCTTTATTACTCCTTTGTCTCACCCCTCTGCTCACTGTTTCTATTATGCTTTTCTTGTACTTTCTTCTCTGACTTCGCGTGCTAAACGGAGTGTGGCGACTTGAACTGGTGCACATTTGTGCAAAGTTCTATGTCGAAAACAGACAGACAACGGGAATTATTAAATTATTTATTGGTGTGATATACATGAGATATATCATGTGGAGAAGACAGAAGTAATGGCAAGAAGGTGGAAGAGGAAGAGTAAGTGGTGGCAAGAAAGACCTCCATCCTGTGAAGTCAAATTGACAATCTTCTGCTCTCAGCATAAAGAATAAGATCCGGATTTTTATTTCCAATGTTAAGTCTGTAAGTTCTGCTTTATTGATCAGATACTTGGAACCAGCGTCATGGAAAGCATTTACAACAGCTAGCTGAAGACTTTTATCAACAGCTGGCTAGAAAGAATCAGCAAAAAGAAACTATGGTAACAAAGCAATCACGAATCTTGATGTGGTAGTGTTCTCTGAGCGGCTGGATGGTTGGTTTATTTGCGAAGCTTTCATTGCCCCACCACTAGGCAGCATCTTCAGCGCATACACTTCAATTTCATGAAGTGAGCTTTTGGATTTCTCTACAAGTTCACAATTAGTCATCTCTCCTGGTTGGTGACCAAGAACGTGACTCTTTGGCTGCTTCTGTGTGTGTTTTCACACCCTCTAACCTACTTGTGGTATTGGAACTGATTGTTTCTTTGACTTGAACTTTGATCCTCTGTGTGTGTGTGAGGTTTCCTTCTTATCGGTTGATAAATTCACAAGGGAAGAGGAATCCGAGAACAAAATACCATTTTTGGACGTCTTAGTCAAGCGAACGACCACAGGGGAGTTAGAAACTCGAGTTGATAGGAAATCAACTCACACAAACCATATCCTGAATCACAACAGCAACAATCCAATAATATACAAAAGGAATGGTATACAGACACTATTCAAGAGGGCCAGTCAGGTTTCAGTGCAGCACTCCCACCTTAAGGAAAATTGAAGAAATATATCTCATGGACGTCTTCCGAAAGAATGGATATTCACGGAATTTCATCAAAAGACATACCCCCAAGTCAATCTATCAAACCAAAAGCCTCCAAGAAAGACACAAAGAAAATAGCCTTACCATATATAAAAGATATCTCAGAAATCACTGCGAGAATCTTCAAACCTTTAGGAATTGACGTCGTACACAAACTAACAAAGTCACTTCACTCAATTCTATGTCAACCACAAGACTCAACAGCGAAAGAAGACAAAACCAACATCATCTACAAAATAAACTGTAACAACTGCGAAAAACACTACATTGAACAAAGTGGACAACGTCCCCTTCGTCTTAGTATCCACGAACACAAGCTAGGCGTCAAAAGACATGATATCCACTCCCTCAAATCACTGCATACAGACAACCACGGATATCAATTCGACTGGATAACCATCGTTCAAATATTAGACAGAGGAAACACCAACAATGCTAGCGAGTTTTTAGAAGCCTGGTATTCCAGCTAATTGTCAATCAATAGACACACCTACATAGAAAAAATTTACTAATCGATTGGAAGGAAATCTCAAATTTCAAGTCAAAGAAACAATCAGTTCCAATGCAAGTAACCTAGAAGGTATGAAAACACCAAAAAAAAACCAAATCACGTCCAAGGTCACCCACGTGGAGAGATGATTAATAAACTTCTAGAGAAATCTGAAAGCTCACTTCAATTCAAATTGAAGTAAGCGCGCTAAAGATACTGCCTAGTGGTGCGGCAATGAAAGCTTCGCAAATAAACCAACCATCTAGCTGCTCAGAGAACACAACCACATCAAGATCATCCATCCACCTGAGCTACAAATCTTTCCCATCGCACCTAATCACTAATCTATTGCTCAACAAATATGTCGAAGAAAATGGAAGTGAATCTGACACATTTTGAGAAGACCTTCAAATGATATCACTCTCCAAGCAGAACCTCGAGTGAAAGCCAAGTTGGAAACGACAATTTGGGCGACAAATCTCCGGTGATATGGAGGAGATTGTGTGAAGTAGAGACGAGTGCAAAAGAGAGAGAGAGAGATTAGGGGCAGTCGTGGGGCCAGCTTAAAAAGGATCTCAGAAAATAAGACCTCGGAACCCAAGGGAACAATTATAATAATAATAATAATAATCAAGATAATGTTGTAAAACAACGACAGTTGTACATCTTGTGAACTTACGAAAACATTTCCTTATTGCCTTTTTACCAAAAATATGATCCATATAACCTGGAAACAGTATTTCACAATGTGTTTCCCAACTGAAATTGTAAAAATGTCATCAAACTGAATAACAACACTAAATTATTTCCTGATTCCTTATTGACATGTAAGAAAGGTGATTGTTATTAGCTCTAGGAGGGTATAAAGATGTTTTCTAAGAAAGTTGAATCATTCTACCCCCTTCTGCGTGTTATTCGTCTTTTCACCTAATCACTGGTGGACACTAGTAATGAGGGAATTAGATATGAAGGTGTAAGGAGGGAGAGTAAGAACAGGAGTAAGGCAGGGTGGGTATTGTACAGGAAAGAACATGACAAACCCCTTTCGTCACTCACATTCTCTTCTTTAAAAGTTAAGTGGATCATCAACTTATCATCAATCCTCTCCTGTGTCTCTTCTGTGTATATATCTTATTTCTAGGCAAATTAACAATAATCACTTCCACTAATTTATTTGTTCTCTTTCAGTGAAAGATTTTGTTGTTATTTTGTTGATATTATCCTTACTCCTTCTGACAATCAGGATATAAGTAGTATGGAGTGATATTTATCATTATCTAAAGTGTCATTCATTTTTACATATATGTATCTATCTTGTCCATTAAGCAAAAAAAGAATTACTTGAAAATTATTAAGTGACTATTCTGTCAAGATGTGACTGATAAATTTGAAATCTAGGAGGATATTAACATTCATTGATAGGGGTTAATTAGTAGTAATTATCATTATTTATGTGCATAAATATTTCCATATACGTTACATACTATTTATGAGTAGTTTGAGGAGAAGTTAAAAAACTGCTCAGCTACAGCCATTAGGTTACATGGTGAGTTAGATGAGATGAAAACTAAATGTCCATCAATTCTAACTACTGACAATTTGTGATATATAGCCATCGACAGACAGTGTCATCAGTGAGTATTTTTCCTCACACCCACTAGGTGTATACTTATGAGGAGTCCCAACTAAAACAGGATGAAATAGCTGTCTAGTACTCCTCGGTTTTCTATTGCTTCTGTAACTAATTGAATACAGCTGTTAACCAATTCAAATTCCTGCATTTCCAACACTTGATCTGATTAGTGACAGGTTTGATTACAAGCTGATATGAATTAGAGAATCACCGGGAGTACTGGACAGCCGTTTCACCCTAGTCTGTGACCCTTAGGCATTAGGCATCCATAACCCGACCAAAAAAGATCGAACCCAGGACCTTCAGGTAACAAGTTGGTACCACTGAGCATTCAGTTACTGGGATGGAATTTAATAGTCACACATCAATCCCAACTAACTCCTGCCAATTAGCGGTTTATAGGACGATTATGAGTCAATGTCATCGCTGAATATTGTTCCTCTAACTCTACTTGGTGGACGCAGTTGATTACGGCTGCTCACTAAAACTTCACGCAAATTCATCCTGTTATAGGATTTCATCAAAAGCTGACATTGGTTAGAGAACCAATGGAAAAACTGCAGGGAGTACTGGACAGTTGTTTCATCTGAGTTTGGGACTCTTCATCAGTACGCACCCACATTGCGGGGTTCGAACCCAGGACATTCTGGTTCCAAGCCGAGCGAGCTCGTAGAATATTAAGCCACTGGGACCCTATCCAGTGGCCAGTCCATGAATTCCAACTCCTGTCAATACATGATATAGTGTGATTTGCACTAGCAATTGTCATCGCTGGCGAGTATTTATCATCACACCCGACCTTCTGCACCCTACTGCTCACGACTTCCCACTAGAACCTACCTGAATACGGCCAGTCGCTAGTGAGCATCTCATTAATATTCAAGTATTTCATCTTTAATTTCCTTTTGCCACTTACTTCTTAATTCCACATTATTTTGTTTATTAGATGTATCGCACAGTGAATGAAACAGTATTATTTACTGGACAACAAAGTTTCAAACAAAACTTATTGTTCATAATCATATCATCATCAATTATAATCACACGACTTCGAAACTTGAGTTTTATAGTTCCATAGTTTTCTTTGTTCCCTCCTATTTGTCATAGGGGCAGTAGAATTTTCCAGATATCTGGGTGGACAAGTGTTGAATCATTCCTGTTACACATGTTGGTTTGTAGTTGATTCGATAAACAAAGCTTCTGTTATCAATCTCTCCCTCCGCCGTGTGACATTACATTTTAAAACTGTCATCTTATCCCATCATCCCATTGTATAGTTGTGTTATTGCATGCAGTATGGCTGAACTATCCTCTAGATTTCTTATCTTATTCGGATCAACCAATCTAGATTTTGGTAGGTTTCTATGCTCGGCAGGTCTGATTGATTGACCACGTTCTACTTACTACTTTGACCTATGTATTTGACCTGAAAATCATTGCAGACAGGGTATTAGATAAATTAAATTGTTCTGTTGTAAAGGCTCTACAGGATCTATCATTTCAACCGACAAAGCTTGTTTGTAATCGAGTTTGTGGGTGGTTTGAATGTCAGCCACTTTTATTCCTACCTGCCTTGTTAAGAATTCTGCGTAAGGTGGTTTTCGAGGTTCCTTCCTTGTATGCAAATACTACTGATGGTTTATATTCCCTACTGTTGGTGTTGTCTTGCGCATATTTGAAATGCATGTCGTTAATATTATTATTATCATCACTATCACTACTAACATCACTGTTTCACTGTGTGATGCATCTAATAAATAAACTAATATGGAATTACTTAGTACCACAGTGCCTAAGTTTTACACATATATTGATACTCTTATTTCTTTGTTACTGCTCTTATTTCTCCGAAATTATGCATTATATAATCTACTTTTTTTAATTTTTGCAAGTATATTTCTATAGTTGGTTTGTAAGTTTTGTTTTTACCAGTTGATCATGGATTGATATCAGGATAGAGTTTCCTGGAGGTCTAGTGAGAAGTCGTGACCAGTGAGATCCATCCAGATGTCAAGTATGAGGATGGATGACCCCTTGTGACGACATTGGTTGGGGTCGCTGTAAATCACGAATCGGTAGGAGTAAGAATTCATGGGCTGGCTGGCTGGCCAATGAATCGAGTCCCTGTGGCTGAATATTGCACGAGCTTGTCTTGTAACCGGAAAGTCCAGGGTTCAAACCCAAGTGGGTGGGTATATTGCCAACGATTTTCAAACTAGGATGATGAAACACCAGCTATCCAGTACTCGTAGGTGATTTTCAATGGTTCTCTAATCGACATCAATCCGTGATCAACTCGTAAAAATTAATAAACTCCAATGAGACTGGAGAAGCAAAGAAAAGAAGGGAGAAAATCCCCCTGTTTTCAACGATTTCATTTTCATAGCTGTGCAGTCGTATCTTATACATGAATTACAATAGACAATAACAATCAGTTTTTTTTTATCGTCTGTTAAAGTTTGACAGTGAGTGGAAATGCTAAAGTGCAATAACAATATTTGTGTGTACGATTATGTGTCACAATTTATTAGATATATATATGAATGAATAACTAACTAGATAAATAGACGTCAACCTAAAATTCAATAGACGACGTGAGTGAAATAGATGATCGTTGGAAAATAAAGTACATTCAGAAATGTAAAAGGACACCTCAACGAATTTTTACACTTTTGTCCCGATAAACAGAAAACGGAATCTAATCTGTTGACGGGGTTGTTCAACTAAACTCTAATCCTAAACACCATAATTTTGAAAATACGTCTAATTATAAAATTCTAGATACTAACAGTTTGAACAGACATGAAGGTGTGATGTTAGATGACGCATAGGAAATCCTGATTAATAAATAAGAATGGATATGTATCACTAACTAATAATACTTGGTCAAAGTTTCCCAACTGTCTATATCTACGTTAAGACATTGTTTTACAACTGTTTATCCGCGCACACACACACACACATACACTGTGTTTAAAGTGTTTAACAAAGGTAGATCAATATTTGTTAGTCTGAGGTCGAATTTTGATCACAACTCGTACAATTTTGTTTATTATACTTGTTAATATTTGTTTTATAAATCATGATTGGACAAAGTTTTTTAAAAACTAAAGATGTTCCTTTTATATATAAACCTGTTATGTTAATTTCGATTAATTTCCCTGAAGAAGTTCGGACCAGATTGCCGAACGAAACGTTGGAATTACTCATTTCAATATCGCTGAGATTTTACAAATATAATTTTTTACAAATGTCTAATATGTTCTCCTTCATCACGGGTACGGAGAATTTGTAGAGCAGATAGTATATAATGATGAACTCAAACAACTAAAAGAAACCTTCATGGAGAACAGGTATCCACTATGCTTCATAGAAGCTGATAGCAAATTACACGGAAGAAATACACAGAGGTATAAGGTAGCTAAAACTATGTTGCGCCTAGACTTAGAATTTAGGGGTTACACTGCCAGTGAGATACTTAAATATCGTCTGACCAAATCACTGAGAAAAATGTTCTTTTTGCTATCACTTTACGAATAATCTAATCTAGCCGTCCACTGGTGCAACTTAATGTTAAGGAAATGTTACCATGACTGTTTAATTCCATATGTATTTATATGTTCAGCTTCTCTTACGAAGCTAGGTACATATGATGTTCACTGAGAAATATATCCAGCCGCGTTCGAGAGCACCCGCAGTTTGGTTGAACAAAGGAGAACATAGAGGTATTAATTCATCCATATTGCAATATATTGTAGACACTGGCCACTCAGGCATCTGGCACATCGTTTAATATAATCTACAAAATTTGTCGAAAGGGAAACAAGTTCATTTGTTTTGCATGGTAGAGGCTTTGGCAATACATAACACATAAAGCTAGAACTTTGCTTACCAACCCATAGTCTTGTTTTTACTATGTAATTCTTATAACAACTTTTTTAATTCTTCAGAACAAAAGTAGTTAGAGCGAACAATTGTGGTTTCAATAAAGTGACTCTTCTTCAGACTGTACAATTAATTACCAATCCATTAATTGAAGCATACAGTAGCCAGA